CACAAAGAGAGAGATTTTCTGGTTGATGAGGACCCGATAGAGGGCATCCAAGTCATTCAAAGTATCGAGTGCTTCCAATTGTTTGTTCCCATAGTTGCTATCAAATCCTTTATGTCCTCTTGACAACGAGCTCATGGACTTTGGATCGAAAATATGGACACCCACATCCAAGAAGACCTCTCAGGGATGTGCTGGTTAGTTCAGGCATGGGATCACTGGACATAAAGTTCAATCGAATCTCTTTGATGAGCTTGCTTGCATCGACAACATACATGGAAACATTTTCACCAGGGAACTTGGTGTGTCCAAGTGAAGAAGCTTGGCTTTGAGGGTCTCAATCTTGCTGAGAGAAGGTCTGTATATCTTCTGCAGAAGAGCCAAGAGAAGCTGGGGCCCATTGTGCTTGGCTCGAGGGACATATGATTTCAATTCTTCCTGGAGTGCATCAGTGCAAGAGTTCAAGACAGCCTTTCCCGACCAGGCAAGGTTGGTTAGATCATACTGGCAGACAGAGTGTGGCTTCAGAGTCCCAGCATCGATGAATCCAACCCCATTTACTGTGAGATCCTGATGCCATTTGTCCATCATAGATTCTGAGACCTGCCCAGGAGCGGTGAACATATTAATTTTGTTAATGGTGTTAGTATTAAGTCACCAACAACAAGCTCAAAGATCCCTTCCATTCCATGCTCAGTCATCATACTTTCAAAGGCGATAAGAGAGGCTAACACATGGGATCCAGAGGCATTGGACTCAGTCAAAGTAGAGAAGAGGAGACTGGGGGAATCCTTCAGTCCTTTCTTGCATGCCAATTCAATTGGCTGGAGTGTGGTGTGATGTTTTAGATGGTCGTCTCCATGAAAACCCCTGAGGCATAGGGTGCTTTGAGGTTCCTTTCCAGTCCATCTGAGCCAGATCCTGTCCAGGCTCCAGTGTGGTTGATACCTCCAAGCGAGGGATTCTGTAAGCTTGGTCTTTTCTTGGTTTCCCAATGTGTTGAGGAGCTCCTGGAATTGACTGTGGTCAAGGTGCTGTAGTCATGGTTGGAGGATCAGATGTGGGATGATTGGATCAGATTCAAAGAAGGCTTGTCTGAAGCCTTGTGGACTGAACAAGGATGCTGGTGGCTGGCGCTGCTGTGAAGATGAAGATGCTGAGGCAGAGGAAGCGTCGTCAAGGTCCATTAATAGCTGATGGAATAGGAGGCAGTGAAAATCAACAAGGTCAACAGTGCGGCAATGGCAACAAGAGCAATGGCAACAGGAGGAGGAGAGCGGTGGATAATGAGCAGTTGGATCTGACGTTGAGGTTGAGGCCCACCCCGAATTGTTTGGCAAATTCAAATTTAAATTTAACAGCGACAGCGCGTTGTTATCTTTCAAACGACCAACTGCAAGCCAGTTCAAACGACCGACTGCAACAGCAAGCCAGCAACCGGAGGAACGCCAATAATAGGGGGTAAATGGCTCCGGAAGCATGACTCAGCATGACACACAAGCCGAGTCGTCAGATAATAGGATCTCATCGCGATTTCGATCGACAACAGGATAAGAACAAGGGGAACAAGTGGATTGCTTACGAGCGAATCACAAAAAGGGGATTGCTTGCGGGCGAATCCAAGGTATCAACAAAGGGATCATATGGATCCAATCGACAGATTAATTGCAATAAGGGGAAGGACTACCGATGAAGATAATGAGAGGAACTCAGGACTCTGCACCAAGGGATAGCTCATTCCATTGACAACCATAAGGGATAGACATATAAGAATAAGAATGAGTAACATCTCATAACCTCGCATGCTACCATGCGACAATACCATTGTGATTGATAATCTAACGATCTAAGAGATGTAAAGTTTGTATTTCCAAATAAGTGAGCAGTTATTGATTATTTTCTAGAATAGGCCCGCAATTTATAAAGCTGTAAAGCTGAATTGTAAGCTGTATCCCGTCGCATCCCAAGAATGTGTTTTACCTCGAATGTTGCTCTAGCTATCCTCCTGCATTCAACCACTTGTTGAAGCACTACAAATAATACATCCCGCTGCAGCCCACTTTTGGGGCTTTCGACGCCCCTGAGGGCTTGCGGTTGTACGCTGCTAGCGCACTGGAGAGGGGAGTTCGTCGAACCAGCCATCCAGTGTCTCCTCTTTGGCTCGCTCCTCTTGTCGCCACCACCTTCGTACCGTACTACTAGTACCGGTACAGGTACCGGTACCGGTACCGGTAAGGTATTGAGGCCAAAAATATAGCGTTTCGAAGGCGTTGCAAGTGTCTATGCAGCTTGCCTGTTTTAATTTTCTGACGTTTGCCGGAGGGTGTCTCCTTCTCTCCACCTTCCACTATCTTTTCCAAAGGCGTCAGGGTGAACGCAAATGGAGATTCTTCATCGTTAGGACAGACTTTTATTTCTGTACAAAGCTGAAGAGACCCTTGAGCAGACGTTCTGGGAGAAGCTATCTTACTACTACCGTATCTGAGGAGGAAAGGAAATCCACGAAACCATCCAGAAGATCTTCCTTGGACCTGCAGACGACCAGAATGAATTTGAAAATTAGTAGCATGACATTGGGTGCGATGTTATTGTCCCTGGTGGTGAGAAGAGCTGCATCGTTTGTCCCCGCTGCTGTCCGTTCAAATGGAGCTCGGGCGACTGCAGGCTTGAACAGTCGTTCAATTCCCTCCAGCAGACATTTCCGATATCTTTCAGCGACTGTGGCACCCGAAGAAGCAAAAGCAGCAGCACAAGTTGTGGAACCAGAGGAACTGCCCAACAACGACAACGATGAAGACTTGCTCAAGATCCGTCACTCGTCTGCTCACGTCATGGCCATGGCAGTGCAACAGATTTTCAAAGAGGCGCAGGTGACCATTGGTCCTTGGATTGACAATGGATTTTACTACGACTTTTACTTCCCCGAAACCACCGATGCCGAGACGGGCGAAACCATTCCAGCCCGCAAACTCAGCGATCAGGATCTGAAAAAGATCAAAAAGGCCATGGATAAAATCGTTTCCAAGAATTATCCCATTACCAGAGAAGAAGTCAGCCGCGAAGAAGCCAAACGCCGTATTGAGGAAATCGGAGAACCATTCAAACTCGAAATCTTGGAAGGCATTAAAACTGAGCCCATCACCATTTACCACATTGGAGACCAATGGTGGGACTTGTGTGCTGGACCTCATGTGGAAAGTACGGGGAAACTACCCAAAAAGGCCATTGCTTTGCAAAGTGTGGCCGGAGCCTATTGGCGTGGGGATGAAAATCGAGAAATGTTGCAACGTGTCTACGCCACTGCCTGGAAAGATCCAGGACAACTGAAACAATACAAAAAGATGTTGGAAGAAGCCAAAAAGCGCGATCATCGTATGCTTGGCAAGAAGCTGGATCTTTTCTCGATTCAGGTGAGTGATCAAAGGAACGCTCCCCAATCATCCTTCAAAACCAAAACTTGCATTCCATTGTGTAGTTGTGGTTGCTGTTGCGAACCTTATTCCGTCATGGTGCGTCATGCTAATGTTTGTTCTTGATTTACAGGAGGATGCTGGGGGCGGTCTTGTCTTTTGGCACCCCAAAGGATCCAAAATACGAAGGATCATTGAAGATTTCTGGAAAGATGCACATGTAGATGATGGCTATGATGTGGTCTACTCACCTCACATTGCCAATATTGACTTGTGGAAGACTTCCGGACACTTTGATTTCTACAGATCCGACATGTTCGATCAGATGGACGTCGAAAATGAACAGTACCAGATCAAACCCATGAATTGTCCGTTCCATTGTCTCATGTACAAGGACGAGCTACGCTCTTACCGTGATCTTCCCTTTCGGTGGGCCGAGCTGGGGACTGTATACAGGTACGTCTTTGAGTATGATAGGCTGGCTGCCTGGTAGCGAGATGATGATGACGGTTGTTACGGTCACGAGAAGGACGAAGCTCACCATTGTCGTCGCCCGGTACCACCCACCCTCACAAACGCTTGAACAATCATCCAATGCAGATACGAGAGATCAGGAACTCTCCATGGTCTGATGAGAGTTCGTGGCTTCACCCAGGATGATGCCCACATCTTTTGCTTGCCGGAACAACTACAGGACGAGATTGTAGCAGTGCTTGATTTGACCGAAACCATCCTGTCTCGATTTGGCTTTGCCAAGTACGATATCATGCTCTCTACGCGACCCGAAAAGGCTGTTGGATCTGACGAGATTTGGGACGCCGCCACTGCAGCGCTAGAAGGAGCCCTGAAAGCCAAGGGCTGGGATTATAGCATTGACGAGGGCGGCGGTGCCTTTTACGGCCCCAAGATTGATCTCAAGATTCGTGATGCCATTGGCCGTCAGTGGCAATGCTCCACAGTGCAGTGTGATTTCAATCTTCCCGAGCGATTCGAACTGGAATACGTCAGCGCGGAAGGTACTCGTGAACGTCCCATCATGGTTCATCGCGCAATCTTTGGTTCGGTCGAACGTTTCTTTGGTATCTTGATTGAGAATTGCTCCGGAGACTTCCCGCTTTGGTTGAACCCCACTCAAATGAAGATCTTGCCAGTTACGGATGGTGTGAGGGACTACTGTGAAGAGGTTGCCGCGAAGGCTGCCAAGATGGGTCTTCGTGTTGAGATTGACCGTGGCAACGAACGTCTTGCAAAGCAGATTCGTAATGCCGAACAGCAACGGGTTCCAATCATTGTCGTTGTGGGTGAAAAAGAGATGGAATCAGGTACCCTTGCAGTTCGAAGCAGACAACTTGGAGACATGGGTTCCTTCAATGTCGATGATCTGTTGAATGAGATGAGTCGATGTGCACAAGAGACAGTAGAAATGACTACAAAGGGAGAAACGGAAAAGAAAGAAGAGTAAATCCAGCTGCTCCTAACTAAGCAAATCCCTGACTCTGTTGATCTAGACCTATCTGGCTATCTTGTTTGCTGTGAAAGCTAGCTAGAACGCTACCATCCTCGTCAAATCTTCTGCAGTAATTTGTCTCCTTTCGAGTTGAGTCTTAGCTTGTGAACGGTTAGAAGGGTGTGGCGCCGTAGTGGCTGTCTTGAAACCTGAATGCAATGGTTTGCAGCATACCTATGTGTATCGGTTGCATGCCAAATTCATGTTTGCTCCTTGTGCATTGCCTGCGTAGGCACTTGTTCTGCAGTATTTTGTGATGGCCCAGAGATAAAAGTGCAAATCAAAATATGACGGGCACAAAGCACTGGCTACGAGCAGCAAATAGTGCTGCAAAGACTAGCTAGCATACTAATAAAGTGAAGATAGATGAAGCATTGACGGAGGTTTATTATTGAGGTATTTGGAAGTGTTCGCTAATACAAGCAGTCACGGTAGTTGTTGCTGTTTTATTCTCTTTTTCCACTATTGGTAGTTGTCTCTCTAAGCGCTCTGAACTTGCTTCTTTGGCAGCCCACCTTCTCGGAATCCATTCTTGAACTTGCGTGTCATGGTCTTCATGTAGCGCATCCTTCCTGTTCCAGTTGTGCGACGACCCTTGGCTTTTTCGCCCCAGTTGTACTGTCTCATTTTCTTGGAGGGGTACCCACAAGAAGAGCAGATCTTCTTTTGGATGTGGAAGGACACCTTGCCGCATCGACGACAACTGGTGTGTGACTTGTTGTGTCGCTTTCCGAATGAGGTAGTACCCTTAGTCTGTTATTCATCATCAAGCAAGTTAGAGAGGAGCGTGAGAAATCGTTTCTTGGACTACACATTCCATCCTCATTGGCCGCAATTGCCGCCATCGAACATCCTTCCACGGAAGCATGTTCTAACCCATGGGCACGATTCTACTACTGCAGCATCCCGTGAAACTCACCATCTTGTATTGATCGAAACGGTCTACTAGCTAGCTGACTATCCTACTCTGAACGATGGTGGATGCCGTTGACGATGGCAGCGGCAATGGCAGAGCTGAGTTGTCTTTGCCTTGGCCGTTCAAAGAAAATAGTGAGGAGGTAAGCTGTAAAAAGGCTAACCCTAAGACTTTGTCGTGCTTTTGCATAAATAAGGATAGCTTTGAAATGGGTGCGTCGAACATTCGGAAGTACATTCGATTGACGAATGATTCATTCGAACAATCCAACAATGACACGCCTTCCGAGTAACTAACTCATCTCTCCCTTCTTTCGCAAGCAAGCTACTGAAACACAAAAAGACAATGACATCCAACAGAAACAATGGTCGCTCCTCCCGCAAGAGGATCCATGAGTCCTCTGCTTCTACTTCGACAAATACTGTGTCTTCCAGTAGTAGCAGTAGCATCGTGAAGAAACCTCCCAAAAACCGGCGGAACAGCAACCACAAAACGAATTTGAATTCGTCATGGGTTCATCAGCTGTATGGGTTCATATCGGTGTCCTCTTCGACGGTCCGTGCCGCCAGTGTCCTATGCGTGGCCATGCTGATGGGTGTGGCTTGGAATTACTGGGATGGAGTCCGGTTTGCAGCCGATGATCCTCAGATTCGATCCTTTCTACAGCAAGTTTGCAACAACAACAACAACAACAACAACAATGATGCTGCCTATTATTGCCATCCATCCTTGGTGCCTCGTCGGAGAACACAAATGGCCATTCGACAAATCTCACGAGGGGAACGGATTTTGGAAATTCCTCGATCTCTGCAAATTTGGGACTTGGATGCGTTGCGGAACGATTGGATTCGCGACAATCTACAAGGAGGAGCCAAGCATCGGCAAACGGGAAATCCAGTCGATCGAGCCGCCTATCTGGCTCTCTACTTGGCATTGTTGCATCGTGACCTGACAGCAACAGCAACAGATGGCACAGAATCGACGAGTATTGACAGCATTTCTAAATTCCAAACAACATCAATGACAACCCCATTACCAGCGCTGTTACGACAGTACTTACTGGAGTGTTTGCCCACAGTAAAAGACCTAGAGAGGTTTCACCCCATTTTCATGAACGACACGGAACTCAATCAGTTGATACCCAATCGTTCTGCCGCATTTGGAGTTGCCAAGGCATATCGAGACATGGTCAAGTCGGAATATCAAGCGTTTTCCGAACGCTTGCAACCAACCAAGCTGCCAGTCAGCGAACAAGACTATTACCGCTTTCGTACGCTTGTCTTGAGTCGAAGTTTTGGCACAGGTCCACTGCCAGTTGCAGAAGATGCCAACAATAATAGTCCTGAATCCTCGTCCGTCTTGACACAGGAGGAATTGCTGTACTATCAACAAGAGTTTGGACTGGATCTCGAGAGAGGTTCTTATGCCATGGTTCCCATTCTAGACTTTTACGATCATCATGCAAAACCTAACGTCGAGTATCAGCTTCGAAACGGGGCATTCGTCATCCAAGCAACCGATCACATCGCGCCGGGGCAAGAAATCATTGACTCTTACGGAAAGTATACGGATGCCCATTTGTTTGGAAAATTCGGATTTGTCAATGGTGATGGGAGTGGCTACTCCCAGGCACTCTTGGCCACACATCATCGACTCATGGACTTGGACCTGAAACAACAATTCTCATATCTTCCCTTTCGTCGAACACCAGGGTCCCTGTCTGAAGGACTACGGAGGGCTCTTGAGAAACAGGCAACGGCCGTACAGCAGTACTTACGATTTGATGACGGGTACGAGCAGTGCATACCACCACCATCCACACAGGACAGTGCTAACGAGTACTTGAAGGAGGCACAGAAACTCAAACGACTCAAAATACAACACTTGGCAAGGATTGCCAATCACTCCAAACGGTGGCAGTTGGTCCTGCTCCCTCGCGCCCCCGAATCCTTACCGGCAAGGGCTAGCAACATGGTCATTACGTACGCACCACCCAAACTCTCCACGCGCAATGTCAAATTCTTTCATCGCAAAGAGTACCAGTTGGTTGCGGCTACGTGTCGGGTCATTGCCTTGACACACGAGGACTATGACGGAACTGCAGTGCAGATTTTGCAAGAAAATCTCCAAAACAATTCGTTTCTGTTGGAATCTCAACTGGACGAATCTACGGAACGGGACAGCCCTGCAGCGGCATTGGAGTTTCGAACTCACTTTTGTCTGGCGCGGCTTGCCACGGAAGCGCTGCAACGATTTGATATTCCCATGGCAGATATGGAAGACAAAGTAGCCAGACTCAACCGCAAGTCCTTTCAAAGCAGAGAGTGGACCGCGGCGCATTTGCAGCTGTCCGAAATGCAAGCTTTGGAGGTCTTGCGAGGAGTCTCCTTCTCGGCGGCACGAGAATACGAGGATCTTCGGAACATGACTCCGTTGTTTACCATACGAGATGACCCTTGTCCGGATCATTCTCTTGGGTAGACCTGCAAATATTAGCTAGCCAGGTAGTAAGTGACATCAAGTCTACTAGTAGTGCTAGCTAGACAGCGTGGGTGTATTGAGGACACCGGTACAGGCCGCTCCGTTTCATCGCTTTCTGCCGAATGGAAGCAACACTTCTAGCTAGTCTAGTATCTTCCATGATTATTCCGAAGCCAGTTGCAACCATCTTTGCTGCTTTATGGAGTTCAACATGGCATCGCCTCATTTTTTGATTCCACGTGTCACTCTGAGGCCGCGTCCGTGGACCACGCTTTCTCGATCCATGATGGATGGTGATCTGACTTCGTTCAAAGGAAGGCGAAAGGCTAGGTTTCCCCAAACATTACACGTTGCATAGCTCATCGTTGCATTCAGAGGTTGTCATACCGGTAGCTGCTGTCATACTTTTCTCTGTTACAAAAGCAAAGGAATAGCCTTGAAAATGAGGTCGTTTCTGCTGAGCTGTATGCTCTTGGCTGCGGGGTTCTCCTCTGTTGTGGGAGGAACACCCTTTTCCAGAGGACTTGGTGCGTCCAATTCCCTTTTTGGGATTCCCCGAGGAGGTGGACTGTTTGGAGGAAAAGATCAAGAGAAGTGAGTCCAACGTCGCATCGCAGTTGATCGTTGAGCTAAAATCAAGTTTTATCATTGACAGCTGGGGTATCCTCAGCTTGTTCTCCCATGTCTCGTTTTCTTACCCCTCAAGTTTCTTTTCTTGTGATCGTTTTTGTCTGTTTCCAGGGAAGCCGTGGCTGCTGATGGCGACAGGCAAAAATTCCCTGCCATGACGCAGGGTGAAATCGAAGATTGGCTCGAACACATTCCTGTCTTTGCTGTGACGGATTCTCAAGGATCTGGAGTTGTTCTCAAACCCGACAACGACACAAGTGTCTTCTACTTCTTCCTTTCCCCCATGCAGGCGAATGCTACCCTGCAGCAGTTGAAGGGAACCAACTCGGATATGGACTTGAAGGTCTCTGCATTTTCTCTTGGCAAAATCTGGTTTGGCTTGTTGCAATCTGGAGCGGATAAGGAAGTGACTGTGAGTGCACTGTCGTTATTTCTGGCCAAAATGGTCGTTCAAAAAGAGTAACATTTCTGACCTTCTCTCTTTCTTTCGACTCAGCTTAAGGCACCTGGAGATAGCGAAGGCACAACTGCAACAGGAGTGGAATACCGTTTGGTGCCCGATTCCAGAGATCTGCTAGGAGCACGCATGCTTTTGACAATGAAGCCCGAAGATGGCGAAAAACTGAAGGATGAAGGCATGACGCCAGAAATTGCCCAGGAGACCCTTCAGAGGGCTATGCAAGAGGCACCCAAATTCAACTCGTCGTACAATGAAATCCCCGTTTTCACAATTGCTCAAATGCGCATGCAAAAGAAACCCGAGGATGGCGATGAAGGTGAAGCCATCACAATGCTCCCCATGTACTTTAGTCTGCAAAACATGGTCGGAACTTGGCAACAATTCATGTCCACAGCGTCACCCGAACTGCAGGGCGTAGAACCTGCCATCAATCTCATGTCGCTCCATGAGTTGGTCGACCTGATGCAGCAGGAGTCGGAGGTCGACTGGCGCAACGTGGTGTTGGTTCCAGGAATGCCCAATGGACAAGGAGGTGGCCCAGGTGAACCTGTTGCACCCCAGCCTACAGGAGGTGGCATGGCTTCCATGGGTGGTGCTACTTTGGATGACGTGAGCTAATCGGCATTCTACTACCAGGTATAGACCTTCATTTTCATGCGTAAAGCAATGTAAACAAACCTAGATGCTTCTTCGGAATATTAGTAGAGCTTCGTCACTGCCACGACAACTGGAGTGTGAATGGGTGCTTCGACTGCGCATCATTATGATCCCAACTATCCCAACGAGGCATACTACTTCGGAACAGGAGAATCACCGAACCCTGCATTCGATCGCTTGTTAAGATGGTTGGAATGCGGGTGATTGAGGACATGGAAAACCTTCGGTACAGGCGAAGGGTTGCACTTTGCAAGAATTGATCACTAGCTCTAGATAATTTAAAAGAAAGCCACCAGTCTACTGCTGTACATCTCTTTCGTAAGCCTTACTCCGAAACCGCGCGTAGGAGCGCATCGCATGTGTCCTTGGCATCTCCAAGAAGCACATCCGAGTTGTCTTTGAACAGAATCGGGTTCTGCATACCAGCATAACCTGTGTTGCCGAGAGACCTCTTCATGACGATCACGTTCTTGCCCTTCCAAACACGTAGGACTGGCATTCCATAAATGCTACAGCTTGGATCGTCTTCGGCTGCACTAGATACTGTGTCCGATGCACCAATGACAAGCGTAACGTCAACATCTGAAGCACGGTTGCAAAGATCATCCGTTAGACACAAGAGAAGCACCACACAATCTGCTTTCGCCACTACCGTACTGCTTACCTTCAAAGTCATCATTGATTTCTTCCATTTCAAACACCATGTCGTATGGTACACCAGCCTCAGCAAGAAGCACGTTGAGCTGACCTGGCATTCTGCCGGCAACTGGGTGAATTCCAAACTTGACGTCTTTGCCCATGGCCTTGAGCTTCTTAGCAATCTCGGCGACCGCGAATTGTGCCTGAGCAACAGCCAATCCGTATCCTGGTGTGATAACAATCGTCTTGGCCTCCATCAATGCATCCTTGACTCTGTCTACAGTTGTCGTCTTGGCTTCGCCCTTGTAGATATCAAGAACCTCCCCTGTTGGGGCTGCAACTACTGTTCCGGCGCCACCAAGAATGACAGACACAATGTCTCTTCCCATTGCTTCACACATGATCCACGTGAGGATAGCACCAGAGAAACCGATCAGAGCACCAACTTGTGCCAGGAGGGGATTTCCCAAAAGGAATCCTTCTGCAACGAGTGCCCATCCAGAGTAGGAGTTAAGCACCGTGATCACAACAGGCATGTCTGCTCCACCGATACTGGCAGTCAGGTGCCAGCCTAGTACCGAGGAGACGGCACCCACTAATCCCAGACTCGCAAGTGTCACAGTCTCGGGATCAAGAGAGCCAGCAAGAGCAGGGTTCAAAAACGCTGCCATTCCCAAGCCACATGTGGCAAGCATAGCAATGTTGAGTTGATCTCTTCCTGGAAGTTGCAATGGTGCTGAATCCATCATTCCCGAGCTGTGATCAGAAAGAAGCAGATAATGACATCATCAGCAAAGCTTCAAAGCAAGAAACAACAACAAACAGCCAGAGCCGAACTTACAGCTTTCCAAATGCAACAATTGATCCTGCGAAGGTTACTCCGCCAATGAAGGTCGCAAGGTAGATTGCCGACATGGTTCCCATGTCAAGACCACTGCCGCTGCCTAAGAACTCTCCAGCAGCTCCAGCCATGGCCGCCAAACCAACGAGTGAATGGAAAGCAGCCACGGTCTGGGGGAGTTCAGTCGGTCCGACCTTGGACGCAAGGAAAGCACCGATAGCAGCACCAATTCCGCCCAGAGCGCCCACTTGTCCGAAGGCAATGGGTCCTGCTCCACCAAGCGACATTTCAGCAGCAGTGGAGGCCAAACCAAAACCAACACCTGCCATACCCAGGACGTTGCCAGTGCGAGCTGTTTCTTGGTTGGCGAGTCCGGCAATGGCTGCAATGCAGCAGATTGCCGATGCGATTCCTGCAGAGCCTGACATGACGCTGAGGTCTCCAACTCCACCAAAAGCAGAAACTCCCAGGCCTCCGAGGATAATCGCAAAGGGGAGAGCGTAAAATTCGAAGAAATCCTTGGGGTCGGTGGGGCGTTTGAAGAGGTCAAGCATCTTTCCGGAAACCAAGAATCCACCAGAGATATTGATAAACGATAGGATGACAGCAAGGGCACCCATCCAGTGTGCAGGCGAATCTGGGATCAAGCTACCAGACTGCGCTGCATGACTAAAGAGAAGCATTCCACCAACGGCTGTCATACCGGAAATAGCATTGGTCACAGCCATTAAGGGAGAGTGCAAAGCAGGAGCCACACCCCAGACAACTTGGTATCCAGCAAGGCCAGCCAGTGCAAAAGTTGACATCAAATTGACACTCTCCTTCTCGCCAGTTGCCAACCCATATGCAACCAAGGCCGCTGCAGCCAAACTGGCAGTTTGCGTATTCTTGATGAACTGTGCCTTTTGCTCTTCCGTTGCCAAAGCCAGCATTTCTTCCTCCGTGAGAGGCTCTTCAGGTTCTGGTTGCTTGGGTGGCGGTGGTGGTTGGAATGGCGTAATCTTGTCAGGCCAGCGTGCCTCGCCGTTGTAGGAGATGAGCATGTTTTGGACAGCATCGTCCTTCAGATCAATCACAAACTGGCCCTTCTCCTTTGTGGTCTGTGGTCCAATGCTGAGTGCGAACTTGGCAACATTGTTGGCAAACTATGGACGCAGAAATTGGACAAAAGGATTAGATGGCGATTCAGGTTGGCTGATCTTCCATCCAGCCATTTAGAAAAAACACACACAAATTACATACCAAGTTACTGGCGGTAGCAGCCAATCGAGAAGGCAAGTCGGTGTAACCAATAATCTTGACACCATTGGAGGTTGTCACGATTTCATCCTTGGCACAACCCTCGACGTTTCCTCCGTTGGCAGCAGCCAAGTCAACGCAAACTGAGCCTGGCTTCATGACAGCGAGCATCTCTTCATTGACCAGCACTGGTGCCTTTCTCCCTGGGATCAACGCAGTGGTAATAATGATATCAACTTCCTTGGCTTGTTCCAACATCATTTGTGCCTGAGCCTTTTTGAATTCATCAGACATTTCCTTGGCATATCCACCGCTTCCACTGCCATCTTCCTTGAAGGGGACTTCCAAAAAGGTGGCTCCCATACTTTCCACTTGTTCCTTGGTAACTGGTCTGACATCAAAGGCCCGCACAACGGCTCCCAAGTTTTTGGCAGTTTGGACGGCCGCCTGAGGAACGAAGAAAACCAAAGCAAGCGTAAGAAAGTTTGAAAGAAGGCACTGACAAGACCAGGCAAAATATAGATGGCTGCCATACCAATCCTGCTACTCCAGCACCAAGCACAAGAACCTTGGAATTGAGAACAACAAGAAATTAGGTGAGACATTCGTTTGCACAAAACGAGATAATACATTGAGAAAAAGCCAAATTTGGATACCTTGGCAGGTGGAACTTTTCCAGCAGCTGTCATTTGTCCGGCAAAGAATCGTGGGAAGGCTTCTGCAGCTTCAATGACGGCACGGTATCCAGCAATATTGGCCTGACTACTAAGGGTATCGTAAGATTGTCCTCGACTGAGCATACGGGGAACACAATCCAACGCAAAGACGTTGGTGCCCTGATCGGTCAAAGTCTTGTACAAATCCCCGTTGATGGCTGGTTGGATCGTACTGATCAAAGTTTTTCCAGCAAGCATGGGAACCTCGTCGTCAGAGGGGGGTCTGATTTTTGTGATAATGTCGGCATCGGCAAGCAGTTGTTGCTTTCCTAGGACAACAGCTCCTGCTTCCAAAAAGGCAGCGTCACTGAAGGAAGCCCGTTCACCGGCTACAAAGGAAAGAAGGAGAGACGAGGAGAAGAGAAGAGTTTTGGTTAGACAACAACAACAAGAAAGGAATATTCATGCGCTTGCCCACAGACAACTAACTGACCTCCCTGCTCCACCACGACGGTCAATCCTTCCTTAACCAAGGAACGGATGCTATCGGGGGTCTGCGAGACCCGATTTTCGCCTGGAAAGGTTTCCTTCAGAACTCCAATGGTAAGCTCCGAGTAGGGAATAGGCTTTCCCAGCAACTCGCTGGCAGGTTCCTCGAGAAATGTGGCTGCCGGGCCATCCTCGTCAACCGAATCCTTTTGCTTCTGATCACCTTCCACAGTCGCAAAAGTCTTGAAACTGCTCGTACGAACAGGCCCACGGGTCAAGGTCCGAGTGGACAATGACGAGGAAAAACCATGGACTCCTGATACCAGGAAAAGGCTTAGTAATTGAAGCTTCATCTTGAAAGAACAATCTATCAATTTTCCTGTCTTTGGATATTGTGAGCACGATATCTTCTTCTTCCGCGCAGCCTCGACAAAGATACTCTTGAGATTGATTGATAGTCAACGTGGTACCAAAAAAAGAAGTTTCGAATCTGACCTATTGTATCGGTATTGCCCGAGGCTATCACAAGGGTATCAGCTGTCGATTGTTTGTTTTGTGTCTTTTTGAATTGGTGAGAAAATGCCGATCAAGCTTCCAGCAGCCTTCGCAGCTGTTCGCATCCCATCAAAAAAAGATACCGCTGAAGATTGGTTTAGGTGTGTCCGGCAGCCTCCTGGCGGAAGATCCAAAGAACAGAGCCATCAACGCGCCACCCGATAGCTTCCACGTCGCCCTTTTTTGGAGGATCAGAACCCATTGCAGTGGATCTAACCCGGAGATCTCAGGTTCTGGATCTTTAGAAGAAAATTCAGAGCTGCGGGAGTCGAGTCGAGTAACAGTCAGTCGGTGTACCGGTACCACGGTAGGACCAAAACGAAGATCTCTGTTACTATTGCAGGAATACTTTTAGGCTTGAAGGTTGAGCTTTTATCCTCTAGCTAGTAGCTACTGGCTAGAGCTAGAGCTAGCTAGAGCTATTTTTGGACATATCCAAGAAGTGAGAAGAGAGGCATACATCGTAGCCGTGACGAGCAAGGATCCCAACACATGAGGGCGCCGTTACAACATTGCAAAAACTGAGCGATCGCTTGTTGCTTGAAATACCAAGTTGGCTTGTTGGTTTCCGCATTTTGTTAGCCGCCATCAGTCAAATGCCCTTTCGCTGGAAAGCTTAGATTAGTCATAAGCAAAACTCACCCTGCTCTCTCAGGCAGGCGCAAGGTAGATGGAATCGATCCGTTTACTCTCAGTAAATGTAACAGTTCCAAATACGCTTCGATCCTCTCATCGTAGAGTATTTCGAACAGTTCTATTTACGTTGAGTAACTGGATCAGTTCCGTTTACGCTACGTGATATACCGTGGAGTAGTTGGAACAGTTCCATTTACGTTTCGATAGTCATCGTGGAGTGTTCGGATCAGTTCTTTTACATCGAGTAACTGATCAGTTCTGTTTTCGCTACTGGAGTAGTTGGAACAGTTCCGTTTACGTTTCGATCGTTACCGTGGATTTTCGATCAGTCTGTTTACATAGAGTAACTGGATCAGTTCCGTTACGTCCCGTGATATACCGTGAGTAGTCGGAACAGTTCCATTTCTCTGCGCCGCAGCAGCAGCAACAGCATCCATTACAAAAGTCATCCACCACACTCCACCAAGTCTCTTTCACCTCACCCAACCATTGCTGATCCCTCTGCTTGTTTGTTGTTGCTGCTGTTGTTGTGTTTCTACTACTAGCTGACTACTACTACTCTTGGTTCCACTGTTGTTTGCGGTTTGCTTCTGCTCCAGTCACTTGCACCATGGCATCTCTTGGTGGGAGACCTGAGTTGGATTTATCTCCTGGGGAGCGGAGTGACAGGAAGAAGCAAAAGTTCAAGAAGGCAGGGATCAGATCAACTGCTGAAGAACTTTAAACCCCAGAACTCTGTCTTCCTCATTGTGTTCCCGAACAACTCATTGACTATTAGCTCTATGGTACTGAGAAGGCCGCCTTTGAACACCATGAAGAAATTAGCTTTGAGAATCGGTATGACACCTTGAGCTCTTAGACTTTATGACAGGAGTTCAAACTTCAAACACTCATTTGTATGGATCGATCCACAAAAAAATTCATTCGATCATCCCGGTTTCAATGCAGAACTCCAAACGTTGATTGCCAACAATCAATGGACACACTGTCTACTGCTATTGCCGCCACGGAAGACAAGCCATCCCACTTGGTTGTGCCACACATCAATCAAGTAATTGCCAGCTTCTTCGCCAGAGCATTGGCAATCTTCCCGTTCCGGATGGCCAGCAGTCGCGTCCCCAAAATTTTGCCTTGTGAAGCAGACTTCACTCGTCAAGGGCATCTATGAGCGTAAGGCTGATCTCACGAAGCTATTGTCATCCAATTTTGATATCTGTATTTTTGGAACAGATATTGGTCTATGGGAGAATGGCTACCTCCAGGGTGAAACTGATAATGTTCTGATCCAGCCAAAAAGGAGGCCTTTCCAACTCCCTTTTTGCCGGAGTATATGAGTTTTGTGGTGATCTGGCCATCTTTGGTAGAATGAAGTTCTATCCACCCCTGTCAGTGACGAACGCTTTCCAGGACAAACCCCTTCGTGATCATGCCCTCAAGCCTTTGCGTGCGCCCACATTGGAAATTCAATTTGGATTGGATAATGTCCAATACCCTGGTGGCGTCTACCCCACTCCGTGGTCGAATACTACTTGGACGCAGATCTACAACAAGTACTCGATAATCATTTCGACTGAGTGTGGAAGAAACGATAATTCTCTTGAAGTGCCAAGGGGCATCAAGTGTGGTAGTCAGGGTGGATCGAGGCAAATGGGCTTGCCATCAAGCCAATCAATCAGTGTGGCGCCCTTGGTGTTCTCTTTTTGAAATCTACCGAGGGTGAGGTCGTTGCTCATGATCCATTCTTCCGGAATCACCTTATCTACCGAGTCGACCTCTGCTACGATGATGCTGGTGACACCACAGGTGGTCGTGATTGCAAGAAAATTTTGGTAATCGAGATGGGTGTGCTACCTGCGGCGGAGTCGTTCTTGACTGACAGCTCTGAACATAACCAGCAGCTTCAGAAAATTGCATGTGTGATCATTGCTTTTTACCTCAAGTATGGTGACGAATGGCCTCAGTAAAATGGATATGCAGAGTATGGCAACAAATGGCCTCAGTAAAATGGATATGGAGGAATTAAATATTTAGGTGAGTACACGATACTATGATTTCAGAGCCAGTTTTGACCGTCTTCGCTAACACTTTGTTTGCTGTCCTCATGTCGTTTTCTTGGTCTCTTCTTTGCTTCACCAGCAGATTTGATTCTATTAGGCTTTTTTCTTTTTTCCGTTTTGTGCAGTAGATCCAGTATGACACTGTTTTGTTGCCGGCCACTATGATCGTCATTGCGGAAATGATTGTCTGAATCCTCCATCATCTGGGCAAAACAAGAGGTTAAGCGCTGGTTGTAAATTGCTTTCAATTTGCATCTTTGGAAGCCAGGTCTGCAAAAATTTGGAGTCTTGCTACATTGTCATTGAAGAAATGGCCAGTCTGGGGTGGGTGGACATGTCGCCCTCGGACAATGGCCGGTGTTGTGTGTTCGTCTGGCTCCGGACAACCAAAATCTTGACTTAATCCACTTTCTTCAAACAAGGAGGAGAGCGGGATTTCATCGGTATCATCCTGGACTTGAACTACGTGTAGACCGGTCTTGTCTGACTGATAGCACACGGATTTTTCTTGATTCCAAAAGTCCACAGGTAAGTCGCTGTTGTCAACTTCTCTCACTTGTTTCTTTATGTGCTGAAATTCCTCAGTCGAAATCAAAATTCGGTGGTCCCGGTTTGCAGCTTCATAGAACTCGGTGATCCTTCTGTCTGTTCCGAAGAAGGCCGCATACTTCCTGTGGTATCGAGGAATGAAATGACCAATTTGAAGCTGTATCAAGCATGCCAAGTATCTACATGGATGGCCATCATTGTGCAAACAACTGCAATTCACCATATACCAATTGTCATCGACGGTTGTGAAGGTAATCTCGCGCAATCTCACCCACTTTGGAATGGGCGATCTCTCATCACATGTTGAACAGTACTCAGCAGTTTCGTTGTTACAGTCCATACAATACAAGCCCTTTTGGTTCCGTCTTTTCATGATGACACAGTGAGTTGTGAAGTCCCACTTGTAGGCATAGCTTTGACTTTGTTCGCACAGTTGCTTGCCAATGCTTTCACCCATTCTGGTAAGATGTGCACCAGTATTTGTGCTGGTCCACAACGGTCTCCTTTTTATGTCTTGTTGGACTGCTCTTTTCAGGTTTGTCAGTCTTATGTCAACCTGCTGTGTTTGTGTTTTGACAGATTCCAGAAGGCTCATGTTGGGTTGAACTTTCTTGGAGCATCCGTGCTTCATCGTCTGGTGAACCCCTCCCTCCAATGCTGAGGTGGCCTTTTGTTGCAAGTGGAGTTTATGTTTCCTATTTGGAAAGTACCAACGGCTCTTGTGGTTCATGATTCGGATCAGCTCGAGCTCCAAATGGTAAGAGTTGTGCTTGAGGTCCTCAGAGGCTCCTTTCGGTCGCATCATCATTGCGAAATGCCTTCAGCCACTGGACCAACAATCTATGTGAGATTTCAAATTCCTCATCAGTCTCAATTCCTCCAAGACACATCCAGGTAAAGACCCATCTTTTGAAAGTCTCGATTTGATTCAATACAAAGGGATCATCCTTCCCTACCAATTTACTTCCAGCTTCAGCCAGTGGTTTGGTCACAAGATGGTAAATGCACAATCCATGAATGGCATTTGGTAAGCTTTTGGGCTGGTGTTCTTTCAAACGATAGATAGATGTTTGGGTCACCGTCACTGAGCACCAGCTGAGTTCTTGCAAGAGAGTACATGCCAAGTAACAATGGTATGGCACTTCCAAACAGCCAACTGAAGACCCACCTACATTGGGAAGGTAAGTAGGCCCTTAATGGTGTGAAGAAGAACATGTCCCTGCCTGGTGAGCAACTTGTAAACAGAGGCCTTCCCTGATTGTTTGTTTGAAACGTTACATCAACCATAAGAACTTCTGGATACTTCTGAAACAGTTTTCTCTCTTCTTCAGTGCACCAGGCACAAGCAAGGAACACCTTTTTGCCCACTTGCATATCTTGCTTCATGGCCAATAGTGCCTCTGCAATACCAACCTTCTCTGCAGCTGACTTAAGTCTCAGCTGCTGGACAGTGGAACTGGAGTCCTCATAGGTGAGCTGTATATCTTCAGCTTGTTCCAGGTCCTCATCAAAGACACCCTCATTGTTCATCTGTTGAGCCCTCCTATTCATGCTGGCCTTTGAAATGGTTAGCAAACTTGTCTCAGTGACCTCGTGATACAATGCAACGAATCTCATCTTCTTCAAAGATACTTGCTCCCTGAGGTACTCGATAAGAGCCTGGGATTGGGATACAGGTTTGTTAGAAGTGGGAGACTTGTTGTAACGGAGCTGATCTTTGGAAGGTGCTAGGGTGCCAGTTGCCTTGCTAGTCAAAGCCATCGCGGCACCGGCAGGACAGATTTGGCTATACGTTTGGGCCAGATTCAATTCTTCCTGCGAGTAGGTTTTCATTCTTCTATGTTTGTCAACAAATGGAGTTCGAGAATGGTTGTGAATACCCAGTGCCTTACGAGTTCTCTTGAAGTACCAGTACTGGCCAGGGACCAACCTCAATTTGAATTCAACAGGGCATTTTTTGTGGGGCTTAGATGTCTCGGTTCTGCGGGGAAAGCTCCTCCCATCTGGACCTCGACTACCTTTCCCCTTGTCTACTATTCTATCCTGTCTAAAGTTTTCCTTTTGGTTCTCTTTTGCCGATGTTGTGGCGCCCCGTTGACTGTAGTATTTTCGCTTGCATTCACAAAGTAAATAGTAGTGAATCTCATTGCCAACAGTTTTGTCAATCTTGCCTTTGATAAGAGTTGTGTCAGAATGTTTCATAGCTTTGTCGATGATCAAGTCTAGAGTAACATCTTTCTTGTCAGGATCAGGTTCATAGATAGAAGGAGGAAGTATGATCTTTGTTGTCGGCCCAATCCATCAAAGCAGAACATGCAGCAAAGGTCAATTGGAAGATTCCCCTCCACATCCTCAAGGCTAATGGAATGTACCAACCAACTGACTTCTTCTGTAGAAGTCTGGATACGTGGATTAGTTTGTGTTGGAAACATGGTGCACTTGTCTGAAATATCATGAGCTGACTACTTTAGGAATGAAATGAAAGGGCACATTGTGTTCAAAGACCAGAACCTCTTTAAAGGCAGCAACCATACCACACCAATGACAGTTTAAGGCGGACAGTATTCGGAACGGTTCCGATTACGTTCCGAGAAGGTTCGAGAAGTTAACAGAACTGATCCGATTACATTCTATGGAACGGTTCCGTTTACTGTCCGCCATGACTACGTGAGTAAATAGATCCGTTCTGTTTACATCACGTAAATGGAACGGTACCAAATACCCCAACGGACGAGCGGGGTGACTTTTGCTTATGTCTAATCCGAAGTCATGTCCTGATTTCCAGTCAAGCGATTGTCTGTTGTTCTGCTATGCCTAATCCTTTGTACGGTGCCAATTGCGCACAGGCACACGCATTTTGTATTGAATCAGAACAAACGAATACCACCCACTTCAAGAGCCTGTTCAAGAGGTAGCTTCTGTAAAGGAGCCGGTACCCACCGTCGAGGCAGCCAATGTTTGGTTCTGTTTCTTTCTACTAATGGCGGCGACCGTCGCCGCCACCATCTCGAAGGCTTTCACGCCGTACGTCTCGGCAGCCGCTTGCCACTCGTCTGCGTCTGGATAGTATGACCAGACCCAATGGTTTTCATCGGGGATTTCCTTGTAGAATGTCATCCACCTCGTAATCATGCCCCCGAGGAGATGATAGTCTCTTATGCGAAGATTCTTCTTTTTCAGTATATACTTCGGAATTCTGGGTTCTCCAGTATCCATCATGTAAGCCAGCTCACGACGCGGTGCAAAGGAGAAGTTAAAGGGCGTGTCGTAGCGATCTCGGGATTGCCAGTATCGAATGTACGACACAGGAGCTACATCGCAAGGAATAGCCGAAGGATGACTTCCAATCCAATTCTCTGCTGTGAAGCGGCCTTGCCCAAAAAAGGCTCCCTGTCGTTTGAAGCCTTTCTGAAATAGCATGTTCATGGTCCTGTTTCCAAGAAGCGGCTCCGCAACTCGCTCAATATAGTCTGTCATGAGATTCTCGTAAGTTACGGGAGGCAATAGCTTATTGATGTAGGAACATTTTGCCGTCCAAAAGTTTCCAGGAATCTACAGCAAGGGAATTGGTTAGAAAAGTTGCTTGGCAGGACCGCAGGAAACGTCGTATTGGGCGACTGCACTTACATGTAACCATGGTAGAGGTGTCACGAGAAGACCGCAAAAGTCACACACATCATCTGGAGGATGAACACATAGTTGGCTGGTTGCTGCACTTGTCCCAGCACGGCGCCAAACGTTCTGGTCTACCACTGCGCCCCCCCCTGGGTGGTAACTACCCTTGTTATGAAGGTACACCACTCGATGGTTCGCAGGCTTGTCGTCGCAATAGCTCCTCAGTCGTTCTAGAGTTTTCTCTTCAAACCCTTTCGAGTGGTATCCCAATCGTTTGCAGGACAGATTGTTGAAGCGAGAGCAAACGTTTTGCACCATTCCGTCGTCGAGGCGTCGCCCAATGGAAACGTAGTACAATGACGCGTGATCAGCAGTGTTTTCAAAGGATGTGCCGATCTGCTCGAGTTGTTCCCTTACGATTTCCGCGGCTGCCTCGGTAGTGTTGATAGGCCAGGGCAGATATACGTTGTAAAATACTGCAACCTCTGTCTTGTTGACATCATTGCTGGGTGATATATCTGGAGATTTGCCTAGCGGTTTCTTCGGGTTATCGATGAACGAGGCCATGCTTTTGTCTTGTAGTTGGATTTCCTCTAGTGTCCGGCCATTGGAAATGGCTTTTTTTAAACTCAAGATATGGAAGATTGCAATAATGAGCAATGAACATTGTGCCAGCCAAATTTTTGATGGATTCATTCCTTCTACGGAGCCCTTCCTTGCGCCGCGAGCACCCGAGAGTTTCCCTTTCCCATGTTTGATGCGTTGACGACCCATTGGTTGGGGAACGGACCTCTATCGTACCACCACCAAATAAAGCAACGTCCTCTTGCACCTCCAGCTCAACAGCGATGGATGATGGTCTTGTTTGTTGCTGCTGTACTGTACTGTACTGTACTGTACTGTACTGTACTGTACTGTACTGTACTGTACTGTACTGTACTTGCAATTGGTATGGTCATACTTTGTTGTTGTCGTCCACAGCAACAACGGCAAGAGGCGAAGGCTCGCAAAGAGCTGCAAAGAGTCGCCAAACAAAACGGCGAACTTCGGAACTCGCTGGTCGATTCCCACGGCAATTTTAGTCGAATTGAATCTTTCAATCGAATCGAATCGAATCACAATCGATGATTCGATTTGATTCTAATTCGGTGGCTGACTCAATCGACTTCGTACCTTCCTTCCCTTCTTATTTTCAGCCACCATGCTAGCTAGCATGGCAACCGAAACACCACAGGGGCTCTCTCAAGGCAACCCGTATGTATTATAGACAAAACCACCTGAGGGGATTCGTCTTTTGGTTGATAGAACTTGCGCTACATTGGTTCATTTTCATCTTTGGCAATTTTGGTATTGGACTTTTACTCTCCTGGTGCTTCCGTCGTTTGCGTAGTGTCGTTGACATTTTGTGGAAGATGATTCGAGGCGCACACGCCAAGCTAGTATCCGCCAACATACGGCGCCAGACCATGGTCAACAAGTCCGCAAGAACCCTTCGACGCATGTCATCACGTCTTCGGCGATTCTCGTCGTCGTCGTCATCTCCAGGGACGGCACTTCCCAAAAGTGAGAATTCCACTACGAGAGGCATTCCAGCCAGTCATCCAGGTGTGGGTTCCTTTGTCAGTCGTTCGGAATATCTCAAACGGAAGGGATCAACGCAACAACAAGCCAGTGGAAATCAGTTATTTATTCGGGCTGGACTGCCCTTTGTCCTCTTCACTGTGGGAGCTTTGTGGGTCGTCTCTAGTGCCATTGATGGCAAGCTCAAGGAACGAGCCGCGTCCAGAAGAGAGGTTAGTTTATCGGAGCGCCAAGCACTCATGGAAGAAGAACACGATGACATGATGCAGAGGTTAAACAAGGCAGCCAAGACAGACTTTGACAATACAAAACGAATTGAAAGACCAGAAGATATTCTGGCAAGGCGCAAGGCGGAACGTGAAAAAAGAAATGCTTGGCACAGACGTCTTTGGAGATGGGTCAAACAAGAGGAATGATCATTCGATTCAGATTAATCCAAGGATCTATTAATAGCTAGATAGCGAGATATATATACATATGACTTATCCTACTAGCTAGTTAGCTACATTGCCAATTCGATTATTCTTTCCGGCAATTTCTTTTCCTTGGAACTTGGAGCTCTATCTCTGGATGAACCTTCCAGTTGGCATCTTCCGCCTTCCGACACGGGGGCTAACCTGGCTGGCCTGAAAGTAGGAGGTACCGGTACCTGGAACATTTTCTCAATGGATCATGGCGTGTTGCACGATATCTCCAACAGATATCCGTGCTCAGTCGCCTTCTAGCTAGTTCCATTCTGGAGCTACCGGGACGTTCCGTTGCCACGAAGAATACCCTTCGAAAGAGTCAGAGCCCAAAAACCCAGTGCCGCGATGAGGACAGTGATTGCACGATGGTATGTACTAAGATGCTTGCTGCTATTTTAGTACACTATAGACTTGCTAAACTCAGGTGATTCTCTTGTGAGTTGATTTCTGGGCAACCTCTCATTTGTCTGGATGGATTGCTGCTGAGTCAAAAGGCAAAATAAAAATGAAACGAAAACCAATCATTCTTGCTACCTTTCTCTCCTGCATGCTTGGACGTCTTACTTCTTGCGTGCCATGAAGAAATAGGAAGGTGTGAAGATCTCGTCCTTGCCTCCCTCCACAAGATCAAGGGCAGTGGCGTTCAAAAGAGCGCTGACCTTGACTGTTCCTTTGGGTGCGATCCATAGGAATTCCAGCGTATTGACCAGAATGTGGGTGCAAATGCGTCCCAAGCGAGTCATGCGGAAACCCTTGATTGTATAGGAGCCGTTCAAAGTATCGTACCAGGGAATTTGACTGGGACTATGGACACTCTTGTTGGCATCAAAGTGTTCGAGAACCTCGAATCCAGAGTCTTCCAACGCCTTTACAACATCTGCGGAGGTGGCAAGAGTAGGCAGCCCATTTCCAACTTCAATCCCTTCCTTGATTTCCAGGTGCCTTTTGTTGTTTTTGTCAAATCCGCCTTCTGGCAAGACAACCCAGTCATAGCCAACGAAAATACCTCCCTTCTTCAAGGACTTGTTGACTCCAGAAAAGCACTTGACACGGTCAGGACTGTGGCAAGTGGCCTCAATGGCAAATGCGACGTCATACGTGTCTGGCTCAAAGATTTCATCCAGCTTCTGGAAATCTCCCTGGACCAAACGGCACTTTTCGCCAATTCCTTTTTGTTGGCAATATTCATTGCCAACCTTGACCTGATACTCGTTGATGGTGACACCAGTGATATCAGATCCAGTGAACTGCTGGATGTTGCGCATGGGTCCTCCAACACCACAGCCAACGTCAATGGCCTTGGTTTTTGGGCCCATTCCAGCGCGAAGGGCCAAGTAGTACTCACAACGCTTGATGGATTCAATGAAGGTTTCACCCTTGACACGAGGAGCAAAGTGGAAAGACTAACAGATCCAATAAAGAAAATTAAACATGGACCCAACCGCCCGAAAAAATGACAGCGCGACAGCAAAAATGACGCAAAAAAAGATTTTCATGAGGATCGGGTTTCCCACGATGACGAGTCTCACAAAGACAAACAATTGTAACGAACCTGTCCCCAGCCCCACTCGTAAAAGTCAGTGACCAGGTTATAGAAGCTGTCCACCATGGTCTTGTACTCTTTTTCTCGCTTCTTGATACTGTCATCACTGTGGATTTTGCCAGTTTCCTTGCGGGCTCCATCGAACAAATTCTCATAGCCATCGATGGAATCCTTGACCTTGTCACGGGACAAGACAGATTCCTTGTTGGACAAGAGATTGAAGCTGCCTGTGAAAAAATCAGTGAAAGTGCCACCATGGGCATCTCTCTTGAGGGTTCTTGAGACACGGTACGCCACATTCGCTCCAACAAAGGCCATGCAGGCCATACCAACAGGTGTGACGGATCCTTCGTCCATCATGGCCTTGCTGATATCATTCAGCATTTTCTCCGTCTTGGCAGAGAGCACCATCTTGAGTTTTTTGCTTTGTTATTTGTTATTGCTGTTATCCAACCACAACAACTAAAAATGAGTCAAGATCGGCAGCATTGGCCGTGTCTTTTTTCGTCTGTCCGCGCAGGATACCATGTTTCGTGTCCAAAGATCAAAGGCAGGACAGAAGGCAAATCCAATGGTCGGTCATCTTTGCTCTAATCGAATTTTGTCGCCTCGGCCCCTCCCCGCTCGTTTTATCGGAACGACCACATGTGGATGTGCCAGGCAAAAGCAAGGCTGCTTGGGAAGCATTCAAAACTCACGGCTTTGGTTTCGCGGACATAGAACGGGTCGGTCAATGTGACTTTCTCCGGTTACCGGCTTCGCGGTTGCAAGCAGGTTAGCTACGGTGCTACAGTCGTACGGGCTACGTGGCAAGATGTTGCTTCGGAGCCAGCCAGCCAGCGAGCTACGGCGGCTGGGAACATGTACATGTAGCATTGGAAGCTTAAGGTTTGGTTGGGGCTGGAGCGTTCATCAGAAGCCGAACAAGTAGACTAGCCAGAGACACCAGACCCCCGCCAGTCGCCAGTACACGAGAAGCTCGATTGTGGCTCGGGGTGTCTTCCGTGCAGGCACTAACTTTCAGGCTCTGCACTACACCCCTTCAGCTGTTGGAATGCTGGAGAGCATTGCGTCTGACACGGAGGGCACCGGCTCCTCGGCGAAGCAAAAGACTCAAGCTTTGTTTCAAAACTATCTGCTAATATTAGGAAACTTGTGCGGTTGGCCAAACTACAACTCACCACTAGCACGTAAACCCCAGCTGCCTGACATTGCCACACCGCACCGCCACGAAAACACCCACCGTTTTTTCACGTAACACAGAAACAAGATGACAGCAATGTCAAATCAACAGCAAAGCTACCATTCAATATCAGCCAACACTAGCAGCAGCATAGTCCCAACACTCCAGCATGCATGAAGCTTTTTGCTCCGTGTCATGTTGAGAAGAAAACCTGCCAAGGAGACCAAGCACAGCTTTGGATGGGTGCCAAAAACATCGATGGCATAGGGCAGCGCCGTAAAGGTGCTGTTTTAAACAGGAAGTAATGGACAAAATGAGCAAAAGATCCATTGCAATCCGCCTCTGCTTTGAAAGAACCTGAACTTACGCATAGATTTGACACAGGTACACAGAGAATGTGAACCATGCAGGTAAAATTTTCTTGAATCGAAGGGTATGAAGGAACACTCCAAGGGAAACTGTTCCAAGATTGAGCAGGTACAAACCATGAACAAACATTTGATTTTGTGGCTTGACGATTCCCAGAAACACCATAAAGTTGATGTGAAAGCCAAGAAAGTACTTTGCCCATAGATAGAAGATCTTGATCATAGTTGTTCCTATTTCGTAGAAGCGTTCTAGGCCTGATGAGCGTGTATTCTTCTGACGGGTTGCTGCCTTGTTGAAGCTGGTGACAGGGAAGAATGGGCGGACTATGGCATAGGGAAAGAAGATGAACAAAATTTCGACGAACTTCCCAGGTAGAGTGGATCTGAGTAACTCCCGTCGGCCACTATCGTAATACACTGAGCCAAAAAGGCACATCATTTGAAAGAAAGCATTCTCATGGATAAAGTCTCTGGATAAGACTCCTTTGTCCGAGTAGTACCCTGCGTCAACGCCTTTTGGTAGTACCTTGAAGGAAAAGTAAGCAGAATAGGCTTGTACAACACCTGTGTGCCAGACAGCAATGCATTGAGGCGGGGGCTGTACCGTGAACAACTCGGGCTCCATACAAACAGCAACATCGCAATCGCTGAGCGTTCTTACCGTTGATTGCCAGGGAATGAGTCAAAAAGCTCTGAGAGCCATCACCGCGATAGTCTGTCAAGAACTCCACCCATGCCAAAGTGTATTGTATCAAGAACAAAAGTCCCATGTAACGGTGCATTTTATGCCTCGAAGCTCTTTGCCCTGTCCACACACCTGCTCGAAGGGGAGCCCAAAAGAAAATTCCAACCAGAGATGCCACAAGTGCCGTGACAACTGCCGCAATCACATATTCTTGTGTGCCTCGAATATCTCCCATATAGATTGAGTTCATCAGATCCTTGAGGTACTCGAAATGATTATAGATTGTTCTCGAAGAAGTGGTAACAGAAGCCCACCATTGCTGCAGGGTCTTGACTTGGTACATGCCACTGCATGATTGAAGCAAGATGATAATCAGGACTGAAATGTACAAACTGTTTGGAATTCTTCCTCGCTCTCCCAAGCTTTCAACAGTCCTCTTGGTCCTAACCACACTCTTGTTGCCAGATGCATCTGCTGTCTTGGCTCGGGCCACTGGTGTTGCATTCGCATTGGCATCAGTTTCAGAGTCATCAGAACTTGAATCTGTGTAGACCTTTCTCTCCGGCAGATGTTCCTTTGGACCAAGGTTCTCCCCAATTTTGGACACAGCAGCGGTCATGATGAGATACTGATAACAACCTTTCTTGAGCTCTTGCTTTGTGCTGCTCGAGTGCTCGTCAAAGAGCACAGAGACAAAGCAGCCAACAAAAAGTAAAGCGCGAAGCCGTTACGAATTTTCCGAATGGTCAAACCACCCTGGTTGAGTGACGAGTCAAGTCCATTCCCGTGCTGGGCGGGTCTGCACCCCACAGACGCTTGCTCCACCGGCACGCACCGCGGGTGAACCCAAACTGCATGACTTTTTAGTCACTAGCTACCGTACTACTAGTGGTTCTCCTCTAGCTAGCTAGCTAGCTAGTATGGTACCAGTACTAGCCAGTACTGCATGTGTAGCAAAGGGCTCATTTTCCCCCTGCTACCAAAGTACCTTTGGCTGCCTGCTGGATGAGCAGAAGCTCACCCTTGCCAACGGGCTAGCTAGTAGCCAGCTAGCTAGAGGCCCAGATTGTTCACAATTCACGAACTGCGTTGTATGGCAAACCAGCCACCAGCCAGTACTGGCAGTTTCTTAGTTCACGAAGAACCCTTCAGGAAACCACTATCACGCAATTCGAAATGCAGCTAAGTTAAAAAAATGTACCACTATTTCTACCAAGTCGGGATGCATCCATGCTTTTGGCATCTCGGGGAGTCAGGGGGGTTCATGGCCTATCGGTATGGGTTTCAGGCAGCTTGGCGCAACAGAAGCCATGTAGAAATCGTAATGCTTGCCAGCAAGACAATCATGTAGAGAACAAAGGTAAACGTCGTAGTCTTGGGACCGTTCGACTTGATCTCTGCTTTTATCTCCGCAGAGAAGGATCGCTTCGCTTGCTGGGATCTTCCGACCACATGAATCAATCCACCCGCAGCAATGCGGATTGTCACACCAACCATTATACACGGGAGGATATACCAGAACCAACCATTGCAAGTACGGGTCGTCACCGTGGAGTCGTTCTCGGCTAACCCCAAAATGGCAAACGCGGTCTTGTCAGGGGGGAAGTTCACCGCATAAGGTTCCTGAGTGAAGCCACTTTGCGCCGGCAGGCAACGGTGCTCGGACACCGCAAGACCTTCCGTGAAGAAGCGAGTTGGTGAAAAGAAACCACAAATCAATCCGTACACAGGGTTTGAGTACAATTCGGCGTACAAAATCGGAGGTGAGGCGCCACTAAAAAGAAGACCACTGAAGGCCATGAAGAAGCCGACAATGTTGAAAATATTCTTGGGAGGGACCACAACCGAAAGCAGAAGTGCCCAAGACACGGTCAACCATGCGAGCATTAGGAAGCTGGCGTAGTAACTACCACGGCCCACAATAGAGTCACGCAACCAGTACGCCGCTGATCCCACGATAACTAGCTGGGCAGAATGCTCCACAGTTGTGACGATGTTCATCGCAAGGAAGTAGGCGTTCACATCGTAACCAGACCCAGATTCTCGGAAGAATTCGACCCGCTTCTCAGTCATGGGTTTGGTTGCAGTCAGACCGATGATCACGGCCAGGATAACTCCTGCTTTGAGGCCGTACCTGTTGGAGAAAAAACAAGCATAAGAATGCGGGCCGGATTTTTGCGAATGACACATGCACAACAAATGAAAACTCACTGTCGGAAATCTTCGTTTGCTCGCATGGAATAAGCAAATAGCTGCTCAAAGAATTTGTCGTTCTCGTTGCTCAAAACCAGTGCGGGATCTTCAGTCACAAGATATTTCAGGCGAATGCCTTGCGGGTCAGCATCTTCCGACAACACGGTCGTCCCTTGCATTAAAGAGAGAAAAATACCCACAAACACAATGATGCATGTGTCCACAAACTTATAAAAGATATTTCGACGTCCGACCAAAACAGCTCGGAGTAGCTGCACCCCGAGCTGATCCAGGAACGTGGGCTTGATGATGTGGCTTGGCAAGTCGGTCGGTTCGGGTCTGCTGTAGTACATCAACCTAGACTTCTTCGTGATGTTCTTGTTCTTCTTGTCGAAGTACTCGATCCAACCCTTGGAAAGTTGTTCGCGCCTCAAAGCTTGAACATCGCTTTCTTCTTCGTCTAAATTTGTTGCTCCACCACCACCAGTGGCGGCGGCAGCGGCAAGGTCCTCTTTACCGGAGCCGTCGCCCATCAAGCCCATCGTGCTCTTTCTTTGTCTCGTTGTTGCCTGATTGTCTAACAGGCCATCTTCGTCAGGTGCCAGCTGCCCTGACGAGATATCGATCAACCAATCGGCCACACTTTCTCCCACCGGCAAATGATACCCCCGGCTTTGGAAGTAATCTTTGGCTTTGTCCGTTGGTCCGTGGAAACACATCTTTCCACCGACGCTCAGTAGAATTAGACTATCAAACAGATCGAAGATAACTTTGCGAGGCTGATGGATGACTGCGCAGACAGTCACGCCACTTTGATCAACAAGCTTCTTCAATGAACTCATCACCAGCAGAGCCGAACTGGCATCAAGCCCACTGCGACGATCGGGAAACGACACCTTTCGGTCAGACAGGATGGAGGGAACGGGAAGACGTCATTGTTGGAATTCTTTCGGACGGAAACTCACCTAGTCGGTTCGTCAAGGAAGATAATGGAGGGCTGCAGAAGCACAACAAATAAATCTTGTGAGAGACGAGCGAAGAACTGCAGAGTTTGCAAGGGAATCTTGAAACGATCGCGTACCAAACCCATCAGCTCCACTCCAATGTTCACGCGCTTTTTCTCTCCTCCAGAAACTCCTCTCCTGGTAACGTCGCCGACGATTGTGTTTGCGACTCTCGCAAGCCCGAGCTTTGCCAATGTAGAATCCGCACGATCCTCGATATCCAGAATGTCGGTTCCTCTTTCGCTTCGGAACTTGCCACTGTATATCAGGTTTTCCTTCACGGTAAGTTCCGCGTATACGGTATCGTCCTGAGGCACAAAACCCACAGCATCTTTGTGCTCCTCGATAGAAGCGATGTTACCATTGATCCAGATCTTTCCTTCTACGGCACCATAGAAAGCTCGACCACACAAAGCGTTGAGCAAACTCGTTTTACCAGCACCAGAGCCACCCACTGGTGTGCCCAAACGAACGATGCGAAGCGATCATTGAATCAAGGAGAGCAGAGTTTGTGAGACAGATCCCAACTGAATCACAACTTTTGTCATGACAAGGTGAACTCACTTAGCGCCGTCATTGTCTTGGCACGCAATCTGCCCGTCACGTGATCTACGATGTACACTTTGGTATTGGCAATCTCCACGGACAGGGACAGGTCTTCGAAGGTGATATCAATTGTTTCGCACTCTTCGTCAAAGGCGCCGCTGCTTTCGCCACTCTTGGAGTCACGTCGAGCGGCATTTGTTGTGACAACCTCTTTGAGCAGCTTGGGATAGTTCTTGACGAATTCGTCTCGACCGATCGTAAGTCCATCCCGGACGGAATGTTCCTTTGTAAAGCCACCACCCAACAAGGTGTTTCTACGTGCACGGCCGCCACCAGAGTTGCTCTGTTGCCGATTTTGCATGTTTTTGTTTTGTTGTGTGCGCAACCAACGGAATCGTTTCATCAGATCGTTGGTCTGTTGTTGACTCAAAAAGTGGAAAAAGTCCTTTTCTCGAAAGGTTTCGAACCGGATCTCGACAAGTTCATCATCGTCGTCACCTTCGTTTTGCGGACCTTCCGGTTGTTCAAAGTGTGATCCAGCTTTGTGTTTGTTTTCTCGTTCGTATTTGGCCATCTCATCGAACAATTCTCTGGCATCATCCTCGTTGGGGGCGAAATGACTACATTCTTCCAACACGGGTAGGAAATTCTTGACAAAGACGGCCCGAGTCAAGACTTTGGTGTCGTAATCCAATCCGGCTCGTGAATTCATTCCTCCAATGAACTGCTGCAGCTGGACCTGGTTCATACCCAGCAAGTGATTAAACTCATTGTAAGACAGGGTACCACTGTCATCGTCATCCAAAGCGTTGAAGAGAGCTCTGAGAGCTTGACTATGGAACTGCGGATCGTCCGAGTCTGGAATTTTGAGAATATCATTCTTGACCTTTCGGGTACCGATTTTGTTTTCTTCCATTTTTCGGGCCAGTGTCTCCAGAGTGGGCCGAATTCGCTTCATTCGTTTGTCGCGCTGATCAAAGATATCGAGCTTTTTGAAGGTATCCAAGGTTCGTTTGTTGATTTTGTCCAGCTTGATGAGCTGTTCGGTCCAATAGCGGAAGACGGAAAAGGCTAGCACGTAAAACAGCACAAGAGCCAAACAGACATAGAAAATGTAATACCCAAGTGGATTTTCCACCAATTCAATGGCTCCTTCTTCGCAGTGGGGACAGCTGATTTCAGGGATCGCCGTCTTGACTCACAGAAGAGAAATGTATAGTGAGCCAGATGAACAAATCCCCAGAGAAAAGGGTAGCTTTAACTGTACCCCTCTAGACTAATCTAGTCCTTACCTTGTGCGGACAGAAAAACCCTGAAGGGCATGGCATGACCTTTTTGGAATCCGGACAGTAGCTTCCAATGGGGCAGTTTCGGAGGGTGTTGTTCTCGCGGGGACACCAAATTCCGGCCATGATATCTCCCAGACCCAAGCGCTCCGTGTCGTTGAACAGCTTGCGCACTTCATCGCAACTGGCTTGCTTTACACCCTCGCACACAAAGCCATTGGGACAGGGTAGACGATAATCATCACGAATCTCCGCGATTGTACCGGTGATGTTGTTGAACTCGGCAGCCAAGTCCTTGGAAGAAGTCGTCATCTCCCACCCGTCTTTCCTTCAACTCGGGGATCTTTGTTCTGGCTGGTTTCTCTCCCTCCAACGAATATATCTTATGCCTTCGACAGAGGGCAACGGCGATCGCCACAAAGACAAAGTAACTGCTATCTGCTCTTGCTCTTCAATGAAGGTGTCTTGACTGGTTTGGTTAACAACAACCTCGTTGTCGTGCTTGTGATTGTTTCAATCATCCTCATTCGAGATGAGACACCAGTCTCAAGATCAAAAGCTGCTTATGGAATGCAGGGGAAAGATGTGAGAAACGGTATCGTAAGGAGAGTACACAGATTTGAGACACCCTCAAAGCACAGTTAAGTGGAAACTTTCATTTCAAGTTACACACTTATACTGTATGAATTCATACATATTTATACCTTCTAGTAGCTAGTTAAGGATTTAGAGAATTGCATTTAGGATTAATGAAAGTTGAAGGAAGACGGATTGTGGGATGTGGGAGATTCCATCCAGCCCATCAGCCCATGTAGCCACGTACCGGTACTGTACGTCGTAGCAATGGTAGCAACCTGGAGCGGAAGCGGAAGCAGACACATATGCATAGGTTGGAGGTTGGAGGTTGGAGGTCCATGCATGCGGGCCCAAACTAAACTGTGCATCTCCCGAATGGCTTCTTACAGCACGTACCGGTACAAAATAGGCCACGCAGCTATTGACCTGCGTGGATATGTTAGTTTTGCCCGCATGGGTCCGCGAACCTCAAGTGCAGGTCGACGAGGAGAAAACTGCCACAAGCAGGATTTGTTCGAGTTGTACCATGTGGCACCACTGGTGCTGTGTCGCCCCCGGGCCCAACATCCCCCAATGAAATACGGTGCTTTAGATACCTCCCGTTCAGGTGGCTGAATAGTGGAACCATTTTAACTATCCAAAACAGGGTTTATAGTTTATCATAATAAAATTGCATACACACTGGTACCGATACCTACATGTAGGTTGGACCTGGTGGCGTTAGCATGGTGCTAGCCAGCGGTTTCGCCAACCAGTCAGATACTTCTTTGGGCTTGGAGGCTCGGAAGAGGAGAATGGAAGCATGAAAGGGATCCATCGCTTCTAAGGATCCTTTAGACAGAGAAGTCGGGCATCTTGAGAGCGGGTGGAATGCCTTCTTCCTCCTCTTCGAGGTTGCTTCCCTCATCATTGGAGTCGGCAACGGACATGCGCTTGGTCCTGGTTGAGGCATCGGGCTTTTCCATCTCGTCATCCTCCTCCTCCTCGACCATGTGGGCAATGGAGCGAGCCACAATGTTGTCGCCCGTAACGTTCACGACAGTGCAAAGACGGTCCAAGAACCAGTCAATGGCCACAACAAACTCAAAACCATCTGGAACTCCAGTGGTCCCAAAGACAGAGTTGTAAGCAGTCAAAACCATCACCAAACCAGCTGCCGGGACAGGAGCAGTTCCAGCACTTCCAATGGTAGACAGGAAAGAGAGCAATACGTAGTTGCCAAAAGTAGGTTCAATGCCGTTCAAAACTGCCAACCAGACACATGCACAAGGGAACTGTGATATCGCAAAAGATCAAAGAGGCATTGTGAGTCATCTCGTGCATCGGGCCAGCTACCGTACTGTGCAGGACACAGTTGCAACTTGAGAACTTACATAGATGGCAGATCCGTCCATATTGATGGAGGCTCCGAGCGGAAGGACGAAGCGGGCGACGAAAGGAGGGACTTTGCCAGAATCCTCGGCGCACTGCATAGAGACGGGAAGGGTGGCGGCGCTGCTGGCACACGCAAACGCCGTGGTCTGGGCCGGGATGATGAATCGCATGTACTCGAAGGGGTTTGACTTAGTAATGAAACCCAAAATGCTTGTGTAGGTCACAAAGACATGGACAAACATTCCACTCATGACGGCCAAGCACAGGTAGGCGACGTTGCTGAATGCATCAGCCAGATCGTTTTGGCCTCCAACAGCGCTGGCAATCAAAGACAAGACAGCAAAGGGAGTGATGGCAATGATCCAGTGAATCAAAGTGATCAGTACATCATCCACCTCTTTCAAAAAGTTGATCAGGACAGAATCAGCAGTATTCACTCCGCGCTTGTAGAGGCAACGCGACAAGGCTGCACCCAAACAGATAGCAAAAACCACAACTGCGGCAAAGTTTGAGTTGACAAACTCTACGAAAATGTTGCTGGGGATCATCTTGACAAAGACACCATCGTACAAGGTGTCGGAAAAGGAGAGTTCTGCCACACCAGTTGAGGAATGGACGAAGGTTTTGTCGATGTCTTCAATTGTAAAGTAGTTGCTCATATCTTCCGTGAGGTTGGAAGCAGTGCAAAAAACGGTACCATTGGCGCCATGGGTAAGGTAGGAACCCTCTTCGGCGGAACATCCAAGTAGGACCTTGGCCTCAAAGTTGCTGTCAACTGTTTCAGTCTTGAAGAGGCCTTTGAAGGTGAGGATGGAAACAATGCCAATGATTGAAGCAACGAAAGTAGTCAAGAGGTACAACCCAATGGTCTTGCCTCCAACCACACTCGCACGTCCAACGGACATCATATCAATCATGGACAAGATTACGTTGACAAAGACAAGCGGAAGCACCACAGCCTTCAGGGCACGGATGAACATATCACCCACAAGCCCAATCCACTTGACAGCAGTTTCCTTGTCCGTGGGATCTTCAGGTTCCCATGCACTAAGCCCAATGCCAATAGCCAAACCAGTGGCCGCAAAGATCAGAACAGAGAGGACTGGGTAGCGTCCAAGGACACCACAACCGGTGTGATGAGCGTTGGCCTCGGATTCGACCATCTCATTGGTATTCTTGTTGTGGTTGGATGGCATTGTATTCAGTTTTCAAAGGTTTTGTGAGCTGGAGGAAGCTTTCTTTTGGAGATTTTGTTTTGCTCGATTTGAAGATTGTGAGACAAAGATTGGTTTTGGGGAGCGGCGGCAATCAATGGAGTAAGATCTCGGAGGAGGAGGCAGGACTGTATCGAGTTTTGGACCCTTCCGATAGACTTGCTTGGCACTCGTTTCGCAGAACCGAATCTATCGGATCCTTGCATCCTGCTACTACGACTCGCTACTGGTACCAGTTAGCTCGTAGCTTGTCATACAGAAGCGATGGTACCTGGTACTGTATCTTACCGCAACTACTTTCGTAAGGCTACCGTACTAATACATATTGTAGACTACGTGGTACGGTACCCGTGGATGGCCTGAGAACTGTGACTCAGTTCCTCTGAGATCCTAAAGTACTTTTCAGCTCCCCAACAGTTCCCGCCTCATCATCATTCCTTCCTTTTGTTGCGACCTTGGGTCCATCTACTACCGGCAGCTAGATGTGCTGTGATGCTATTCCTCATTGCAACAAAGGGAACCAAACTCCAGGATCATGTCCTGGCTACTATGGACCTGATCCTAGCTAACTATGAAGGATCCACGCTACTGGTAGTGGGGTTAGTGAAGGTAGTCTAGATCAAGGGACATTCTTCCAATTCCTTGGCAATCTTTGTGGATCTACGCGTGCCCTTTGATTTTCACCACAGATTTGGGACAACATCATCGCAAGCCGCAGCCACTATCATGTCGGTTCCTTGAGTTTGCAGGACAGTGGTTTGAAACCTCTCCACGGGAATCCTCCTCGAAATATTGATGGCCAAGTGAGACTAAACCTGGCGATTCTATCTCTGAGAAGAAAATCTGACCGGTGGTTCTCCTGCATGATTCGCTACATGGCTGTGTTGTTTTTATTCTGTTGTCATTTCCAATTACATTCCGGACGTAGACTCTGGCTGCAGCGTTCAGTTGCTGTTTGCAAGAATCTTTGGACTTAGCATGTTGCTCTTTTACACCTCCCAGCTGCCGCCATAGTCATGGGCATGCTGCGCACCAGCTCCCAATGGTTTTAATCCTCTCATCCCAGGAGTACGGTTACCGGTAGTCCACGTCCTGCCCTGGTACAATCTACAACAGTTACTTTTTTGCGGCTTCTCCTAAACATTCCCTCGACCGATCCATTCAACCACCCCTTAAACCTGGATAACGTCTGGAGATTGAAGACTCCACATGCATGGAGTTGCGGGAAATCCTGTTTTCCGTGCTTGCAGGATCAATTTCATTTTTGAGAAGATGACTGAAACTTGAAGAATGCGGAAGGCAAAATCTAGCTAGAGAAGGCTCCACGCAAAATGACGTGCTTTGTAGCAAAACTCAAAATCGAAGATCAAACTCGCAGTTTGACAAAAAGGAAATGCACTACCTCTAGAGTAAAAGCCCATTCTCCGCAACTCCGTTTGGTTTGAGAAGCCTCACTGCCATCCAGGTTTGCCAGAACTGGCTTCTCGTTTATTAGCGCGTCCCGCCACCCCCACTACAGAAAAAAAGAAAAAGCTGTGTGAGCGGACGCTCTCTTGCACAGCACAACGCACCGAAATGTGATCCATAGAACTTCCTCTGGACCAAACACTCCATCAAACACAGACACAAAAAGAGCTCAAAGATTTTTAGTGAGATCACCATGAAATCTGCTGTGCCCAACATGGGAAAGACCCTTGGTCCAAAGGAAGATCTGCCAGAGAAAAAGGAGTACACAGATTCAAGTTCGGACGAGTCCGAACCTGCTGCCATGCCAGTGCCAGTGGCCCCAACCAAGACAGTTGGAGCCTCTGGTAATGAGAGTGTGGTGGAAACCAAGAAAACTGTCGAGAGTTTGCAGGAGCGAGGCAAAATTCCAAGCAGTTTCTTCGTTACAGTCCTGATCATTATTCTGAATCAAGCAAGCAGTGGCATATACAGCATCGAATCTCTGCAGAATTGTTGGTCTTCTGTCACCACTTCTTTGCAAATGATGAATAACGTTCTGGAGTATACAAAAGATCTGATGACCTCGGTCTATGAGGGGAATCTTCGAGGCACAAAAGAATACCTCATCGCAGCAGGGGTCACTGCAGTTGTGGCATCCTGGATTTGTGTTTTTGTTTGGGTTCCTTTTCGAGCGGGAGTGTGGACACACAGAGCAATCAGGCATAAAGTGCACCGTTACATGGGACTTCTATTCATTATACAATATGCTCTAGCCGTTGTGGAGTTCATGACAGACTATAAGAACGATGGCACACTGAGCCTGTTGACCAACTCGCTGGCAATCAATGGTAAGAACCTTTGGCGACATTCATTCCTGCTATTGTTTAGATAGAAGCCAAGGAAGGTATTGCACAGCCATCATCTCATGTAATGCTGCTGCCTTGACAAACAGGCATTGTACAAGCATATTCAGCCTACTTTTCCTTCAGGGTTCTGCCCAAAGGCGAGGATGCAGGGTACTACTCGGACAAAGGAGTCTTAACCAGAGATTTTGTTCATGAGAACGTCTACTTTCAGTTGTTGTGCTTTATGGCCTCAACATACTATGATAGTGGCCGACGTGAGTGTATGAGATCCAATCTACCCGGGAAGCTCGCCGAATTGTTGTATGTCTTCTTTCCATATGTGTTGATTCGCCCATTCTTCCCGCTGACAAGCTTTAGCAAGTCAACATCCCGGCAGAAGAATTCCCGCTCATCAGACTTGGAACGCTTCTACCAAATTGGAACAAGAATGGTCAAGATCTTTTATTTGTGGGCAAAGTACTTTCTTGGCTTTCACATCCAGTATATGATATATCTGGACCTTATTGAGCCACAAAATATGAAGATTGTCCATGGTGTATTCCTTCTCAATCTGGGAACATGCTCCCTTGGAGTGTTTCTTCACACACTTCGATTCAAGAAGATTCTCCCTCCCTTGTTCACATTCTCTTTGTACCTGTTTCTAATCTATGCGTAAGTTCTGGTGCGCGAATCAAATCAACAGGTTGGATCCTGTTGCTTACTTTTGTTTCCCGTCCAACAGCACATTTTCGGCAGTGCCCTATGTTCTCAATCTTTTTGTGATGCATCCGAAGCTGTGCCTGGTCACCTTGGCAGGATTCCTCCTCAACTTTACACGGAACCGAAAGATTCATGCTGTTTGGTGTTTTGGATCTATGCTGTTGCTGGAATATGGTGATATTGATTGGTAACAATGAATCAGCGTTGCTGTCGAAATAGTTCCTGTGTTTTGCATTTTTAAGGATTGTTTGTGTTTTCAGAAGACGCAGCAAGCAACGTCTGGAGTGGGTGGGGTTTGCTGGCTTGTGAGTTTATCGTTTGGCCTCTAGAGGTCTGGCTTAGTAGAAGGCTTTGAAACAGAGGTAGTGTCTTGCTTCAGGAAGTGCGATCCGTACCTTCAGGTTGCAGCTTAGGAGTGTGTAGTGTAGAAGAAAGTTGAATGGGGTACTGGGGGAGCAAAGCTGGATCCCCATCCAAGTTGGACCTCCATCCAATCATCAATACATGGAGGTGGTAAGGCAAACACTTCATCAACTAGCGTCGAAGGGAACAACCGGCGTTCCTATGGGTTAGAGAGGGAACTATGGGAGAGGATGGGTTGCAGAGAGGGGGGGGGGGCAGGATGCACGACCACGAGCCGAACGATCCATCGAATTGAGCAGAGCAGCAGCAAAACCAAAGAGGGAGGGGATGCAAGCTGGGGGGCAGGGAGGATCCAGGGAGTAAGACTAGCAGAAGAGATCGAGGGCACCTCGGTCATCCCAACGCTTGGAAAGCTTGATAGCGGGAATATGAGAGCCTCTCAAACAGTGCACATGGTAGCTGCGCAAGAGAGTGCTATGCTCAACCTCGCAGATATGAAAGCGCGGACCACAGAGTAGGGCTTGGACCACTTGTGGGCCAAAAGCTGGGAGAGCCGTTGGAGAACAGCAGTAGCTTCGGCACCAAAGAGGCCATCAGCAGAAACAACAAAGGGGGTGAAGTGTCCACATTGCTTGGATGGCAACAGCCCATTCTGCCTACTAGCTACTGTAGTTTCATCTGAGCGTCCGATCCAGCCCATATTGTAGACAGACCGTACTAGTACTCGTAGTACCAAAGTGTTCGTTCCAAATTCCCTAATTGGGTACCGGTAAGGATTTGAAACCCTTCTATAAGCAAGGTTCATAGTATTACGAAGCAGTCCTGTTTCCAGTTGTAGAGTACTACCTGGTAATATAGTAGGAGTTGAAATAATCTCTGGGGCTTCAGAATCGACATCAATTTTAGATAAAGGAAAGTTTCAAAATCCTAATGTACACTAGTACAGGTTTCAAAATCTTACCCTTTTGGAGACACCTATTTATAATAAATCCTGTTTTCAACATAATTACAGCAAAATTGCGGCACGTCTCCGGTACATTGTACCGGTGGCCAGTCCAGCACAGAACGAAGTATTCCTGGCCCAGTACTGGACCCAGAACCCTACTGTATATTTTGCAGGATCAACGAGGCGGCCACGCAAGCAAAGGGGATGGGCAAGCTCGGAGGGAGACCAAGGATGTTTACCGCCAACAAAGAGCAACCTAGATCTAACGGCCACCGTGTGAATGATTATACCCGGAAAAATATCAAGCGAAGCCGTCACGCTTGGCAGACATTGAACGACGACAACACCACTTTTATCATCTTTGGTTTCAGGTGGTAGCTTTGGTATCTGGCCGGTGTCGCATCGGTTGTCTGCTCTGGATGTTCTTGATATCGTGGTGCAAAGGAGAAAGATCGAGTGGGTAGCATTATTTAACCATGGCGCCCAAGATGACAACTGTTGAAGAGAGTCACGATGCTACCCTCAAGGTTGAAGAGCACCCGCTGAACACAGCATCTGAAGAGTCCAGTGCTTCGGACAGCTCTTTGCCGGACTGTCCCACCAATGCGGATAGCGCCAAAGGCAATGAACCATCGGAAGTCATTGGGGACGATGGCGTAAAGAAGAGGTTGAGCTTGGAAGATCGAAGTCGAATCCCCGGTAGCTTCTGGGTGTCGATTATCTTGATTGGCTTGTTGGAGGGCTGCAGTGGAATGTACACAATGGACACCGTGTACAGTTGGTGGGATTCGATCACAACATCCCTGAGGACAGTGAAGAATCTACTCGAATACGAAAGGGACCTCATGTGGTCAGCGGCAACTGGAGAGTTTAGGGAGCCAGACGAATATCTTCGAGCAGCTTTGGTTACAATCGTGTCAGGTTCTATTCTTTGGGTGTTGATTGGCAAACCCATGTCCGCTGGCCTCTGGACAGGACAGAGATCCACACGACACAAAATGCACCGTTACATGGGTCTATGCTTCCTGATCCAATACTCCTTGGCTTGGGTAGAGTTCATTACAAACTACGAAGGAGCAGGAGAGTTTAGTTTTGTTCCACACACCGTGGCTCTTAATGGTATGTGCTTTGTGTGTTTGCCCTCCGTGAATTATTACGTCGGATCTGCAGTATTAATCATTTGTTTCGTCTGCCTATTGCAGGAGTAATCCAGGGTTACTCTGCCTACTTCTCGTTCAGAGTTCTACCCAACCTAAAGGATGCAGGCTACTATTCTGATAAAGGAGTTATGTCTAGAGACTTTCTCCATGAGAACATTTGCTTCAATGTATTCTGCGTGTTTGGGGCGGTTTACAACAACAATGCGTTGCGAGAGGTTTTGCAATCCAACATTGGTGGAAGAATTGCAGAATTCACCATGGTCTTCTACCCATTTGTCTTGATACGACCGTGGTTCCCTACTACACGTCTAAAGGACGCCGGTAGCAGAGAGAAGACAAGAAGTGCAAATCTTGAGAGGTTTTATCAAATAGGGACAACAATGATCAAAATTTTCTATCTCTGGGCCAAGTACTTTCTGGGGTTCCACCTCAACTTTATGCTTTTCCTCGGATTGATCAAGCCCGAGAACATGCGCTTTATGCAGGGTCTTCATTTACTCAACACTGGAACTGTGGCCATTGCCATGTTCTTGCACACATTGCGCTTCAAAAAGATTCTACCTGCCAAGTTCACCTTTTCCTTCTACATTGCCCAAGTTTATGCGTAGGTTAACGACGACTGTCGGGCTGCGATATCGATTGCGTGAGATGGCAAACTCACTTTCTCCTCTTGTCCTCTTCCTGGCCATTCTATTGCAACAAAACAGTACCTTTTGCGCGTTGCGTAAGTTATGCCTGTCGAGTTCTTGACGTCGTTCATTGGGAAAATCGTGCTGACTTAAGTGTTTCTCCTCTTGTTTCACAGCTTACGCAATTGATACCTTCATGTCGCACCCCAAGCTGGCAGCATTGTCCTTTTCTGGTTTGTTATGCAACATGACAAGAAGCCGCGCCATCCATTCGTCATGGTGCGTTGTGGCCATGCTACTGGTAGCCTGCACGGACATTGATTGGTAGATTATGTTTTGTTGTGGCTGTCATTTACAATGTCTTTGATAGACAAGGCTATTGTTTATGCTGGAGAAAACACGCTCTCTCTGGTATCTTCTGCCATCCATCCACCTGAGCATGACCAATTCTAAGAAGCTCAAGTAGGTAGCCCTGCGCCTTTTCTTGATCACCGCTTCCCGGTGGATTTGGATCTTTAAGTTAAGTTTGGTCTTTTTTGTTGTCCCAGGCGTAGTTCTTCACTTTTCACAGGGTCGAGAACGGGCCTCCAGAGCCTTGTGACTGTCATGTCTCCGTGAAGCATGAGCCACCCTCCTTCGGTAGCTTTCTCTTGAAGCCGCGCGAGAAGTGTGCACCAACTCGCAATCTTAGCTCGCGAGCTGTCTCTAGGTTTTAGTAGACGATTCGATTCAATCAACTACGGTACAACGCCTTGCTTCTGCTACTGCCTCCAAAACTCAATTTTCCTACTCTCAAATGATGTTCATCCTGCAGACCCGTATCTCAGTTGCCCTTGTGAAAGCTACCCATTTATGTCTCCGTGGATCCCGCAAAGCTAAACCCTTTGCCCCCCGTAATGGTCCTCAGTTTCTTGCCTGATCCCACAGAACCTAGTCCTGAATTTTGACTGTTCTTTGCTCAAGCCTGGCCCCGGCTGGCTTCCGTAGATAATTTCCCTGCTCTAAACCCCCCATATCAACTACCCTACTGATTCGATTTCTTTCAGTCTATGATCTTATTATTAAAGTTGAATGCTACGTGCACACCGGCGTGTGGATACCGGAAACTCATTTGGTGGGACTACTAGTACCAAGAATGTGCGTTGTGAACTGGTCCATTATTTGCTCTCCATCTCTTGGCTCCCACCTTTTTCAAAAAAGATATGAAACGTACATGATGATGTTGTCGAAAAACTTCTTTCTTGTCCTTTCCTGGTTGCAATCAATGCAAGGGCCCCCTGTTGCTTTGTGCCGTGCCCCCGTCATTGTTTATTTCTTGTTGTAGCGTTGTACTTTGCGCTGTCCATCCACCTTCTTCAAGTCGATATTCTTGAGTCGCACACCACCCAGGATGCGTTCCGGAAGTGTTTCGATGTTGTCTGCTTCCAGGACAAACATCATGTCTGTGATGATGGTCTTGGCGTAGCTTACGCTTAGCGAGACAACCTTTTTGGCAATACTGTCACTTTCGATATCGACAATCAATTCCAAGAAGCGGGGACTTCGAATGTAATGCTGCTTCAACTTGCGCCCTAGAATGGTGGGTTTGGAACCCACAGCCTTTTTGACGACAAAGTTTCCATCGACAATTCTGGGAATCAACTTGAAAGCGCTGTCTCGAAAGTCATCCGAGGGCCCAAAAAAGAATGGGTTGGTCAACTTTCCCACGGGAGTATCGGTATCTCGTAAGGCGTCCACATCGTCGCAACCCATATAGACCATGATGTGATAAAAGGGCGGGCCGGGAATGGCCAAATTAACGGCAAAGATAAAATCGGGGAGTTCCTTGATCCCAGTCTCTTTTTCTCGTCGGAGGGCACGCTGGATGCGTTCATTGGGGTGATTACAGAGTCCTTCCATAATGGGACGACCGTCGGCTGTGTGTACCACATCGACGGTGAGCAAGGAAAAGAGTGCTTCTTCCGAGGGCACCTTATTCCGGTCATGCATGTAGGTAATGCCACGGACATTGTAGTTGCTGGCAGGTGGTTCGGCCCAGGCATCGACCCGAAGACCGTGAGGGTCGTTGAGGAGACTTCCATACGTTGCATAGGAAGGAGCGCTATTCTGGCGGGTGAGGCTCTTGGTAGAAGTGACACTGGTGGTGGAGCCCTTGTTGCTGCTTTCACGGTGTCTCCTGGGTACACTGGTACTGGCTCCTCGATGATGTTTGCTCGAGGGTGGCTTGGGCGGAGGGGTGTCATAGATGGAAAGGCGATGATTGATGGGCGGAAGAGCCGGTCTGTCCGTGTGGTTGTGGTTAGTCAAGGCGTTTACGCTCAGCGTGGGTCGACCCGCCACGAAATCATGTTGTTGCAGGGCATCGGGGGTTGTGACAATGGCAGCACTCAACTTTCGTTGTTGGCAAACCGAGCTTGGGGCATTCGCGTCATGGTCATCGACTACTGTATGATAGGCAGCAATGTCTTCCAGAGAGCAGGAGCTCACAGTACCCGGAAGCGTTTCCGGTGTCGATGGCCTCTGATCGGAGGGTTCTTTTTTCTCTTGCGTCGTCATGATGCCTTGAGGATCTTCAACAGAAATCATGCTATAACGAAATGGAATTGATGGAACGGATTTTTTGTGTTCGCGCGTTGCTTTGCAAGTGACAGGAGGATGTTTCTCGTCGTTGGCAATGGTGGTGTGGTGTGTACAGGTGGTTGCTGTTTTTGTTTCTTCGAGCGGTTCTTGTGCTTGTGGCTTGTTGCTGTTTTTGGTGGCTTGTTTCTCAAAAATGGGCCTCTGAGATCTTGTCTTTTGTGGAGACACCACCAGCAAAAAACCTGACGATCAAGCCTTGCCTGTCTTGCAAGCTGGGTCAAAGAATTTGGGTCAGCTCTTGCTTGGGCTCTTTCGACTGGTGATGGTCACCCAATACAGAAGTGGACAGTGCTGGCCAGCTATTGCACAGCCAAAAGCCAACAAAAAAGACGCAGTCGTTGGTCGATGACAGTTGGTCTTTTTGAGGGTTGTTTGAGCGTTACTTTGACTCCGTTCCGTTTTGTACCAGCCGTTGCCTAAAGGGGAATGATTCAATCCCGAGAGCCCTCATGGGGATCCTTACGGGACCGCGTGAAAATAATAGTGCACAAAGTTTTGGTTGTTGCTTGAACCAGGACTTGGACAAAGAAAGGTGGCTGACGGGTCTTGCTTTGTTTCGCGCCTTCGCAGTTCGAGACTTGAAGCGAACGATTGATTGGATTCAATCAAGTGCTACGAGTATCCTGGCTAGCTTGCTATTGGTCTAGAGCTGATAGAGTGCTAGCTAGAAGGAGAGACTGGTCACCTGGTGAATTTCTAGTTCATGCACGGAAGGAAGCTTGAGGGTCGTGTTGGTTGCAGGGGAGGGCGATCAGTCAAGCATGGTGCCCCGCAACGGGGAACCTCGTGGTGTTCCCCTTGAGCCACCTCGGATCGTTTCTATCGATAGGTTCTTCTGTTTGACATAGTACTACGCTGTATGGTCTACTGTTACGTGGCTATATGTCTACATGTACCTTGACACACACACACACGGCCGAAGATGAAAACCAGGCGCTAGACCCAACCCAGAGCTTGGAAGCAACCGTACAAACCAGAAAAGGCATCTTTTGATTCATATTGGTTTCAATATTAACCCAGGAGATACCACTCGAAAGGAATGCTCTGGGTGCCTCTTGGCCGTGGCCTCTGCATGGCCCAGCAACCCGGACTTGGATGTTGTTTAGTTCGATTGACCAGCATTGCCCGATATTACCGAAGTAGACCTAAAGTAAGTATACAAAGGAAGAACCACAATTGCTTGTCGTTCTTGTTGGCAGTAGAGCTTCTGGAGTGGAAAGCAGCGCCTGGTCAATCATGAAGGTTGCTGCTCTGTGTTTGGGAATTTGGCAGTGGCTCTTCCTATCCCACATGCTGCAACCAGAGCTAAGTATGGAGCAATTCTCCTCCATGGTTTCGGCAGGAGTCTGAGAATAATGTTATGGTCTACTGTCACGTAGCTACTGTAACCGGTACGTCTACCTGCCTCCCATGAACATGCCACACACACGAAGATGAAAACCAGGCGCCAAACCAGTGGCTTCTGGTGAGGACAAGAAGGCAACTGCTGCTGCCACATCTTCTGGTTTTCCTGCCTGACCGAGCGCATTGAGCTTGGAAGCAACCATACGAACTAGAAAAGGCATCTTCCCAGTCATATCGGTATCAATAAAGCCAGGAGATACCACTCGAAAGGAATGCTCTGGGTGCCTCTTGGCCATGGCCTCTGCATAGCCTAGCAACCCAGACTTGGACGCTGCATAGTTGGATTGACCGGCATTGCCCGATATTCCCGAAGTAGAACCAAAGTATACAAAGGAAGAACCACAATTGCCTGTCGTTGTTGGCAGCAGAGCTCCTGGAGTGGAAAGAAGTGCATGGTCAATCTTGAAGGCTGCACCCATGTTGACCTCCAAGACAGGCTTCCAGGCTGATTCGTAGTCCATATTTTTCAAGGTCTTGTCCCGTGTAATCCCCGCAGCGTGGATGACACGTTCCAGACCACCAATATCGGCACTTGCTTGGGCGAGGATCTCTCCTGCATCAGCTTGGGTTAGATCCAAGGGGAGCACCTCTACTTGTCGTTGTGGTGGTGCTGTTGCACGGAGATCAACCGCTACTTGATCCAGTTTGGACTGGGTGGAAGGATGGTCGACAAGGAGTAGCTTGGAAGAAGGTTGCTGCTCTGTGTTCAGGAATTTGGCAGTGGCCCTCCCGATTCCACCCGCTGCCCCGCTGATAAGTATGGAGCGATTCTCCACAATTTCAGCAGGTATTCGAGGGTTGGCAGAAACCACAATTTCCTGACCTGTCACATAGCAGCTATGGTGCGACAGCAGCCACTCCAATGGCTTCTCCAAGGCGTTCTCTGCATCGTTGAAAGGAGTCGCATCTCGGATCAAGTTGACAGTAGCACCGCGTGTTCCGTTCTCCTTGGCCAGAGACTTGGCAAAGCCGACGATTGCCTCACTTGCGGCCACGGACTCGGGTTCTTCTATTTGAGTGGGGCAGGAACGTATGATCACGACCCGACCGCCAGGTTTTCGAAAGGCTTGCGAAGTTGAGTGTTTTCGTGCTGTGCGATAGAGCCATGACAAATCCTCGATCGTTTGGACTGAACGAGCGTCCAAAACAAAGCCATTGGGGTTACTCTCATCTTCACTTGACACTTGGCTAATACCGGTATCGGCGGGATTACCTCGGAAAGATTCTGTGAGGCGAACGATGCGATGGCTACACCGAGGAAGATTTGGAGGTTGCTTGAACAGGAACATTGCTATCCTATTGCCTGTCTAATAGCTAGCTAGCATTCTACCCAATAGTATTTCTAATCGAGAAGTACCAGCAAGCAATGGTTTGTCAGGCCTCAGCTCCTTGGTTCAGCTTTTCGTCGGCAAACGTTGAAATTTAACTCCCGCACGACACTCAATCGAATGATCGGATCGAATGATCAATCGAATCGAACCGAATGAATCGAATCTCGATTTCAGGCTACGGTACGACACCCTCTCGAGATCCGATGGCACATGGCATCCACCCACCACGGACCATGGACCATGGACCGACTACGGCGCACCTGACCCAAGATGCTCACCATCCGGCCTGCGGCTGTCGGAAAGAGCGATTCGATTCCTCTGTCAATCGGACTACTGGTTCTTTGGTTATGTGAAATGTACCAATGGCACGTCATTAATGTGATCAGGGGTTTTAGAGTAGGGAAGGTATCTACGGAAGCCAGATCTGCATTCGACCATGGCCAAAGCTATCCGTAACTCTCAGCTGATTGTGCTGTTGCTAGCATGTTTCTCCTTGAAATTGTGCTTCTCACAAGTGCAAATCTCATCAGATGAGAGGTTGTCTTCACAAAGTCTTGTGCATGGCCTGAGCACCCTGGATGGTACTGGGCGAGCCACCAAGATGATGCTGGATGATATGGAAGACTACTTTGAAGGTCCCGAGGACAATGGCCATTATGCTACTTTCCCAGAGTCTTACTTTGAGGAGACAGTCCAATGCTTCAACAAGTTTGATAATCCCCTTGTAATGCAAGCTCAGGATGCTGGATGGCGCAAGTTCTTGGAGTATTATTTTTCGGATGAAGCTGTATGGGATGACTATCCAGAGGAAGACAAGTTTGCAGAGTACTTTATCGAGAAAGACAAGTTCTTTGGAAGGTCCAATCTTCGATATGAAATAACAGAACCCTGCAATTACGCTAGCAATGCTGCGTATTATGGTTCTGCCATTCGAGTGTGCGACAAAGAATGGAAAACCTTCAATGTATCCTCTCAAGCTGTCATTATGAGATGCTTATCAGTTATTGCCGTCGCATCCTCCTGGTTTCATGGAAGTCTCAACAACGTAGGTGCCAGATGGGATGGAAAAGCCATTGAGATGACGATCAACGTTGCCTACCAATTGGCAATTAGCAGTGTGTCATCAGACTCAACAATCTTCCGAGCTGGGTCCAATGAATTCAACCAAACACCCATTGTGGAGCTCTCAGATCCAGTTGTATATCTGCCCCTCAATGACAGCCTACCCATTGACAGGTGGTTTGAATTTCTTAACACGTTGCCAATCTCAGACGGAAAGCTGGAGTTGCAGGCAGCCGCACTCTTTCACTTTTCATGTGCTGCTACAATGCCTTTCGTCCTTTGTGAGACTGTGATGGGACTCCTAGCACCCGCCCTGAGCGACCCCTCCTTTCTGATCGATGTCTATACACCCGAGCTTAAAACGGTAGCGCAAGCGGAAAACTTCCCCATGCCCTTGCGGACAGGGTTGCCACTGTTTTGCCAGGGATTGAGCGTAATGATTGGCTTCATCTACTCCATTGTATTCCAAGAAAAGTTTCTACCTTTAGGAGTTGTGACAGACAGTGCCATTTTTCGTGCCTTTGTGAGCGCCATCAATCCACTGGTGGAGGGTGGTTTCAGACTGTTTCATAACATTCGAAACTCTGAGAAGAAAGGATACAATGGCAACAAGGATGTCTACCCTGGGGCTGACTTTTGCAACAAGCACTCTGCACATGCGTTGTGGCATCAGAAAGCTGCTTCCGGGCTCTTTGAAATCTTTGTCTACGCAGATGATATCAATGAAGCGGTGAGGGACTATCAGAAAACTGTCAAGGGTAGAAAACTCTCCGCACTGCAATCTACCTTGCGCTGGCTGCGAAGCACAGCAGGATCAATTTCGGAACCCGAAAGCCAAGATTCATCTGTGCAATAGGGTGCTTCTTGAGACAGGCGGTTGGCTGAAGGGTTTTGTCCTGGGGCTGGGCGGGGTGTCGGACCAGTCTGGGTGTTTGTCCAAGGATTTGGGCTGGGTGTTGGGCCTGGACCCAACAGCAAGCAGTAAGGAAGAACAACTAATTTAGAGTACAAACAAATCTCTCAGTTTAGTCTACAGTGCCTATCCCGTAATCAACGACATCAAAGCCCCTGGTTGGTGCGGCTCGTCACTGGCCGGGCTGGTCTTCGTAGTTGTCGTAGCCTTCTTCGCGTCTTTCTTGTCCTTGTCCTTCTTGCTTTTATCCTTCTTCTCCTTGTCTTTCTTGTCTTTTTCTTTCTTCTCCTTGTCTTTCTTGTCTTTTTCTTTCTTCTCCTTGTCTTTGTCTTTCTTCTTTTCCTTATCCTTGTCTTTCTTCTTGTCCTTATCTTTCTTTGCTGCTTCAATCTCTTTTGTGGCCTCACCGGGCTTCGTGGCAGTGGAGCCTTCGATTGAGCCCAACTCGGGCATGCCGTCGTCATTGTCACGTTTTGTTCTGGTGGATTTGCGTTTTTCCTTGCGTTGTCGCTTTTCTTGCTCTTCGTCATTATTTGCACCGAGGGTACCTTGAAACCACCCCCCTAAACCCGGTAGGTCGTCGCCTCCACTTTTGTCGTCTCGTTTTGTGGTTTTCGTCGACCGACGCTTCTCCTTGCGGTCTCGCTTTTCTTTCTCTTCTTTGGTTTCTTTCTTGGTCGTGGTCGCGGCATTCCTGCCGTTTTCGGTGGTGGTGGCGCTGCTTCCCTTTGCCGTGGTGCCGGCACTAAAGGAACCCAACTCTGGCAGCTCGTCATCATTGCCACTCTGAATGTCTCTGCTGGACTTTCGTTTCTCCCTGCTTAGTCGTCGCTTTTCTGTTTCCTCTTCTTCATGGTCCTCCTCCCCTTCTTCGGCAATGCCTGTCAATTGTTGCTTTTGTTGTTCCATGATCGTTTTGGCTTTGAGCTTTTTCAGCCTTTTCTCCCGCTTGCTCTGCAGTTTCTTGACCTTTTCCAACATCTTTTTGGAGCTCTCGTCCTCCGTGGCGGGCGAAGATTCCAGGAGCTTGATAATCTCCTTGATGGCCTTTTCAATTCTCTTGCGCTGATCCCGCCTTTTCTTTCTTCGTTCCGTAATCATGTCGATTTGGCGTTGCGCCTGGGTGCAAGCTGACCCATAGTGCTCCTCGATCCGTGTCCAATCGGCATGGTCTTTTTCCAGTTTGGGCATTTGTTTTTCCAACCGACTGCGTTCGGCTTCACGCTCTGGGTCGACAATTTCGAGTTGCTTGTTTTCGCGAGCCAATTGTTTAATGTCCTCCTTGAGCTGTTCATTTTCTGTTTTCAATGCCTGTGTCTGCGCTTTCAAATCATCCTGTTCTTTGTGGTAGGCATCCCATTCTTCCGGTGTCAAGAGACTGGAATTCCACTCATGTTCCAGTTCCATGCGAAAGCTTTCCTTTTCCTCCTGGATGAACCGTTGCACATCTGCCAATTCTTCCACGCGCCGTGTTTCAATGTCGACAATTTCATTTTCAAAGTACTCTCGTTCCTGGGTATACTGTCGTAGCACCAAGAGACACTTTCGAAAGAATCGTTGCATCTTTTTGGCCGCCTTTTCCAAACGAGATTGTACGACTTTGGTTTGTCCAAACTTGTCATCGGCAATGACAAAAATACTGCCTCGACCCGTGTTGCGCCGACGCCGGGACGACGCTCCCATATTAGTAGCAGTAGTAGATGCCTCCATACCACCGAGATCTGCCAGCAGTGGTTCGTCGTCTTCGAGCCCAACATTCATAAAACTCATGTTGAAGGAAATGGATTGTTGTGCTCGTGCTCGAAAGTTGGCTTCACTGGCATCCATGCCCGAAGTGCCACCCGTCGCCACGAGATCTCCCAGAGAATCACCATCGGAATCTCCCGTTGAAGAAGAGCTGCTCATGGAGAGATCGTCCAAACTGAGTGCTCCACCCCAAGATTCGTCCATGCCGCCACCAAAACTGCCGCTACCGCGAAGGATGGTGGATGCCGAAAAGGAATCTCGGAGTTTGGCTTTGGTGGCGGCCACACGGCCCGAATTGTCATTGTCGTCTTCAACTTCCAAAAAGGACACGGACTTGTTATTATTGGCCATGCTGTTGTGGTCAGATGAGCTGGGCGACATGTTTCGTTTCGATATCCAACTCGTGTCGCTGTTGGAAAATGTAACGGATTTGTTCAGATTATTGCTGCTATTGTTGCTGCTGTTATTGCTGTTGTTGCTGTTGCTGCTGCCATCACTGATTGGTGTTTCCTCCGGAGCATCGCTGGTGTTCAGCTCACCCTTATCGTTGGATTCGGGGTTTTCTACGTTCATCATTTGAGGCGACGGCGGGGATTCTGTCAAGAGGGAGGGATGCTGTCTCTCTGTCGACGTTGCCGTTGTTCTGGTCGGCTTCAAACAATCTAGCGATGTGCCTCTTCCTTACGAATGCAAGACAGAAAAATTATAACACGGGGGTCTGCCACCGGTACCGGAATGAGCCAATGGACGTTTGGATGCCGCTTTCAACCCTTGATTGACAACTTTGGCAATCAAAGAAACAAGACCATCAAAACAGAAAGGGGATCTCATGAGAATAATGAGATGGTCAATCATGGGAAAATGTGGTGTTGTCAGTCTTGACTTGGAGGTGGAGTTGTTGCCTGGTTTGGGGCTTACTTACGGGTATCACTAAATGAAAATGGAGTCAATGTCCCAGTCACAGAAGATGAGATTTTTATTAAGAGCTGTCTTGCAACTAATGTCCCAGTCACAGATCGTGAGATTCATCATTCGATTCCATTCCGATCCATTCCAATCATTCGATTCATCATTCTGATTCGATTCGATTCGATTCTTTCGTTCCCTCACGCCTTTCCCACCATCTGCAATATTGCTGGTGGCAACGCACGACAGATTATAGCCAGACTCATAAAGCTAGGTAGGCAAGCTTTGCATGCATGCAATGACATTCTGGGACACCTACAGGGCTATTGTCTACCATGTCTATACTATGGCCGGAGCTACGAGCTAGGAGTACTAAGTGGTTTGGGCTTAATTGCTTTGTGCCTAACCCAAGCTGTGTGAGTGGTGGCATTGGCCACACTCATACAGCTGTGAACTCAATGGTGCTCCATGCTCGGAGTGAGGGGTGGATTGGAACGATCCGTGCCATGGAAGGTTCCACGTGCATCTCTCAGGCCGGGTAGACAGAGTAGACTCATACAGTTGCGAGGGCTGCTCTGGAGTGGTGAAGTGGAGGAGCGAAAACATGAGCAATGCACTTGTGTAGCTCTAGTAACCATATGTAGGTGACCATTATCATTGCTCTGGTCTGTTGGAAGAGGAATAAAGAATGAGGAGGCTGCAGTGGTGCGACCGATCGGATCGGCGATACATTCCTCTAGACGCACACTTGCTCCTACTTTATCCTCGCGGACCAAACTCTCATCAGATCATGACATTGCCACTCTAGCTAGCTAGTCTAAAATCATATGACAGGGTGCCCACAGAGTCAATGCCAGTAGTAGACAGATAGTACATAGAACCATGGGGAGGCTTGAAGCTTCATGTGTCGTGTTATCGTGGTTGTATTGGGGAATAAACTGTCCAACAAGCACAGCCTTTCTCTCGTTTCCTCCAATTACTCGCACTGCCCATACCGGCAGAGCACACCATCCTCCCCGATACACAGCCCTTTGGGCAGCAACACCAAGACGAGGCTCTGGCAGCAAGAAAACCTCATCTTTGGCAGAGAAACCCCGTGTCAAAAGAAAGGAACTTTTGGATCAAAAGGACCAGTATTTCGTTGAAAAACAAAAAGAATCTCATGAGGATACCGAGGCGTATGCTGAAGTGCTGCCACTGTTCTCTTCAACAACGCCCGTTTACAATGACACAACAAGAACCTCATTGGATGTTATCATGGGTGCTGATGGTACCCAGAAATGCAAGTCCCTATAATCGATTTTGCCAGTCGCTACCTGGTACTAATCCCCACGAGGAGCGCCAGCCGAAAGAGGGTACCCATGACGGTTAATACCCTGACGTTGATGGCTCGTAAATACCACCCAAACCAACGCGAATTACACTACTAGCTACCAGTAGTCCAGCTGTAGTCAGTTTGACCATTTTCTTCCACCAGCGCAGTGGCTTCGCCCGTCTTGCCCACCAATCGTCCAACCCTGAAGGTTTTGGCCCCTCCCGATACCGGGCGTTACTTTCAATATCCCTGCGGCATCCCAAGAAGCCAGGTTTTCAATGCTGATGATCAAATCAGGTGAGGGGCCATTCGACTCAGAAGCTGCCTTGCTTTTTTTTTGCGTTGTGGGTCTTGAATTCTAAGCTCCAGACCTCCAGCATCGTCGCGTTCGCGTTTTTGGCGAATGGGTTGTGCGTCTCGAGGTTCCACAGTTCCAGCATGTTTTTTGCGAATGAGTTGTGCGTCTGCGCGTTTCTCACCTCCAGCATCGTAAAGACGCGTATACTTCTCAGTTCGGGTCTTCAGCCATCGCTGGTCCTTCAAAGAGCGAAGCAATGGCGCCAACAATTTCGACCGTGTGAAGTCATAAGGCAAGTAATCACGATCTTTCGCAGTGCCGCTGGCAACCAGAAGACTCGATGAGGTGCTGGAGACACAGAGCAACCGCTTTTGACCAAACACCCAGTCCAACAGTGGTTTCCCTACCCTTTCTGCATGCTCATTCAACTTCGTCGCGTCAATTTTCGAATCTCCGTGGAAGTCCTTTGCTTGGTTCAGGATGGACATAGTACAAACATCTCCGAGTTCTCCAATCTCTTTCGATTCTCTGTCCACCGCAAGAAATGTCACACCGCCGTCAAACAGGGGGCTGTTCCCTTCATTGATAAAGGCGATGGGGGGCACTTTGCCACTACTATCACAGGGGGCATTCGTACTCCTGATGGCGTCCTCCAACTTTTCTTCAAGTTGAAGAAGTTCGCCGTAGTTGCTACTTTCAACAATCTTGAGTCCGACTTGAAGCTGCCGCGTTCGGGTGTAGTAGGGGCTCTTGATGTCCGAATTGGAGAAAACGGCCTCCCATTTACTGAGCTCCTCCCAGACCCCCTTTACTGTCGAAGAAGTGCCTTTGTTGCTTTTAAAGCCAAGGCATCGCAGGGCATCATGCACTGAAGGTCGCTTATTCGGGTGAACAGCTGCAGAAGCTGCAATAGCGCACTTGATAAAATGGGTTGACATCAACTCAAAGCCAAACCAGGTCGGCTCCAACATGCTCTCGAGATCGAGTCCCATCATGAAAATCGCGACGAGTTGTTGGGGGGTCGACATCTTCAATGGGGGTGCAATGGATTGGCCTCGATGCCGCCTCTCAACCGGACACGCAGGCTCCAACAAGCCATATGTCGACACCATATCTTTGACTAGAACACCTGTAGAGAGAGGGAAAAAGTCCATATTCATTGCAAACTTTGCAACCTCTTGGCTGTCATCAGGCACTGACAGCTTGAATTCATCTCGATCAGCGAAGAAATGAACTGCCAGAGCGGATGCTGCGACGATTGGTTTTCGTTCCTCGTCTTGTGCGATCTCCATCAAGCCATTGCTGTCCAAGAATTTGCTGACAATTCTACTAGCCAAGACACCTTCTTTGACTTCTTCCTTGCTCGTGGCGCATTTTCGAAGCTGTGCCAGGGTGATTGACGCCAACCGTCCATTCACCACCAACGAGGCCAAGACAGGAAGTTCCGACCTGATGGTCTTCAAATCACAGATCTTTTCTTGCTGCGGGCGCCACGGAACTTCCAACACGAGGGGCTCGTGTTGGAGTTTGTGATTGATAATGTCTTCGAAATGATCTTCGTGGTAGGGCTTCAACACGCGGAAATTCTTAGGAACAGATCCAATCGTAGAAGAAGCAACCCCTGTACCAGCGATAGAAATTTTTATATCGAACAGCTTTTCATCCAACCCCAATTCCATGTTGAGAAACTCTTTCACAGACCCCTTGATCGGCTTGGGAAATCGAAGCATACCACGAATCACCCGTGGACAGGAAGACGCTTCGTCCACAGCCAGGACCAATTTCACTTGCCGACCTGCTGAATTCGAAGCCTTCGCCAGTTCCTTGAACAGGAGTTTTTCCTTCTGTTTTTTCAGGGCCTTTTCAAGAGCTCTTCGGATCGCCCAATCAGCGGCTTGAGCATTGACTGAACGAGGCCGCAAGACAGCCGCCTTGCTAAGACCCTGTGGTTGGCTGCCATCCAGCATTTCAGGGTTGTAAATTCCTTGTGACCGATTCTTTTTCTTCTTGGTTTCCAATTCACTGTCCTTGGAGCTCTTGGGTGCGTTGGCGTCGGACTCGTCGTCGGACTTGGTTTCAAGTTCACTGTCCTCGGATTCGTCGTCAGATTCGTCGTCTTCGTCGATGTTTTGATCTGCCTGCATTTGAAACTGTTCATGCATTCTGGGTTCCGGGTCGCTGACTCCCAAGATAACCGCAAGATCTGAGTCTCGACTGGCCGAGCTCCCTACCAGATCCGATGTCTTGCCGCTCCCACTAGACGAATAATAGACCAAAGTTTTGTCGTCATCCTTCATGTCGCCCAAATACAAGACGGGCGGTGTCCTGTCTCTTTCTCCTTCGTGACGAAACTTGACAACATTGTTGCTGTTGAGATAGAAGGCGCGCGTCAATGTGAACGACGACGTCGCGGTCCCCAAAAGCACGTCCATGTGATGGACTTTCGATTTCCCGTCGTCCGCAAAAGATTGCAGAATTGCCGCGATAGGGCAGTCAAGGCCTGCACCATTACGAGTAGTGCTCATGTTGCTGTCGCTACGGGATTGCAGAGACTTTTGTGTTTTGTGCTTGTTGCTGAAATAACGAACGTGACGGAAACACGGTGCTCGCTCGTGCGGTTTCCTCACTTTGGACGCAGTTTCACAGATCGTGAGATTGAATTCGATTCGATTGGATTCACCATTCATCATTCCGATTCGATTCGAATCACTTTCGCCCTTTCCCACCATCTGGTCAACCTCTCTCTTCAGTCTCACAGCAGCATGACATTGCCACCAAAATCACAAGACAGGATGTTTGCTGAATCTATTCTAGTAGTAGTAGACAGATAGTACATGTACAGAGAACCATGGGAACACTCAAAGCTTCATGCGTCGTGTTATCGTGGTTGTATTGGGGAATCAACTGTCCAACAAGCAGAGCCTTTCTCCTGTTTCCTCCAATTACTAGTACTCCCACCGCCCATACCGGTACCGGTAGAGCACACCATCCTCCCCGATACACAGCCCTTTGGGCAGCAACACCAAGACGAGGCGCTGGCAGCAAGAAAACCTCATCTTTGGCGACAGAGAAAACTCGTGTCAAAAGAAAGGATCTCTCGGATCAAAAGGACAAGTATTTTGTTGCAAAACAAAAAGAATCTCATGAGGATACCGAGCGAATACTCGAAGTGTTGCCACTGTTCGCTTCAACAACGCCCTTTTACAACGACACGACAAGAACCTCATTGGATGGTCTCATGGGTGCTGATGATTTATTGAACCAGGCGTTGTCTTCTCAAGTTTCCTACTTTTACTTGCAGAAGCAGTTGAATTTCTCGGAAGAAACCATGTGGAAAATCACGGTGAATGCCCCTTCCGCATTGGGCATGACAGCACAGACGATTGAAGCCAAAGTGGAGTGTTTGAAATCTGCCTTGGGATTGGATACTCTCCAAGAAATCGAAGCCATCGTGAGTCGACAACCCACTCTCTTGCATCTCAGCGTACATCGCAATCTAGCTCCCACCCTACAATGGATTCAATCATCCCTTGAAATGTCTCGGACAGAATTGAAACAACTGATACTCGCAGAACCAGTTCTTCTCACTTTGTCGGTGCAAACCAATCTACAACACAAGCTCAACTTCTTTACCGACCCACAAAAAGGGCTGGGATTTTCCATTCCGGAATGTCGCAAACTCCTCTTGGCGGAACCCCGATTATGGAGCAGTGCCGGAGTCAAGACGGGATTGATTCCAAAGGCCAAATTCTTTCTCGACGAATTGGAGCTACCCAAAGACCAACTGCGCAAAGCCATTGCCAAAAATCCACGCATTCTTCTCTACAGTCTCCAAGACAATCTTGCACCCAAACTGATCAATTTTTTTATTATGACATTGCATATGGATCCAGCCACGCACGTGGCAAAACTCGTCACGACGTATCCACAGTTTTTGGACTACAACCTCGAACGACACATACTGCCCATTACTCGCTTTTTTCTCACCGAATTGGATATTTCGGCACCCGAATTTCGATCCATCTTGCTCAAGTTCCCTCGTTTGATCACATACTCGTTGAGCAAGATCAAACACAATGTGGGATTCTTGCGCTACCAGATGGGCTTTGATGCCGATGGAGTGCGACGAGTTCTGTATCAAGCTCCACAAGTTTTGGGGTTGGATGCCGAACAGAATTTGACACCCAAAGTGATCTTCTTGCAGAGAGCCATATTGGGGTATTCCTCGTGTCAAACGGAAAGCGATGCACAGGAGGATCCGGACAGAGCCATGAAAATGACTCGCAAGGTGATATTGGGGCTGCCCACCATTTTGAATTTGTCGGTCGAAAAGAACTTGGCTCCCAAATTGGACTACTTGCGAACCATGTTGGCAAGTGAAGCGTCGGTCTTGCAGCAGCAGCAGCAAGAAGAAGACCAACAAACTACAAGCATCTACAACCCACTACAACAGCTCGTACAAGAAACGTTGCTTCGAATGCCAGCATTGCTGGGGTATTCTCTGGAAAAACGGATACGACCTCGCATGCAACGGATTCTAGATGCTGGATTGCCTCCTTCCAGTATAACGATTGGGATCAGCATGACGGAAGCAAACTTTCAAAAATGGCTGGAAGGACGACGACAGGCAAAGGCCAAGCGGGCCATTGTTTTATGGAATGACAACAACAACAACGCCTCCAAAGAAGAGCAAACGTTGCCGTATAATAATCGTCCGCTACCAATGCTGCCAGCTGCACGAGAAGACCAAGATCATAGATCCGGACGTATTGTGCACTGGACACGAGAACGCAGACCCTGGAGGGCCGATTAGGGGCTACCGGTTTTGGTATTGAGTGACTGCCGTCTAGCTGAAGAACCAAGAGGGTAGTTCATAATAGACAAGTACTAATAAATACGGTTACTGTAGACCAAACAACAAACAAACCATGCATTCTGCAGAGCTAGCTAGGTCTCAATCTCATCGGTGATCACATCCTTTCCTGCCAATCTCTCCAATGTTTGAGCCACCATGTCCTTTTCTACCGATCCTTCTAGCTGTGAAATTCCAGTGGGGAAGTTCTCTTTCCCCAACTCTTCCTCAAAGTACGCCTGAGGTTCCGTCTTGTTGGGTACAACAAAGATTCGCTTCCTCATCTTTGCACCCATGAATGGGCTCATCAGTGCCATGATGACACGCAGCCAAGTAGGATTGTTGTAAACAAAACAAGCTTCCATTTTGATAGGGAGAATCCCAATGGTCAAACGGTCCAGTTTGGTGCCAACATCCATGGATACAGTTGTCATTGTTTCCATAAGGCCCGTGTGTTTGCCCATGGCTTCTACCAGAACCAATCCATGCTCTTGAGCCCCCTTGTCAAAGACGATCATGTGGCTCATCCATACAAAGAGTCGCAGCGTGTCCTCCGGAGGCACCTGCTTGAGAGATTTCAGATCCAGACTAGGGATATCAATCCACCACACGAGACGTCCCTTTTTGTCATGTGTAATCTTCATCTTCCAGTTATCCGCCGCTTCTTTCATGGTGCTACCCTGCAGGTTCATGTCCTTGCAATTCTTGTTCATCCATTCCACATACGCTTCCAACCGCCTTAGTGCTTTGGAAGGATTGTAAGAGCTTGCTTCACCATCGTCACTACTCTTGCGAGACCAATGAACAAAGGCTTGAAACAGCTGCTCCTTGGTAGCATTAAAGTCGTCAAAGGGCGTCGTGGCAAAGTCCCAATCTTTGCCTTGAATCAATTCGTAGAATACCTTCATGGCTTCTGCAAAGCTATCACAGAGAATATCGCCCTTTTTCTTCTTGCCACCATCACTCATACCCAACGTCTCCAATGTGGTCGCCCATGCGGACTTGCCGCCCTCCACTTTGGTATCCATCAGCATCTTTTTCATGTTGCCCACTTCTGCATCGCTGCCTTGGCTAGACACATCCGTGTCGGATAACGCCTTGTCCTCTAGTGATGATGCCATTGTCGATCTTCCTTCTTTGGATTCTTCAAAGCCAAGTTGCTTTGGTTCAGTGTTGCTCTTTGATAAGATACCTTTCGGTGCTATAGTACTTCTTTGTACCACATACAGATGAGGTCTTCCAAAAACTTGACGGTTGGCTTTGGTAATGGATCTTTGACTTTTGGTCGTGGAAGCCTTCGCGTGATTGAGATCTTTGCTCATTTCGATTTCGTTCTTTTGATCCAGCATCGGTTAGTGATGGGCTTTCCTGGCCTACTACATGTAGACTATCATACTGGTACTACCGGTAGCTAGAGTATCGTCTCTTCGTACTCATTCAATGGGAAAATAGCCATAGTTTGGTAACAACTGTAGTGCTATTTTGACAAAGTTGCCGTCTACATATGCGGTTAGCCTTGCCCATCGAGCTGCGCCGTGGCGGATTCAATTTTCTCCCTCGGCATAAGTATGCATGGCTGATTTGCCGTTCATCCAACTAAATAAATCAAAGGCAACGAGGACGAGTTGAGTAATTGAATTCCCGGTATGATGTGGATTGTTAGGGTACGGTATCCAATTCCTTTGCCCCTCTGAGGATACCCCGGCTCAACTATCTAGCTAGCCAGTATGCATGTACATGTATTACGCTAACCGGTGGCTACCTGTGGCTCTGGCTAGCTACAGCTTCTTGAATTTGTGCCATCATGGCTTCACGAATCTCTTCGGGAACTGCATCTTTGCCTGCCTTGACCAAGTCATGGGATAATTCATCGAGGGTGATATCCAGGACCCCAGCTTCTTTAGATTGGACAGATTCTCGGACCTGTTGGCGCATTTTATCCCACCATTCGGGATGATCGTAGAGAATTTTGCAGAGCAACTGTTCTTGGAGTCTTAAAATAATTAACCAAGCAGGTACCGTAGACAGTAATAGAGTGAAAGAAATCGTGAGATCAAGAAACAGCATGCACTCGAGTTGCCACCGGCATTCTGTTCTCCTGCTCACCGTTGAAAGTCCCCGGATTCTTGCAGACGATGAACGATCTTAGACGCTTCTTTTCGTTCTTCCTTTGCAGCCTTGCCCTTCTTTGTCTCTTGCTTCTGTTCTGTCATCCTCAAGTTGGTCCCTCGCTACCGGTATGGTCTTATTGGATTGTTGGAGGTCGGAGTTTGAAGCAGTGGGAGAGCGCTGACGATATTAAATTAGATCGACAATTCGACGTCACACACAGACTGCCTAATTACCATATCACATGGATCGCACTTAGACCATCGCGCCGGTTGAAAGTCACAAGCTCGCCGTTTCTTTCGCCCACCAAAAGGAGTCTTCAGTTTTGCCTCCACCCACCAACCAAGAGTCGCTTCCGTTGTTTACCGGTACTTTAGCCAGTAGTGCCACCGTTATCCGCTCTGGCAGCAAAGGACGACACAAGCAGTTTGCCGTAGCCAGTTCAGTTCGTTCAGGTAAGCAACTGTTGGCTTGACGGGTGCCATTGAGATCCAATGACAAAGGAGAGCAAGTCAGGTCAATAGAGATACGGTATCTCTGAGAAAAAGCAATCCACAATTACAGAACGAAATAGCGACAATGATTGATGCACCCGCTACAATATCGACGGCCCGGAGAAGGGATCGCAAGTCTCCTTATCTTCACAGAAACAATGCTACGAGAGCAAGGACCAAGGTGAAAGCCCTAGCCGTCCAGTCCAACCATCTGCAAAACAGACCTGTCGAAAACAAGGACTGCTTGTCGCCTGGAACCAACACCACCAGCACCACCAACTCTGGAACCCGCAAACTGGCCATGGCAGTGGATCCCTATCAGGTGGAAATGAGCGTTTCGGCTTCCAACAGTTTCAACTCGCAAATACCGTCCATCGCCGTGTCGACGCTGTCGCCTGTATCGGAACAACCAATCATTGCGGCTCCTCGTTCTCCGCGACACAAGGCGATTCAATATCAGAAAGCCCACAAAGCTAGACGGTCGCCCATGGCTGCCGCTTACGCTACCGCTATTGCCAACACGCAACGGATCAGTCCATCGGCTTCTCCCAAGCGCACTCGATCCATTGCAACCAACGTTGAGGTGGTCAAGCCAACCACCATCAAGCCGACTCCTCGACGACAGACCGCAGCCGCGACCACAACGATACCGGTAAAGATTATCAAACCCAAAGCCACCAAACCTCGTCCGTCGTCCCCCCTGCGCACCCGCAACAGTCCCAAGACACCCATAAGTCCTGCCACCAATAACACCACTACCACCGGAACTAGCACTTCCATCAATACCAATCCGGATCCCCCTGCCATGCATCATCATAATCTGCGTCATCATATTGTCAATGATCCACCCGCATTGCAGCCTTCCAGATCCAAAGACAGCCACACCACATTCAGCACGACCACGTGGCATGATGAACGTCTCATGAAAAGCTTGAATCATTCCAACACCTTTCAAAAACGACTGGAAGAACAGGCAGCGGAAGCCATTCGCAAGGCCGAGAAAAAGACCATGAAGGAATACGATAAGAAGCTCAGCAATTGCCTCAAAACGATTGAAGCCATTGAAAAGCGGAAACGAAATGATCTACGATTGGTCGAACTGCGGAAAAAGGCGGAAATAGAAAGGTTCGAAACCGAGTTGGCGCAGCAAATCTTTGACGACGAAATGAAACGCCTCAAGGATCTACAAGATCGCATGAAGGCCAATGTGTTGAGGTTAAAGGCCGAAAACACGGAACTGGAACAAAACTGTCGTCACATGGCAACGCGGAACAAACAGCTGCAGGAGGAAATCCAGTCGCGACAACGAGTGCAACAGGAAGTCGATCAGCACGGCGAAATTGTATCGCAACTAAACAACATCCATCAAGTCTTCCAGCAAGCCCATCGCACGGCAGAGCAAGACTTGAGTCGATTAGAGCAGGACTGCAGAAAGGAAGTCAAGGAACGGAAGAAAATACAAAAGTGGATCAAATCCTTGATCAAGTTGATGGATGAGCGCTGTGATCACCCCGTCTTGCTCAAGAGAATACACAAGATCGATGAAACCTTCCAAGCTCAACGTGAATTGGTAATCAATCTTCGTCGAGCCAGGAAACGGTCCAGCAAGAGAAGTCAACAAAGTGGAACCACAGCCGTCCTGAAACGAAAGGTCAGTGACATGCGAAAGCAAGCGCGGGAAAAGACTCAAATCTTGGAAGACCGGGCCCAATTGACTGCTGACTTGGCAAAGAGACGACAAAAGAAAGGCGAACGAGAAGAGCTAGTAGAGCGGGAGCACCGAGAGGGACATCCTAAGGAGTCAAACGAGACGGTGGGTCGGGTGGAAGAAGAGTTGATGGCTCATCCACACGAGGAAGAGGAGAGGGCTTGCCGAAAGAACGAAAAGAAACCGTGGCGTCAAGAAGTGGAGCGAGATCGACGAGAAGTGGAACGAGATCGATGGCTGGAAAAAGAGGCGAAAGACTTCCGAGAATATCGTGCCCAAGTGACCAATAAAAAACGACGGCAACGGGATCAACGAGAGGATCGAGAGAAACCGGATCAACGAGAGGATCGAGAGAAATGGGTTCAACAACGAGAGGATCGAGAGAAATGGGTTCAACAACGAGAGGATCGACAGAAACAACACCAAGCAGAGCAAGAGCCGGAGCAAGAAGAGACATTTCATGAAGAGGACGAAGAATTAGCTCGTGAGGAGGAACAAGAGTTGATGCACCAACAGCAAGAAGAGTTGAAGGCTCGTCGGAAAAGGGAAAAGAGGGCTCGGTGGCGTGAAGAGGAACAAAAGTTAATTCGTCAGGAGGAAGAAGAGTTGATGCAGCAGCAAAGAGAAGCGTTGATGCAGCAACAAAGAGAAGAGTTGATGCAGCAACAAAGAGAAGAGTTGATGCAGCAGCAGGAAGGAGAGTTGATTCAGCAACATGAAGAAGAGTTGATTCAGCAACAGGAAGAAGAGTTGAAGGCTCGTCGAAAAAGGGACAAGAGAGGTCGGTGGCGCGAAGAGGAAAAAGACTTCATTCACCAGGAAGAAGCAGAGTTGATTCAGCAACAGAAACAAGAGTTGATGCAGCAACAGGAAGAAGAATTGAAGGCTCGTCGAAAAAGAGAAAAGAAGGCTCGGCGGCACGAAGAAGCAAAGGCTCGTCGAGAAGAAGACAAAGCTCGGCAGCAAGAAGAAAATGAAAGAATTCGGCAGCAGCTGGAAGAGGAGGAGAGAGCTCGGTTGCAAGCAGAAGAGGTGAATGCTCAACGTGAAATTCACGAAGCATTGGCGGCTCGCGACAAGCACGGGATGGAAAAGAAGGTTGCAAGGACTAGCAAAAGGCTGAACAAACGTCGCAAAGATATTGAAGAAATCGTCAATGAAATGCGATGTCTGGAAGGGGTGGAGGGCGATCCGTCAGTGCCGCTCTTTACTTTGGCAGATTGATGCGTTCGTAAGTACGCAAGATCAAGACCAAGCCATAGCAACAATGAGTGCTTGTCATCAACCAGTCTTTGTCGAGCAAGCAATCCACCCGTGCTACGAGCAAATACCGGAACATGCTTGTGAAGGCTTCCTTAGAACCTCGTGGCAGGAACGAAACAAAGCCAAAGTTTCAAGACGATACCAAGGAAGTGTCAAGGAAATGCCAAGCAAATGAGAGGGAAGTAATGATCCAGCGGCCCTACTAACGCTGGCGGATTGAGTCAATCACAGTGGCACCCTACCGGTACTAGTACTTGTCCTAACAAACTCGACGACGGCCGAAGCTACTCATGATGCTGTAAGTGGGCAGGCTAGCTATTCTCTTCGAGCTCTTCACTTCTAAGTTCTAAGCATATCCAACAATCCAATCATTACCCTTGTTGACTGGAGGGCACTAAAAAGAGCTTAGAATAACTATAGAACAGTCCACTTTTGTTTCTGTCTGACTAATGATCGAAATAATTCAGGGCTGTCTTGCCACGAGCATGTTGTATTTGATGGTACAAGAATCTTGGGCTTCGACTGAGATGCTTGTTCCTTCTATCATACCCAGCAGAACCAAACAAAAACTTCAAGAGAAACAAGAGTTTTCAGAAATGGCACTTCCAGCTATTACGCATGTGCCGGTAGCACTGTGGGAGGTGCCTCCGACATTGCTTTCCTGTTGCCATTCTAGTGCAATCCCCTACTAGGATGGAAAACGACTGGTGGAGGGTTTTGGGCACTGCAGAGGTTTGTCTAACTTGGGAGATCTATTTACAGTCATCTAAGTGAGCGAAACCATATTGCGTGCTCTGCACAGTTCCCTCGCCCATTTTGCTGCAGGGTCAACTCAACTTTGAATTGTGTGCTTCTGCTATTCCTGTTTTGAGCATGGCCAATGCAATTGTAGCAGTCCATTTGACCTCTTGAAACTTCCCCTGCAACATGGCATCTACAAGCTGCTCCCTGGACATTTCCACCAACTGTTGCTTCTCAGATTCTCCAAATGCTCTCCCACCTTCCCCGGAAACTCTGGTGTTTGGAATTGGAGTACTATTTCCAGCCATATAACAATGGACAATACCACCTCCTCGATTGATTGCCGTTCGGTAGGACCCCAGTGGCATCCATTCCTGAGATTCTAATCCCAACTCTTCCTTCAACTCTCTTTTGGCAGTGTCCAATGCATTTTCACCTGGTTCCATGAGTCCCCCCACAATGGCCAGAGTCTCTCCAGAAGCTCCATATTTTGTTTGTCGCAATACCAGATAGGCTGGTGCACCACCATTGGTGGATGCCTTTTCGACAAGGATATTGACATGTTCTGCTTCGTCAAACCACATCCAATCATCCACAATCTTTCCACTCTCCAGTTTGACTGAATGGACCTGAAATCTTGCAAATGGTGTCTCATAGAGAGTCTCAACTTTTTGGGTAAAGCCTTCTTTCCAGTGCTGAACACCTTTAAACTTGGATTCTTGACTGCGAGATCCCCGTCTAACGGCGGCCGCGCTGTTGGACCCACAAGACCTGGTCATCTGCCAATATGCCGCCAAATAGCTGATTAGACAGCCCCACAAGAATGGGACAAGCGGATTTCGTTGGTTGACTTCCCGCAGGAGGAGTCGATTCGTCATTTTGAGGCTGTTCGGACTATCTTGCTTCGTTGCGGTTGCTAATTGACTGATCAAGTAATCTTGAGTCCAATTCATAAAACCTCCTTCGTTGCTGTTACCGGTACTTCTGGACCTTGTGCCGCAATCTACTATCATAGCTGTTGTTAGTATTCTGTCCGCGCGGTTCATGGTCAAGGGTCTGTTGGCGATGTGTGAGCGAATAGAAAAATCGTCGTTTTTGGCTTGCGTCTCGAGCAAAAGTATCCATGACTGAAGGTCGCAAATCTATTCGAACGTTCCAATCGAATTTTGTTCGCTTTCCTCCCGTCCAGACGTTCACACAGCAACACCTGAGCGGTGCTGGTACTATTCATCCAAACCTCTTCCTTTCCTCTCGAACCATCCATGAACCCATCGCGGCAGGTAGTCCAGACACCATGAGCAGTAGCAACAGCAAGCCCCAACCAAAGCCAAGCCACCACAAGGCCAAAGGTGACCAAGGCAAAAACAACAAGAGAAAGCAGCGACGCGAACTCACAAGAGAAGAGAAAATCTCCAGGGCGCTATCATGGGCTCTCCGGCACCGAGGCCCCAAGATTGGCTTGACCATGACTCCCGATGGGTTTGTTCCTGTTGCCGAAATCATGGCTTGTAGAGAACCCAAGCTCCATCAGCACGGAATTACACTCCGAGATCTTCAAGAAATCGTGCAGTCCAATGACAAACAAAGATACCACATGGATTGGATGCCGCTCGAAAACTACCCAAATCTAAAGACAACGGCACCAGAAGATACCATTAACCACGACAAGAGTACAATTCTCTGCATCCGTGCATCCCAAGGCCATTCACTCTCCTTTATTGACGCCAATTTGCTGCTGACACCCATACCTCCTGAACAATTGATGCAAATACCAGTCATTGTCCATGGAACCTATCGGGTGCCATGGGAGACTGCCATTCGGACCCAGGGTCTCAACAAAATGACCCGCAATCATATTCACTTTGCTTCTGGCTTGCCCCAAGATGGAGTCATTTCCGGGATGCGCCGTACAAGCGAGATCTATATTTACATCCATGCCGCCAAATGTGCCACCAAAGATGATATTCTCTTTTACCAAAGTGCCAACGGCGTCATCTTGACGGCAGGGATTGACGGATGTCTGCCCGTGGAATACTTTTCTCATGTCATTGATGCCAAGGGCAACATTTTGTTGGATCAAAGAGAACAAGAAGATAGTGCTTTGACAACCACCACAACAATAACAGACGGCGTCACAAAATGAAAATGGGTGTTCGGCAAACTTCTGATTATCCAGCTCAGCTCTGAACTTGCTAGCTCAGCCTGCTTGAGTGTTCTGCCACCCTCGGGGATGCATCATTTCCCTCTATCTTGTCAAATCGATTCGAATCGCAGTGTTTTCGAAACCGAGGAAGCTGGTCATGGCATCGTTGAGAATCTGAAACCTGGAGGAAGTCAGTCGGACAACCGTGGACAACCGTGACCTTGATAGGGGCCACGTGCATGCAGATCTTGCTACTATTATGTAGCTCGGAAGATGCTTGGTTCCAGTCGCATCAGGCGAACGAAGTTGACGCCGGGGAAGCCAAAAATTGATTCAAGAGCCAATCCTTCGGGAACCTGATGTGCTATGGCTGGCTATATAGTACGACTTAATCACACGGCGGGTTGCTGATCATTGTGTTTCTATTTACGTGTTATTGGTTTGTAGCGAACTTAAAAATCGCATTTCTAGCTTGTGCCAGTACGATAGTACGGCCGAGCACTGCTGGACAGATCGACTGCATCTTGATGGATGCGTCTCTACGGAACTGCTGGAGTAACAGTGGTTGCTGGGGCAAAGTGGTCCAAACTGTGGTTTTCATGGACAAATGTGCAAAGTACTGGTGGGCCATTGTCAAGAACGTTGATGTTGACATGATGATGGTGGCAGCGGGGACCTGAACATTGGTCCAAGGCAGCAGATTGCTGTATTGCTGTTAGATGCATCGCACATTAATGGGTGCTCTGGGATGAAGAGTTGTTTCAGCCATGAGACGACTCGACTCTTAGAGCATGGCTCATGGACAAAGACTTCGAGATGCATAGGTCCGGAGCCTTGCTAGCACTTTGGTTGAGGTATTATGAGTCCAGTTGGTCCCTGCTTCTCGGAAGAAAGAAAGAAATGGTGAGAAGCAGGGACCAACTGGACTCATAATACCTCAACCAAAGTGCTAGCAAGGCTCCGGACCTATGCATCTCGAAGTCTTTGTCCATGAGCCATGTTGCAAGAGTCGAGCTGTCTCACTTTCTCTTCCCACATGGAGCTAGGAGCTACCAGGTGCCGGTACCGTACCCGAGCAAAGGGCAGCGGCAGCCGTGTCACCCTTGGCTGAAGACTCGCAAAGAGAATCTCGGAAAGCAGAACAGAGAGCACCATGGACAAGAAGAGCCACAGGAGGAGCCATGAGCCAATATTCGCAAAGAGCACGGAGCATGCCGGAGAGGAGAGCAGAACAGAGAGCACCGATGACGAGAATAGCTGCAGGAGGAGCCAGGAGCACTCGCAAGCGGTCTTGGACAAGACAAGAAAAGAAAAGCTGCGATGCTCTTGTGCTGCTAGAATCACAACCTCCTTAATACCACTTCCCATCACCTCCCACTGTGATAGGAAGCGGCACGATGAATGGGGAAGTTGTGATTCTAGTAGCACAAGAGTAAGCCTGCTCACTCATGCCGTCCGTTCCCTCGCGATGATACCGTTCCCGTTCCCGTTCCCGTTCCCGCTCTCGCTGCTTGTGCTCTCTGCTTGTGCTGATCGGAGTCTTCGTGGCGCACCGGTAGATCAAAATATTTTGTGTTGTGGTGCTTGCAGGAAGAGGGTCTGGCGGCGAGCCTCAAGAATCGGTTTTGAATGCAATCGTAGGTTCGACGCCTCTTGTCTTGCCTATCTCCAAAGTAGAACTGAAATATCTGGACAATCGTCCCTTTTTCTGGACGCATCCGGACACGGGGCTAATGAGTCCCACCATGGAGCGCATGCTCGCCTGCCGACCACCGGTCCACACAAACGAGACAACCTTTGCTAATTTTTTAGGGGGGTAAGGCAGGGTGGAGGGGGGGCGGAGGGGAGGGGAGAAAAGAGAGGAGGAGGGAGAGGGTTAGATTCCAGGTTCCGACTTTTTCAAGTCAGCCATCCTATGTGACCGAGTCTGCACACTCAACGTACTTAGGAGGAAGGGGGAGATTGCAAGAAACCAACAATTCCGTTAACTCCTCGGTCATCTCCCCCACCTCTTTAAGTCAAACCGGTATCGGAAGTGTCAGCAAAGGAGCTAACGACAAGAATTCAAATTTGTTCCACTAATTTTGCCCAGTTTCCCATTTTCTCTCCCGGTGCACCACTTCCATTTTACCAGGCCACTATAATCATTATCAATCTACTACTAGTAAGAAACTGCATACCCATGCAATCGATATCGACACTGCGGATCATGTGGTGGCCTCCCATTTCGATGTGTCAACCATGACACATAGGGAACGCAGCAACCTCTTTGCGGTGGCAGATAGACGGGAGGGAAAGCAGGGAGGAGCGGAGCCAGCATTTGGATTGGGTACGTTTGTTGAATTTGAATTTGAATTTGAATTTGAATCGGTCGTTGCTGTTGTTGTCGCGGCGGCGGAGCCAGCTGTTGCCTTCGCTGAGTTACAGTACTTACATTGTTGTTTGTTGCCGCGGCAGTTATATTGGTAGTAGTCGTTGGGTTGTTGGCGATTTGAAGACGACGTTTTGGAGAATTCGAATCCGGCGGTGATACGTTGACTGGTTGTTGTTGTTCGATCGTGCAGCTTCGGCACAAGCACTCATCATTTTGATTGTATGTTTGTTTCGATGGCTGGAAAGCCAACAAGTACTCGGAGAAGAATCTCTCCCCATTATCAGGCGGCAATATTTCAGGATTTGGAAATGGCGCCATGGCACCAACAGAAGCGGCCATCTTGTTGATAAATGTAAGCTCTGCATGATTCCAGTATGGGACGATTTTCTCCCATCCGGCTGGGATGAGTTTCCTTTGCTCACTTGGCAGTGCCATTATCCTTCTTTTGTGCCGAATCGCAAGGTTGTACCTTGCAGTGCCACAAAGGTTGAGGTTGTCAGCTAAGGTTCTCCTCATTCCTCCATTTGCAAAATGGGCAAACCTGTCGTGAAAGCACTCTAGCTTCGACTCTCCCCGTTTGGATAAGTATTCTGGAAGGTCATGTTTTGCATTCGGTGAAGGTGAGATAATGCCATACATATCCTGGAGTGGCAAAGGGTCAGCCAAATAGATTGTTTTCTCCTTGCAGTTCTGAATGGCTGTTTTTGTTTCACTGGTGAACAGGGCAATATTCTTCACTGGATCAAGTCTTCCCCTCGATTCATCGTTGTCATCCACTGGTACATGATAGCGCCGGTACCACTCATCCAGCATGAGCACCATTGTTTGTGGCTCTTGCATTTTCTTTCGAAGGTATTTGGCATACCGGTCTCTGAACAGTTTGGTTCCCCGTAAATCGGTGATGTCCTGTGTCGACATCTTCTTACCCGACAAGGTACCATTTTTCAGTGCACGGAGGAAGCTTTCGAAATCATCTGGTGAGCAAACATAAAGACATGACAAGAGATCTGAAATTGCGTCCAAGTAATCAATGTGTCGCTTCCTCATGGTGCTAATGATCCTCTTTTCAAAATGAAACAGACCAAGCCTACCTTCCAATGAAGGGAATAGAGCGAGTTTGCCAATACTCTTTCTTATTGGGCCAAGTATCACTGTACATTGCTTTTGGATTGAAGTCGCTCCTCTTTGCCAATTGTATGGCTGCATGGCTGTGGTGTTTTGTTTGAGTTGTGGGAACAAGCACAGCACTTGCGATTTCACCAGTAGCTGTTCCGACATCCCAAACTGCTACTGCCTTGATGCTTTTCTGGTAATTCTTCACAGCTTGGAAGGTATGGTCCTGGCAGAAGATCTCATCGCATTTGACAGATTGGATTTCTCTGGTGTGCCTGTCATGGTCACTTATGCCCCAAGCATTCCAAGTAGAGGAAGAAGCCTCATCATAAAAATCGCGAATGGTCTCTCCGTGGGGAGGATACAGTCTCATGAATTGCCCATCCTTTTGAATGTAAGCCTCTGGCTGGAAGTCGACCGACAGTTGCTTCTTGAATTTACGAAAAGAATAGTATGATGTAATTCTTTTAATGTAATCCTTATTGATTGCCGAATACAACAAGCGACTGCATAGTTCGCCATTGCCATAGGTCAACATAATGGATTCAAAGGCTTCTGTGGCAGTACGTGATATGTGACTGTTCTTGTTGTTGAGGGCATATTTCAATTCGACCGGGTATTGGTTGGCAGCAAAGGAAGGAATCGATGCAAGAATGTGGGATGAATTGGCATCGTATCTTCTCTTACAGCAAGGGCAATGCATAGACATTACAATGCACCAAGTCGGTGCTCCTTCAAGCCCAAAGATTGGAAACAGTGTCTTGTTCTTGGAGTAATTGGTTCGATAGTTTGCTAGCTTCCCACCACAAGCGGCATCTGGGCAGGGGACTTCAACACCATATCGGATCCAGTCAACCAGAAGCATCTTCTGCCCTGTAATGGAGTGGTAATGTGGGTCGACACAGTTCTGTTTTTCGGGAACGATCATTGTTAAGCCCTCAAAATGAGACTCGAAGTGGCCACGCCTTATCTGTTGAGTGATGATCTCAGCAAGTGCCATCATTGCGATGGGAGGATTTTTGTTCTTGTGTTGCTTGCAGAATGAGGAGTCCTTCACCAGTTTGGTCACTTCAGCGCAGAGTTGATCACGGGTCATGGGAAGGTTAGTCGATTCCAAAGCAGTTGATTGCTGAGTACATTCCTTGCTCACTGTTTTTTGTTGAGGTTGTGGGGCCTTTTTCCTTGGTTCCAAGAACTTAGCCACTGATTCCTTGCTCATGTTCTTTCCACTTCCCTTTTCATGGTCTTCAAGGGGTTTGGCAAAGTGTTCTTGGAGGCGCTTCTCCTCCTCTCTACTCTCCATTGTTTGCTGTGTGACGGTGATTCCTTTGGTTTTTGTGTTCTTGGGACACAGTTTGTGATGTGCTTTCTTGTATTCAGGCTCACAAACTCCCTGCATTCGACGGATCTGCGAGCGGCAGGTCTTGCAGTCTTTTGCACTACGCTAAAAGCTAGTGTAAAGATCTTTCGAGTGTTTTGAGTTTGAGAGAATGAAAGTTATGAGAGGATTAGAAAGCTATGAAAACTAATCAACGAGACAGATCCACAATCAAAGGATCGTAGATCTGAACTCCCGCGGGAGACTGTAAAGTGTGATAGAGTAGGTTGCGGTAGCAATCCTACTCACTCCACGATCCAAAAACAACGAAACGCGTGGAAGATTCGTCTAGCATTTATCTAGTAGCGTGGAAGACTCCAACGCCAGCTAAATATCTAGAGCGATGTTCACCACGACTAGTACTAGCGTATTAGAACCCTGTCTCAATGAACTATTCACGAAGACTCAGTCCATAGTCGAACTCAAACCCTATCAGGATCGGTCGCGAATAAGGCTAAAGCCGTGTATTGCATTGCGCCCCTACAAGGTCACGGAAGCACGACATCAGTCGGACAACGCCCATCGCGCGTAGTATGACTAGCGGTCATTGAGACCCTGTCTCAATGACTAATTCACGAAAGACTCAGTCATAGTCGAACTCAAACCCTACTAGGATCGAGTCGCGAATAAGGCTAAGAGCTGTGTATTGAATTCGCCCCTGACAAGGGTCAACGGAAGGCACAAGGACAAAGTCGACAAGGAGAACATATGAATTAAAGTGGCGGGCACTCACCGGAGATTGGATGTAGACATGTGCGTCGCACGATGGCAATCCTACAAGGGATCAGCTTGTATGTGTATAATACCTTATGTTCCAAGTCTTGTAGACTGTCCGCTATTGTGCGGTAGTGGTCGGAGCCGTACAGTCCAATTGTTTATGACTCGTCTGTGTGGTAAGGACCTGTGCTTTGGCTGACCGGATCTTTGCGGTGCTGATACTGATGAATCCTAAGGTATCGGTGACATGGTTTTGATGAGGGACACGTGTGCCGTTCTCTCCTATCGTTGTTTTCTTGGATTAAGTCGTTGGCTGACGTGTTCCTTTGTGTACTGTCCAGTTTTGCTTCGAAACGGATGTTGTGATATCTTGTCACGGATTGACCGGTGAACTTGCGAACGAAGTCCATTTCATCCCGGAGAGTCTCTCGACCTCTACGCGGGAATCACGTTCTCTGTCAATGACAACCTCAGCCGGTCATGTGTACTGGGTAACCCTACGTCTGTTTTAGAACGATGGTTGGTGGTTTATTGGTCCAATGAATCCAGAAGTTCTTTCCTGTTCGATAGGAGGAGCGATATGCTGGATCGCATCATATTGTCCTTTTAGTTAAAGGTTGGATTCCTTCTCAGGTAATCCAGCAGCCAGAACTACAAGTTCTCTTCTTTCGAAGAAGCCTTGGTAGTTTGATTTTAATCCGACTTTTTGAAGTCTTTGGAAAGGATTCATCTAACTATCAACGCGATCTACTAGATTCGTCGTCAGTTAGGATGATGTGATCATCAATTATCCACGACATTTTCTAAGTCATGCATGCGTGTTTTCTCCTTTTGGAAGATGTCGGGACAATATACATAGGCCCATTGGCAACCTCTGGTACTTGCTTCCCACGGGAGTACGATGGTACAGAGTTGCTTCGAGTGAGGTGACAGCTCGAGTTGATAGTGTCCATGTTCAGGTCTAGACTAGTAGCGTACTTGAATCCATCTAGATTCAAGAGCATGTCCTGTATTTTTGGGATAGGATAAGGCTTCCGCTTAATCCTTTGTTCAGTTCCCGGAAATCAGAGATGAATCGTACAGATCCATCTTTCTGGGAATGATAAAAGTTGGTGCCGTCCACTCGGAACAGTTATCTTTTTAAGTACTCCTGGCCTTGCAGAGACTTCAATCTCTGTCTTGAGATGTTGGTATGGACCGTGGAGAAGGGTGAGCCCTAGTATAATAGGATTTAGCGTCGGGACGAATTCTACTTCTAGTCGTCACATTGCAACTCTCCAAAGTACGCTCGACCTGTGAGACTTGAGTAAAGAATGAGGCGTTCTTGCTCTTCTTTTTAACTGATTTCGACTCTGGCAACCTGCCTTAAGTCAGTTTACTCGTATTTGCATCAAGAATCTTCTTAGACTATCTGCATTCTCGCTGACAGCTGCAGGATCAGGAATGGAGAAGTTTCTCTTCTCATCGGTATGGCATCTTTCGCAGGGAAAAATATGCTGTTCCACCCCATTGACATGGTAGTGAAATCAAACTTGATTCTTAGGTCAGAGAGTGTCTTGACCTATGATCATGTCACGCCCCCAAGTTCTTGGTGACGTGTAAATTTCATCATAATTCTATTTCTGGAACTCAGGAATCAGAGTGTGCCCTTACACTTCGTGCGGGTTTCAATTCCTTAATAGAAGCATCCGTAAGTTGGACGCCCCCATGATTCTTCATGAGTAAACTCTTAGCATGAGTTTGAGTAATTAAAGTTCCGGATGCTCCTGTATCCAGTAAGCACAGAGTGTAACGGGTTTTGTTCCCTTTCTCGCTTGTTAAATCTACATGCGATGTTTGAGGTCTCTGTCTTGCGACGTTACGAGTGTGATTGGCCATGGAAGAAGTTAACGATGCTGAACAGATCGTCAGATCTAGTTGAGCAGTTGCTAGCAATTATTAATTTGCCGTAGACTTCATTAGTTGCAAACAAATCTTGTTTACTATTTAGTGATATATTCATCACTTGTTATGAGAAATCGGAACATGTTCCGTTGACATCATCCTGGCCTAATTTCAGACGGAGATCTCTCCATCCGAATGATTGAAGTCGAATTCGGCAAGCGCCTTGTCAACGCAGCCATTTTCTTGTCATCATGTTGATGGATCCAACAGAGGATCGTCCTCGTTGTCGAGTCGTTCTTTGCGCTTGGCAACATGGTACTTCGCTTTTCTTCTTGCGATCAGCCTTGACCGCACGTTGGAACCTTCTTCATAAGGACAGAAGGTTCCTTCTTGGTGTAGACTTGGCGTCGTCGACTTTGTTCCAAGTCTTGTTCTTGTTGTACGCTGGCTTGTATCGTTGTCAACGAGGACTGAGACTTGGCCTTGAGCTTCTCAGAGTCATGCAGTCAGCGTGTTGTGAGTGCTGGACTCGTGTAGTCGCACCATTTTTCTCGTTCTTGGAAGAGTGGTCGTTGTTGCGAGTGACTTGTACTCTTGCTGTTGTTCTTCTTCGAAGGAGCTTGCTTGGCATCACCGCCCTTGTCAAAGTCTTCGAGGATTCCATGCTTCGCAAATCAATGGTTTCTCCGATAGGAGCTGAGAAACGATGAAGTCGTGTTCGTCATTTTCTTCATCCACGAGCGTGAATTCCATGACAAACAATGTCAATGACTTCGTCATTGGTTCAATGTTTGGTTGGGTCCAAAAGGTGGTAGACGGGAAGTTCATCGGCATTCATCCGACGAGGTTGTTACATAAGCCCGAGTAGCATATCAGCAGGCTTACGCATCTTGCGGCGCATGAAGCGTTTCTTTCAAGAGCCTTGTAGGGACAGACCGCTTCGATACAGGCATTTATGCCAAACGTAATGTCAGTGTCGTCCAAAGCAGGCTGAGCTGCTCCGTTCCAGGCAGCCTGGAAACGTACTGGGAAAGCGGCTTCGTCTTCACCGCCACGTACGTCGCATGGAGGAATCGTGTTGACTGCAATCTGGCGCAAGGCATTCCAACGTATTTCACAATGGCCTGCACAGCTAGATTTGTAACTGCTCTTGGCAGAGCTAGAAGTCATCTCCTTGAGGAGGTTATGTTTATCTTCAGGCGTAGCAATGGCGAGCCCGATGAAGACCTTCTCCATACGTCCAGCCCACTTGATGGTTTGACGTGGAGTCTCAGATCCATTGATGATTTGGACCTTGAAGGTGTACTTGGCGCTGTCAGCATCTGCTGGAACAGTGCGAAGTTTGTAGGTGGTGGAGCGAGAATCATCGATTTCGCATTCATCGTCGCGGTCGATGAGAGGAGGGATTGGTTTGTCGCGCAGCTTAGACTCAAAGCTGGTGTACGCGTCTTTGGCAATCTTCATGGCGAGGAATAGGTTGAGGGTAGCTGAAAGCTATTGTGTTTGTTAACAAAATGCACTACGCTAAAAGCTAGTGTAAAGATCTTTCGAGTGTTTTGAGTTTGAGAGAATGAAAGTTATGAGAGGATTAGAAAGCTATGAAAACTAATCAACGAGAGATATCCACAATCAAAGGATCGTAGATCTGAACTCCCGTGGGAGACTGTAAAGTGTGATAGAGTAGGTTGCGGTAGCAATCCTACTCACTCCACGATCCAAAAACGGAACGCGTGGAAGATTCGTCTAGCATTTATCTAGTAGCGTGGAATCTCTCCACGCCAGCTAAATATCTAGCGCGATGTTTCACCATCGACCTAGTATGACTAGCGGTCATGAGAACCCTGTCTCAATGACTATTCACGAAAGACTCAGTCATGAGTCGAACTCAAACCCTATCTAGGATCGAGTCGCGAATAAGGCTAAGAGCCGTGTATTGCACTTTTACTGGATCAAAAGCGACTGAGCCAAACAGAGTTTGTTGATCTCCTTTCTTCCTCTTCTTGTTGTTGTTGCCAGTTGTGCTCTTACTTGCTAATCCGAAAGCTCTCTTCTGAAGAGAATTTCGCTGCTGACTCTGCCGACCCATTACTCCATTACCTTGTGGGATAATAGGCTGCCTGGCATATGGGTTGACTAAGGTGGTGTTTCCTGTCATGGTGGAGTGTTTCTAATGGTGTCGAGTTCAATTTTTTGGTGTTGGAAATGCCGCTCCTGACCGTCATTGTCGAAGGGAATCTTTGATGTTGGCTTGTCGATTTTAGGAAAAGGCGCGAAATGGTACGGATTGGTAGCACATTATCTCTAGAGTTATCTGTCATGTAAGTGTCAGTACTGTTAAATGTTGCTGACACATATACTCACTCTCCACCAATCATATCACTGCCTTTTGATGCTCTGAGCGACTAAACCCACAGCCCCTGGACCGTCCGACGCTTGTCACTCAGGATTTAAAAATCTTCAAAATGCCACGACTGACAAAATCCTCGAAACAACCCCTTAAACACCCCTTAAAGCTTCAACATCCCTTTAAACAACCCTTTAAATAAACATAAGAACATCCCCATAAGTCCTTGAAACAACCCCTTAAGCCTTCATTGAAACGCCATACAACAACCCCTTATCACGAATGAACATCCCCTTCAATAAACATCCTCCTAACAACAACCCCTTAAATATTCAACATCCCCTTAAACAACCCCTTAAATAAACAACCCCTTAAAACAACCCCTTAACGTGAACCAGGATTTGAGTCAGTCGTGCCCGTTTTTAAAGCCTGAGTGAAAACCGTCGGACGGTCCTGGAGCCGGCAGTTTGGAACGAGGCCACCCGGCGATCGCAGCCGGCAATCTCCGGCTCGCCGACTCCGGCTCGCCGGCTCCGGCTCAGTCGTACCAAGGTACATGTAGCGTGTACAAACTTGCTGCCCCTGTCCTTTCGGTCCATTGTTGCATGAACATGAACATCAATCACACTCCAACCCATGTATGTGAGCAAGGAAACAAAGAAAAACAAGCGTGTTGTGAGGTTTGCGAAGGAAGTAGAGAAATCAGATCAGGAGGAACGCACAGCCCGTGGATTTTTAGCTCGAAAGGAAAGGAGGGAGCAACGAAAGAGACTCAAAATGGTGGAAAAACAGCAACTAGCGAAAGGGTTGGATGACATGAAGTCAGCCAACGTGTCGGAAATTCTCGATGCAGGGGAAACAGAAAGTGCTTTTCGAACTATCCTTCCTCACTTCTTGATAGCAATGGGGTGTCCAGCATCCATTTCGGAATTGGAGGAAAAGTTGAAGTGGTTTCAGAAAACCCACACTAGAACAACTGTTGAGATTTTCAAGAAGCCTGACCGCAAATTGGCAAAGGGTTATCTTGAAGCTATCATCACTAACAGAGATTACAAGAATGCCTTCACTACTACTTTGAGCCTGACTTCTTCTGAAGACTCAGGAGAACATCCGGCCGTGTTGCCAGCTACAGCGGTCGCTGCTATTCCACACGAAGCCGCCGCCGCTGTATTGGCTGATCATTTGAAACTAAACATTGCCCCGCCCTTTAGCAATGAAGAAAAAAGCCAGCCTCTCCAAAGGGCATTGCCGCTACTAGAACACGCCGAAATGTGGCCCAGAGAACAACAATCTGTTTCAGCCAAGGCAGTTACGAAGCGCAAGAGAGCACCCGCCAAAAAGGACGGCGACAACGACAAGCCGGAAGACAAGGTAACGAAGGCCAAAAAGATAAGCCGGTAGACTGAGCGAAAAGGAAAAACCTAGGAAGGCGAAAAGGAAGAAGGGAGCAACCATGAACTTTTGTGTAAGTCAACCGGGCTTCGGATGCAAAGATTGATTTCTTGAGTTCCCACAGTATTGGAAAGGTTGAAGGAGTCAAGCAACTCGGCATGAATCTTTGTATCGGGGGAAATTCAGGGAGTGTTTTCTATGTTTTGTGTGGTCGAGTAATGCCGACACAACAAGCTCTCGTGCCACAGTCATCTACTGGGGTTTCTTGCGGGCATGAACATGGTAATGACAAAAGTAGTACCAAGAACGATCTGGCGATGTTGCGGCGTTTTGCTTTTGGAGCATACATTTGCGACAAAGATAGCCAATAACTATCAATACATTGCGAAGTTGAAATGACACTAGCACCTTCCGACCTTTGTCTCCAGTCTAACCGGCGGCAACTCCATAAATGAGAGCCTGACAAAATCGGTTTGCGTTTTGTTGGGGATTTAGTGGGCGTGCAATTTTCCCTGCACGAATTTTAGTATGCACGCGTCATCGACTGGGCCAGACAACTGGCAATGCAGCTCCAAATTCACTCAACCCGCCATAAAAGAGGATGCCCAACACAAGTAGATTGGGAATTTGAACTCAGAATCAGTGGCTACCTGTTAAAATGGTGGGTTGTCTTGATTATAGATAGTGCGATTGTAGCAGTCCATTTGATTTCTTGAAACTTTCCTTTCAACAAGGCGTCAATCAGGTCATCTTTAGACAGTTCCACCAAGTCTTGCTTCTCGGATTCTCCTACTGCCACATCGGTTCCCTTGGAATCCTGAGCATTTGCAATAGGCGTACTTTTTCGTGCTAAAAAGCAATATGTGGTTCCACCTCCTCGATTGGCCGCGGCTCGGTACTTCCCCAATGGAACCCATTTTGGAGATTCCAGTCCTAACTCTTCCTGTAACTCTCGTTTTGCAGCATCAAGGGGTTGTTCACCAGGCTCAATCAACCCTCCCACAGCAGCCAAGGTTGTTTCAGGAAGTCCATATTTCTTTTGTTTCAACACAACGTAGGTTGGAGGCCAGTTGGGATTTTCAGTGGATTCCTTTTCAACAAGGACATTAATATTGTCGGCTTCGTCAAACCACATCCAATCATCCACAATTTTGCCATTTTCCAGTTTGACAGAATGAAGCTGAAATCGAGCAAATGGGGTTTCATAGAGAGTCTTTACGTTTTGAGTGAAGCCATCTTTCCAGTATTGCTTGCCTTTGAAAACAGACGTTTCACTGCTCGTCTTCTTGATGCTGGATCCTTCCTGGGTCGGACAAGATTTCCTGCTCGAATAAGTGGCCAAGTAGGTCAGCAGACAACCACAAAGGAACGGGACGATGGGGTGTCGTTGATTGACTCTTCGTCGGAGCTGAGATGACATGTTGTTCACGGACCAGTTGGGTTGGTTCTTCTAGCAGTCGTTAGCTTTGTTGTCTAGCTATGCATAGCCAGCATCAGAATGAAGAATGTATGCGCTGTGCCTTTTGTCAAGGTTGCAATTGACGCCTTGACGGAGTTGAGGACGGTCAATCTTGAGGATCCGGATCTTTCGCGGTTTGGAGCGACTAAACTTAAGCCAGCGATTCGCTGCGGTAGGACTGCCCACATTGCTTGGATGGTTGAATCATTCCCTTTCCTCTTCCTCCTTTGGCAGAAAGCATTGGTTTGCGCAAGTACCGGTACTGGATGCAACAGCTGGGTAGCGGCAAGGGCAACCTAATCAAAAATACATGCAACCCTTGAGAATAGCCAACATCTTTTACCGTACCAGTAAAGGCAATTTTTTAATTTAAAAAAAAAGAATGACCCCCCAGAAAAGTTTCCCACAGACTGTCCCATGCGTCTAGTGTCGGGTATTGAGGGTTGAGGAGGCCCTCATCTTCAGCTGAGTTCATATATGTTGAATGAGCGATCTGGTAAACCCCCGAGAACAAGGCAGGCTGCGCCAATCATTCATCCACTGAGACAAAAGTTAAATCCAAACAACACGTATTACCGTAGCCATGCACTCTTGCGTGGGCTTTCTTCCATTCAATCTATTCCAAAGTGTTCCAGGGTGGCAACAAAGACCAAACTGAGGGGGTAGAACATCAGAATCAAAAGAGCATCGAAGCAAGTGAGTTTCTCCCTTTGGACCATGCAAGCCAGAGCATATTCCACCAGGAGAATGGCAATGGTTTCCGACGTGTAGGACCAGGCCAATCCTCGAAAGTAAATCAACCCCATAAAGATGGAAAGACAAAACGTGTTGCTCATGGTCCCGGCACCTGTAAGAGCGGTCAAGCTCACGGTGATGCTTCTTCTGGTTTTCTTGGCTGCATAGTATCGACTAGCAATGATTTCACTAGCATTGGATCCAATAGGAGCCAAGACAAACGCGACATAAAACGGAGAAACGCCAATGCGATTGGCAATTTCATTCAATACATCCACCAGGGGATCAGAAAAGAGTACTGCCAAACCGGTACCAATAGTGAGCATGACGAGGGCTCGTTTCTTGAGGGCGGTTTGTTGCTGTTCGGGGGAGAGTTCGGAAATATCTGGCGGAATTTCTTCCTCTTCGCCATTCTCTTCGTCTCCTTCTTCTGGTCCGAACATCCCATCAACCAGGGGCTTGTTGTCCTGCAGGGCACCCGTTTCGACGTCATTGGCCCCGCTGCAATGTTTGTTGTCGGCATCAGCGGCACATGTATGCTGCAGCATAATTGTGTAACAGGCATCAATGAACTCGTCAAAGGTGATGATGCCATTCTTTGAAAAGAGACATGAAAGGTGGTCGATTTGAGATTGAATGTCAAACGGAACAAATTCTACAGCACCAATGCATTTTCGCTTTTACCTACCTCATCTGTGTCGAATTGCTTATAGATTTCATCAACGTCTTCGTCTTTGATCGTTTCGTGAAAATCTCGCAGAAAGTACTTGAATTCTTTCTTGTCTAGATTCCCATTGTGATTGGAATCGTAGATATGAAAGGGTTCCAATAGAACCTCCTTCAAGTATTCACGGACTTGTGGAGGCATTGCCTTACTGTCTTCAACTTCTTGCTGAATGGATTCGTAGCCTCTTGTGGATCCGGTGTTTAGTTGACGAGAAGAAGCCATTTTGACGGTGTCAAAGAAAGCTCCCGAGAGAGAAACCTTGCCCTTCAAGAGTTGCTGTTTGGTCGCTTCGACCCGCTTCATTCGGGCTGCTCCCTCGTTGGAGGATAGGACTTGATAATACAGATATCCGACGAAGAAAGCAATACAGACCAACATGCCCGCAAGGGCCCAATATTTTTGCGTGGCGGCAATTTCGGGTGTCACTTCCTCGAGGGGCCCTCGGATGAACATTCCAGGAACTTGAATCATGAAAAACGGAATCGAAGTGACTGCCACCACGTAACCTCCAATATGGACATCCTTGGTGACGGAAATACCTGTGTGAAAGAGCGTGCTGTCTACACCCAAGCCTGGTGTGAGTTTTGGTTTCTTGAAGTAATTGGGCATTCCAGTGCTTGGATCCAGATCGACGCGTCCAGTGAAAATGGACAAACTGAACGGAATTGTCATGAGCATGATGGTGGACCCCGCCAATGACCCAATTCCCACCGAGAGTGTCTCTTGCGCCTTATCAATGCTACCCAATCCTGAAAAGAGCATAATGGCGCCATCAGGAACAGCTCCCAAAATGGGTAATACCACACCACCCACCAGACCGGCAAAAGAAGGTACCAGCATTAAAAGGTCGGAACCTTCGCTGATCAGGTTGGATGCCCAATACATGACATAGCCATAGGAAAAGAACAGCCACAAGAGGCCTGTCGTTCCCACTTCTTCGGGATTAATGGAGGGGAACATGGTAATATGGTACGTGAGGAAAACGCAAAGTGGAAGATACTTTATTAGTTGCACCGAATGGTTGGATTTTGGTCTGGAGGAACTTCAAAGTGTAGCCGCCGCAAATCTATTTGTGTTTGTGGTACCTGTGAAAAGGAGAGACAACCAAGGTTGGATCTTCGCTCAGAGCAATTCGGAACTACCGCCACTAAATTTGTGTGGTTGCTAATAAATAATAATCAGGATAACGCTGTTGGTGAGGAGAAGGGCAATCAAGCAAGGATGCAATTGCAGGGTTCTTTTTGTTGACACCATTATTATTTGTTAGACTTGAGCAAGTGAAATGTTGCCAAGAGCTGCCCAAGAGCAATGAACCAGGCATGATCCAAAAACAAGAAAAGTGAGGGAAAAGACAATCTTTCGGTGACACCCATTTGTATTCGACGTCAGTCCAAGAAAAGATCCAGAACGGTTTACTATCACTGCATTTTAGATCCTGAGCCCTATTGGGGTTCTCCATTGCGCCACAGTGACGTGTTCATGCCGACCATAACAAAGATGAAGTCAGCTTGTGGAATGTGTTGTTGGTTGTTGTACATGTAGCGATAGAGAAGCCCGTTCATCAATCCCATTGTTAGAAAATAATGGTGGCCATGTTTACTCGTATCTTGCTCGTCTCCAGCCTCCTTGGCGGCGCGGCAGCCTTTTCGATGCCTGCAGTGAGCACCACTAGCCGGTCTGCCACAGCTCTTTTCTCTGGGACCGGTAGCCAGAAGGAGGAACCCTCCAACACTCCATCCCGTCGGTCCTTTTTGTCATTGGGAGGAGTTTCTGCCGTTTCGATCTTGACAGGGGCTGCTGCTGCTGCCAATGCGGTGCAAGAAACTGAAACCCGACAAGGAATTCCTGTAACAGCCTTCAATGGACTCATCTTCAACTATCGCAACAGCCAATTTGGTGGCCTGGACGCGGATGACTTGGATGAACCTTCCGTATCCTATGCAGAATTTTGCGAAAAGCTGCAAAAGGGAGAGGTTCAATTTGTGGAATTCTTGGCACCCGATGGAGATAAAGCCTACGCGACCTTCAAACCAACCAGTGAAGGCGGAGAAACCCCAGCACCAATCCGTATCGGAGAAGGTTATCCCCTGGAACAACATGATGGATGGAGCAGCCCTGCCTTTGCTGTTCGCACGGTCAAGAATGCTGGAGTTCCATACAAGTTTACGGTCCCTGGATTGGCCAAGTTTTCCGCAGCCAACAGCAAAAGCTGAGCATGGTCCAAAATTTAGTCGGACGGACGGACCAATAATTTCTACCAATGTATATACAAAATTCAATCAGCGAGCTATCACCACAATAGTATTGCCAATCGATGCGCTGATTCGATTCGATTCAGATAGGAAAAGAACAATGACAAAAAGGAAAGGATAAAGCATACATTTGCTCAATAACCAACAAAAATCTCTCTTTAGTATTCAGAATGCCGGATGTTTGTTTTTAGCTGATGCAACGGAGACTCTCTATCAGGCTATTGCATCCGCAATTCGACGAGACAATTAATTGTGTCAAATCCTTTGTGTGCGTAGCCTCAATCTAGTCGCTACTACAACAAGTTCGATGAGCTAATATTACACCAGGAGAACGTGTTCGAGGTGAGACCAAAGGACTCCAGTCAATTCTCCCTTTGTTTTCAAGCTGCGTTGCATGGCAAGACTATTGTTGATGCTTTTGGTCAGATTTGTTCTTACTATGCATAAAGGAGAGATTATCTTCGACCATGTACCATTATTGCAAGAGTGACCATAGACACCGTAGACAACCACAACTCCTAGTTGTTGCGTGTCTTGCTAAATTGGGTGCACTTCCTGATGGCTGGCACCAGCACTGCTCATTTCAGGACTGTGTGTTGTTGATACAGGGCAAGAGACGCTGTCAGTGGGAATTGGTAGTTGATGGGATGGGCCATGCTTTTCATGTCCTCATGCCAGTACCATGCAGGTCGTCCCTTTTGCCGGGGGCATCAATCTTGATCCAAGCAGTGGAATGCCCGATTACTTCAAGATACCCAAGCTAACACCCACCTGGGCAACACACCTGATCACACGCCCATTTCTGTTTGGTACATCACTCTTAAAGCTTCTTTCCTTTGTCCACCTCTTATCTTCCTGCTCATTTATTCTTTAGATATCCAAATACCGGTTATCCCAACCGGTATTGTGCTGCCTTTGGAAGGTAGGTAGCTATTGATTTCTTTGTAGCATGCTCAGAGGAGGGGGGCAATGAGAGCTAGCAAGCTCTCACCCATACCAGTTTCCTGGAAGTACTAGCTTGTAGTCGCTTTTTCTAAGCCGGGAGATTCGATTCGATTCATGCAGGTCGGCATGGCAAATGAGAAGCCTAAAGCTCCGGCTAATATATAACTATGTTCCTTTCCCCCCAAAGGTCAGCAGTTGGATATTAACAGGATTGATTCATCGATTCAATCTTCGCACTAGCTAGTCTAACCAGACACGTCGCTCTACCGGTATCGAGGTTGCATGTGAGAGCTCATGTTTAAATGTTGTGAGACGTCGCTCGGCACATTGGGCATAAAACAGCGGGTACCACCGACTGTCTATCCTGTGACGTCACCATAACAAAGCAACGTTCATGAGTGAAAGCAAAGTCGCAGTCAAGATTGCAAAGACTTAGAGAGCCCCACGCCCACTCACCTTTTTTCAAAATACCGGGCCACCTCCCAGAATAATCACCCTCCCGCTCAGGATACCTAGTTTTCACCTCATTTTGGTCATTGTCACAGTTTTCGTGGGATTGTAGCCCCATTTTTCGTGTCCTCAGGATTTAAGTGTCTTCGAGATAATACGATTCAAAAAATTCGGTACCCCCTCATGCCACTGAGAGAAAAAAGGTGCACTCCGGAAACTCACATCGTGTCTGTTGTCACCCAACCTTGGTGATTGCGCGTTAGGCACTGGCACTCATTGCCAAAAAAATACCAAAAAGAAAAGGCCATGGTCCCACTACCTGAAAACAAAAAAGGCGGACTGATGCATTACATGTAGTATGGAGAAAGTGACAACACAGTGAATAGTTTCGTCGATATCGCTGCATCCTTTTTGCGATCGTTTTGCGATCCTTTCGCCGATCGCTGAAGATAAAGAATCGCTGTTTCTTTCGCCAATGTCGCTTGTTGCCATTGTGACCATTTTTGGTACTTATAGTCCGTCACCGGCTCTTTGCATCGTTGCTCGCAAACATCGCTTTTCGGGATTGCGTAGGCTCCAGTACAAAACAGCACCGTCGCTCGCCCACTGCATCCCATTTTGGTGTTTTGCTGGCTAACTACCGTAACTTCATGTCATGCTCCTCTAAGTAACACTAAATCGTATATCGCCATACTATTTACCAGTATCCTACCTAATTGTCTTCTCTAAAACGAAATAGAGCACAGTGCTCACATTATCCTAAATAATAGCTGTTTGCAAGTCATGATAAAAAAGAGAGCGATCCACTGCACCTCCCGCCAGCATTTCACCGATGACTTCATATGCCAAGTCTTCATCGTCCCTCTCGTTCGTCTCCTCCGTAGACTCGTTAGTCACCGTCGTCACCATCGTACCACCATCTTCCACAGGGGTCAAGTCCATGTCTCCGAAGGACGTAACAAAGTCCTCGTAGTCGTTGTCATCCACAGCTTCTTTTTCTGCCTTCTCTGCTTCTTCCGCGTCGTCCATGGGCAAATATTCATCGTCGTCGTCCTCGCATCGCTCCTCCCTCTCCTGCTCCATTTTTTCCAGCTCGTTGACAGTAAATCGTACTCTGCTGAGGCCCTCCCAAAGAGCCTCCCATTCTCGTCCTTGGTTCTTACGTCTCCACATGAACTGAAACAGGTACTCCTGCAGATCCACTCCACTCCTGCACTGAACCGGGATGGCCCGTTTAAGAGGCGTCCAGTTTCCTTCAATCGTCTGGGTGTGTGTGCCCTCTGCGGAGACAAATTCATACTTATGACAGAGGGTCTTGTGGTCATACCCCAATCGTTCGAGGCTCAAGTAGCCCTTCCACATGTCTGTATGTATAGTTGATCCTGGGTGGACAAAAGTCATGATGGCATGCTCCAGGGTTTTTCTCGTCCTGTCGGCCACCACTAGGAGCACCATTCTTCTTTGTTGCGTTCTTTCCACCATTCCCAGAACCCAACTTCCTTTTACTCTTCTTCCTCGGTGGTACTTCCGCTTGGCGAATTTTGACTCATCGATCTCTACGATGATGTTGTTGCCTCCAATCATGTTGTTTTGATGCGGTTGACTCACAACTATTTCCTGCGCCATTTTTCTGCACCATTTAAGCCACCTGGTTGCCGTATCACTGTTCCAGCCGAGCATGGAGCACACCATCGAGTGTGTAGCGTTCGTTAACCACAGGTACAGGAGTAGTACCAGATCGTTCTTTGGCAGTCGGCAGTCACTCAGAAAGCTCTTCCGGAAGAAAGAACATGTCCATGGCTTCCCCGGAGACCAAGTCCAGCCACATTCCTGATTCTGGCATTGCTTCCCGTTGTCCTCTGTACTGACTGGCACCGTCTCCACGTGTTTACACGGGCATATCTCGCATTCTGCCGGAGCCCTCCAGATGCAGTTTGCTTTCTGGCATCTAGATTGATGCCTCTTCCAGTCTGGAGTCACTTGGCAGTTGCAGCGACCGCACACTGTAGGTATTGTGATCACTCCCTTGCTGGCCAGGAATTGAATTGCCTTGTTCTCGTCCGTAATCACTTCGTTCAACTCTGCCAGAGTTGGTTTGCCCACAAATTCGTCCGTCCAGATGTCTCTTTTCTTCCTGTTCCGTGTCGAGAATCGCTCACTTCGACGGTATGTCTTTCTTTTCTTCAATGCTGGCGTAGGCTCATCGTCCTCAGAACCCGGACCATTTTCATTTGCACTTGCCACCGGTGGTTCAACTTGCACTTGAACCACACCGTCTTGAGCCTCATTTCGTTCCCTGCTGTTTACCTCCGCAGGTGGGGGCAGTGCGTCTCCCTTCAGTTCTCTAAGCAGCTTCTTGGCGAATGCCTTTGCCCTTCGCATGCGTCCCTGGTGTCCTCTGGGCATACCTGCAGTCAAGAAAGGAGGACCGTGGTATTCTGCTGGCTGCTGCCGAACCTATCGCTTGTCTGGCTGGTTCTGCGATAGAAGATATGGACTGCTGAAAAAGCACTTTCACACAGGCTTCAAAAATGACCTTCAAAAAACGCGTGGCTCTTACAGTCACAGTGGAGTACGTGCTCTTGCCAGCGCCCCCCTATCGGCTGTCACTTAGGCAGCACTGGCTCTCTCTTTACGCAATTCCTGGCTGGAAAAAGGATGCCATGCCCGCTAACAATGCTCATATTGAAAACCAGACATTAAAGTAGATAGAACCTGGCATGCCGGACTCTCTCTATGTACCATGCCTCATTGCCGTCACACGCTCCCCCAATGACTGGACCCATTTCGGTTGATTGGCGGCAGATGCAAAAGTGTCGCCTCATTTTTGTTTTCGAAATGAATGTCATTTCTGGCTGTCCCCGCACATTCTTCCATAAAAGTAGACCAGTAAATCAATAGAAAGCACTCATCTTCTCCTCTCTCTTTGCAACAACTGTCCTATAAAAAAAGGTAGATCATACGCAGAGTTTTCCCATTCCACCATGCCGGACCCACCGGAGAGAGACGTCTTTGATGATCTACCAATAGAGGCCATCGAAGCTGCCGATGAGTTGATCGCAGAGTACCTCGAATCCTGCGAACACAAGGAGAAGGAAAGTCCACCTGCTTCTTTCTTGAAGGGAGAGTACCAGTCGCCGACTGGCATCCTTACAGTAAGTTTCCTATTTTGCCTCCTGCAACCTGCCTTATTTCCCTGACCGGACCAATCCATCTGCGTTCTTTTCTGTCTATTTAGTCGCCCATGAAGAGCACCCGTTTTTCGGACGCTGTGCTGGAACACTGCATCCCACAAGGTGTTGGCGATAACAGAAAGACCCAGCCGAAGATTAGCGGTGAAAAAGCAGTCAAAAAGGGGGTATCGAGCGATCCAAAAAGAAAGCTTCCACCCAGAGAACCAACTGGTGTTTCCCCCGCTTCTACCGCATCCTCCAGTCCCCCATCCAAGCGTTCATCGGTCCCTCAGGGTGACGGATATGTACAGAACGGAACTGCCTTTCGAAAAGGGGCACGTGTGAAGAAGCCCATTCCACAAGACGCTGTTATCCTCTCCATCGATAGTGATAGTGACAGTGACGCAGAAACCGAAGACAACAAGATGCCTTCTTTCCAGGACGATCGAAAACCCGAGGCCGTGAAGTCAGGAGTGACAGTCAAAAAAGAAGAAGAAACGGTGTACTACAAAGTCGGTAATACCCTTATTGCCTCTGGACCAGAATACAGGGACTCTCACCTCGAGGCCATCAAGAAACAATCCAGAGCTGCAGCGAGGGCTATGATGGAAGAGAACTGCATGCCGAAGCCTCCTCCACCCGAAGGATGCTCTTTTTTAGATGCTGCGAGACACCAGACGCTTGGCCGTACTGCAGAGAGTGCTGCTGTTGTCTCCAGGACTACTGCCAAGAATGTTGTGAATGTGGACTGCCATGGTGTGCCGCCTGCCATGAAGAACCTGTCTTCTGCGAATGTCAATCATCTTACTGCCCGTGTTGCTCCAACAATGGCCTGTAACTTGAAGCCTGCCGGAAGGACTAGACGCATGTCAAAACGTCCTGTCCAGGCGGATACCGCTTCCTCCTCTAGTGAGAGTGAGAGCGACTCAGAATCAGACGAGTCCATAGAGCTGACAGAAGAAGAGCAAGAAAGGTTTGACAAGCTCGGGGCTTATGGCAGGCAGGTCTACCTTGGCAAAATCAGAGAGTCTAGACGCCTGCGTGAGGCTGGTTCCAAGTTGAAAGACAGATTTGCTATTTACAGTAAAGCCCCTACCTACAACGGTGCCTCAAAAGAGAACAAAGCACCCCACAACTACCTTCACGCCAAAAAGAAAGAGTGGAAAAAGAAAGAGGCTGAATCAAAAGCGCGAAAGATGCTGGCCGACGAGGAGAAGAAGAAGAAAAAGAAGAAGACAAAGCCTCGTCGCTCTAAATCTGATGGTCCCACAAGAAAAGTGGGAGACTTCCCTGAATACTGGGGCTCTGATAGCGTGTTTCTTGCCAGAGCCAATGGCACTGCTGGTGTTGCCGGTATCCACTCTGCCTTGTCCGAAGGTCAGAAGAACCAGCCAGATACAGGATTCCTGCATTGAGGCTCACGCCAGCGAGAGATGCAGTAAGCGCCGACTCATCCAAGCAATGAAAGTCCCGGCTTTGAAACTGCTGGTGGCCATGGCGAAAAGCACCTTGGCCCAGGACAAAACTCTGCTCTACTTCTTTGTGGATGTCAAGGCGGCGAAACAGGAAGATGCTGCGTCTCCTGTGAGAATACTGTTGGCTTGGTAGTGGAAAACTGTGTGGCTGCTGTTATTGCCAGCCTTATTGACCTCTATATGGAGTAAAAGAGAAGAGAGTATTTGTGTTGCCAAATGGCAGCTGTGGTGTTTGAAAATCGTGAAAAAAAAAGAGATTAAAAAGTGAGTAGGAAAAAAGAAGAAGAGAAGAAGAGTACGGTGCGGTCATCTAGTTGGTCGCGTAAAAGAATAGTGTGGTAAAAGTAGAAAAAAAAAGAGATTAAAAAGTGAGTAGGAAAAAAGAAGAAGAGAAGAAGAGTACGGTGCGGTCATCTAGTTGGTCGCGTAAAAGAATAGTGTGGTAAAAGTAGTGCTTTTCAGGGAATAAAAAGTACAGTAGGTTTATATAGTGATGTCCATCCTGGGCGGGGGGTTCAAAATTCTGGAGGGTTGCCCGGCATATTGAAAAAAGTGGGGAGGGCGTGCTGGAGAGCAACGGGCTTGTATGCCACGTCACAGCGGCTAATGCCGCTGTCAACCCATCCAGCCAGATCGCATGAATGCCGCATGATCAATGATGACAAGTTTGTGAGCAGGGTTGGGATAGCTATTACCTGGTATCTACTACTCCAGAACACCGGTAGAAGACAGCATTTAGTTGCTTTTGAGTTGGTTGTTATAAAGTACGAAATCATGGCGACGTCTCAAGGAGTGCATGTGATAGTGGGCGGTCTGGGTGGCATGGGACGATGTCTGCAGCATCAATTGCTGGCCCACGGCAAACAAGTGCGGGTCCTGGATTTGGCCCCATCGGCTCAAGCTGCCACCAGTCGTCTGGTTCATCCCACTTCGATTGAGTATGCCCACTGCGATCTTTCTGCCAGCAATACTACTGATATGCTACACGACGCCTTGAAAAATGCCGAAACCGTCTACTCCCTGGTCACGCCCGATGTATTGAAGGGATCTGCGGCTGCCATGCGTCGCACCAACGTGGAAGGAGTCCAAACTCTGATTACAGCGTGTCAAACGGTTGGAGTGCCCAAACTAGTCTATGCGTCGTCCATGGCCGTCACGAACCACCTTATAGAGCACAAGGAAGAAACGGAACAAGTGCCTCTGCCGGACTGGGGCACCTACCAGTTGGCATATGACAGGACCAAACGACAAGGAGAAGAATTGGTATTACAGGCAAACAACAGCAATAATTTGCAGACGTGTTCACTCCGTTTGGGTTCGGTCATGGCGGGACCGGGAGATTACGCCACGCGACACATTTTGGAACGACCCGGCCAAGTCATTTCCATCCAATTTCCTAGATTGATTGACACCGTGTCGGCACGTGATTTGGCTGTCGCTTTTCGATCGGCTTCGGACAAGATGGATGCCACGGATAGTGCCGTCGGTGGAAAAGCCATTTTTACCACCAAGAGTAAGAATGATCAAGCCGCCACGGTCCCTGGAACAATAGAGTTGTTTGCCCAGGAATTGGGCTGGAAAGTGGTCAAATTGCCTGCCTCTGTTGCGGTTGCCATGGCACATGGATATCGCGCCAAGGAAACAGTCAAGGGGCTGTTCCATGCCCCCAATGAAGAGTCCACCCCGGGATTACCTTTTGACTTGGTCATGGAACTTTGCACCAAGGAAATGACATTTGACAATTCATTAGCAAAAGAATTGTTGGACTATCAACCTCAGGAAAAATGGGAAGATGCTGTCATTCGCGTTGCCAAGGAAACTCGCCAAGCCCATCCGGAGCTTTTCTCGTCGTAGTGACTGTTGGAGACGGGCAGCAAGGGCAAAACTGAGTGATGATAGAGTACTATTGTGTAGTAATTTCCTTCCAGCCAATGATCCGTGCCATTGCCTATTGTTTTTTGTTGTGGTCCTTTCTAGCGTGCGCCAAATCGATTGAAGTGTGAGAATTTGATTGACAATGATGCAAGAAATGACTTGACTCTGGCTAGACTTTTCAAGATCACTCATAGGTTTGTAGCACGGTGTTTACGGTGCATCGATCCCACCCTTTTGCTTCAACCTAGCTGGCTGCCGGTGAGGAGTTGGAAGCTTTCCTTCCAGCAGCAACCGCTGGGAGGTCTGGAGACTGTACCGGTATGATGTCCAGCAGCTTGGCTGGCCTCTGGAATGAGAAAGATACCAAAGATCTACTGCGACAGCGCGACCTCATCAGGAGACTCATCAAAGAAGCAGCAGAGAAGCCAAGGAGGCAAACATATGTGTCAACAAGAGGCTCATAGTTTCGGAGTATAAGTAGATGTCTGCTACAACCAACAACCTCCGCCGTCGATACCCTTCTAGCAAGAAGGACGATGATCTACTACAGTCCTTAGAAGAGCCAAATCCAACCATGGCTTCGCCCGAGTCCTCCAAGATACTCTCCCATGACGACGACGGCGACCATGGGGACGGGCCTGTTGACATATCTTATTCTTCTCTGATGTTGGCAACAGCTCCTCTGCTGGCCGTGGCAGTCGTCTGCGCGTACTTGGAATTGACGGACATGTCGCAGTCTATTGTGGTCGGTGCTCTTCGTTCCTTGCTCCAGCTTTCCCTGTTGGGGACGATATTGTATCCAATCTTTACGTGGGGCCAGAAACATGCAATTGTGGTGATTGCATATTCGACCATGATGATTGTCCTGGCAGCACAAGAAGTTTCGTCACGAGCCCAATATGCCTTTCCAGGTCAATTCCAAGCCATTTTGATGTCACTGCTAGCCACGATATCCTTGGTGGCAGCATTCACCTTCAAAGTCGTCTTGCACTTGCAACCCTGGCACACTCCTCGCTACGTGATCCCCGTCGTTGGAATGTTGCTGGGAAACTCCATCAACGGTATTACTCTCAGTATCAATGCTATCTCCAGAGCATTCGTCGAGGAATCGGCAGAATTGGAACTGATGCTGGCATTTGGAGCCACACCCTTTGAAGCATTACAACGGCTCTTGGCCGAGGCAATCTTGGCAGGGGCCACACCTGTGTTGACGATGCTGAGGGTCACGGGAATCATCTCCATCCCAGGTAAGGGTGATATCAAGACACATGATAAACTCAGTTAAGTTGTTTTGTCTAACTCTTTTCGGTTTTGTCACCGGCTCGTCCACTCAAAAGGCATGATGACAGGTCAGTTGCTGTACTTTAGCAAAATACACGAGAAACTTGTTTCTGGACATCTGTATCTAACTTTGTTTTGCACTTGGTACTTGCACTTGCTCGTCCACACACGCAAACACGCATTCCAGGCCAATTGCTTGGAGGCACCACAACAGTCCAGGCGGCTCGATACCAACTCTTGATTCTCTACTTGATCGCCGTTTGTACGGTCGGGGTCATTCTACTGCAAACTCTCTACTGCGCCTTGTATGTAGGAGTCGATACAAAAACACACATGCTCGTGGCAGATCGATTCGTACCCAAGAAATCAAACAAAGACAAGCTCTCGGCTGTGCTTGGTTTGGTGACAGCACTCTTGGCCATTCTTGGGTTCCGTGGAGACGATGGATTGACAGACACTTTACCAGCTTCATCCATCAAGGAGGCCATGACGACGAAAGGCACCATTGAAGTTCAGGTCTTAAAGGGGCTACAACAATCTACGCCGCTGCTCGAACTTGGAGGGATTCGAAGATCCATTCAGCATCGAGTCCTCTTTGAGAACATTACTATAGATGTTCACGCCGGTGATTTGGTGTTTGTGAAAGGTGTATCAGGATCGGGCAAGAGTCAGCTTGTACGCATCGTTGCTGGACTGACTCCTGCAGATAATGAAGTGTCTGGGACATCCATGATGGTCTTGTCCGGACTTGGCTGGGATCAGCATCAACATTCAATGGGGCGTCATACACCGGCGCATGGAGACGTCAAGTCCGGTATGTGCCTCAAAGCAAGGTCCAAATGCCCGGGACGCCGCGTGAATTCATTCATCGGATCGCCTCGTTTCGATCCTGGAAGCAACAACGTCAGTCTTGTCACATGGAGCACCAGGATTGCCCTCCCACTGCTGACAAGATGATACTCACCACGCGAGAGCTTCTTGAGGAATGGAGATTGCATCCTGCCGATACTTTCTTGGACCAGGAATGGTCGCAGTTGTCGGGAGGAGAAGCACAGCGGGTTACCCTGGCTATTGCCATGGCATCCCGCCCGCTTGTCTTGTTGGTGGACGAATCGACGAGCGCCCTCGATGGTGAATCCAAACAGGCAGTAGAACAATCCATTGTCAAACAGTTGCTACGACAGCGACAAGGACCTTCCACAGACGAACATGATGACGGTGGATTGAGTGTTCTTTGGATATCTCATGACGAAAAGCAAGTGGAACGAATGACGCAGGCATTGCTGCTTGACGATGTTCAAGTATAGATGGCTGAACTGCATGGGCATTGAAACGAAGCCCAAACCGCGCCAAGACTAAGGCGTGTAAGACGACAACCCACAATGAAAAGTCGTATCGGTAACCGCAAACTGGATTCTTGATTCGACAATGGATCTTCCAAGCTGTATCCGATCAGAAGAGGGGCGATAGCTGTTGGCGAGCGACGAAGCGGCAACGATGAGGACAAGCTGGGCTCCAAAAGAACATGTCCAAGGGACCGTCGTTGCCTCTGCAACGGCCCCACTCCCGGTCAAGATTTTTGCCTGCTCTCTTGGGAAGAAACTTGGACTCTTGAATGGAGGATCTTCTGTTGATTGAATTCAAGATCTGGATGTTTCCGCTGTGCTGGTTTGGATTCAAATGATCCGATCCGATTCGGTACCAGTTACTAGCTAGCTAGTATCTTGACGATTGCTCGGTTGGGCTGTATTGATCATTCCCATTCAACAAGTAATCCACCTGGCACCGGGGAGCAAGCAAGTCTTTACCATCTCGCAAACCAGCTCACCAGCAAACAAGGACGACACACCCGACTCCAGGCGGTTTCAGTTCCCATTCAGGATCCAGGACACTGAAGAGGACAGGCTAATAGGAATCTCTACTTGCCAACGTACGGGGCCTACCAGTGCGGGTTTGGTCTTTCAAGGAACCAGGAAAAGATACCCTTCACAGTTAGTTAGTTTATCATCAAGAAAACGAAGCAGAAATGACATATCAATTCTGATGCTTCTTTGTGTGCTCTTGGGGAGCTACTGGCTACAGCAGCGTACTGTACTGGTCTCGTCGATGATGGTGGCAGCTTGGTTGGTGGCAGTATCAGTTTTGTGAGAGAAAACAATGGTTCGCAAAGGAGACCAGGCAAGACCACGCACATCCCATCATAAGGACCGAGGTCTTTGTTTCTGCAAGGTCAGCTGGCATGGCTGCAAAATGTGAACACTAGGTTGGCAACTCTTGCGGTTGGTTGCCACAAATAACAGTCTCCAGGGGCAGGAAATTGCCCTGCGAACTGCAAGACTTCTAGCTTGTATTGTTTCTGTTTTCTGAGATGCTGCACTTGAAACGCAATATCGAGCTTCAGCGTCCGCGTGAATCTAAATCAATCTACCAAAGCTCTTGTAGGTGCGGATGTGCGGATGGGAGCTTCGTAGATGCCGCTACTGCTGTATCCTGGGCTAAGTGGTTGGGTGAGCCTACAGGGCTAGGCTAAAAGTTTTTGGGTGAGCCTACAGGGCCGACACAGAATCTGATTCCGATGCGAACAATGGACAGAGCTGGCCATCCTACCGTACCGCTATGCGAAGCAAAGAGCCGTCGTCATTCTGTTCCGCTAAGGATATTTCTTTCTTTCTCTCCAAAATAGGTTCTCTGGAACACAGCCGCCACAGCCATTGAGTCAACACATCATGGGAACTCCAATGCTGAAAACAAAACTACTCCGGGGGATGGAGAAAATCGGCTCCATCATCCCCAATCAGAGCCACCACAACCCTAGTAGGCAGTGGTAAACAGTGCTTTTGCAGTTGTAGACAACGGCTGGAACAGATACCGGTATGAAAATGGCAATACTGGAAAACAGCGTTAGAGATAGTGGAAAACAGTAACTGTTGTAGACAGTGGTAACAATGGCCCCAATGTCTTGGGCAACAGTGGTTGGCAACAGTTGTTGTCAGGCGAAACCATCACTGATAACATTGGTGGGTACCACAGGCATTAGGCATTCTCCATCCCCCCGTACTGGTACCGGTACTACCGGTTTACACTCGGTACTCGGTACCGCATGTACTCGAAGAGCTCAAGTTCTCCATCAACATCGAAAATATCAACTCCGAAAACGTCGGCGGAAGGGAAGAGAAAGAACAGAGCAGAGGCTTTCGGGGAAGCCACAGCAATAGGATGGTCCCGAAGACAAAAGAAAAGAACTACTAGAGGAGTAGAGAAGAGAACATGACGAGAACACCTGATTGTACTGAGGGCATTGTTAAAAATGTAGCGACATTTGTGAGAAGCCCGAATGACCTGCTCGGATCCGCAAGGACCCAGTCTTCCTCAACTCGACCACAAAGTCACGTAAAAAGTTCAACAATTTTCAGCCTTCGCATAGAGTGCGTTGGGGTGTCAAGCGTCACCAATTGGAAGATGGTAGCCGGCTACAGAGGAATTGGCAGCTTGGCACCTGTATTCGCCTTGTGAACTTGCAGGGTTTTGATGGCGCTGACCAAGATTGCCCGACTACCACCGCCACAGGTGATTATTCGCTTTCATTGGACTTCCCAAAACCAACTTTCAACTGGCCCGATGGAAGAAAAGAAGAGTTCATCCCACAATATTTCAGAAACGACACAATAAACTCACACAACTCTGAACATCATGCAAGCCGCCATCGACCAAAACACCAAGGGAGTTATTTTGCTCACCTCTGGCTATCACCATGCTGCCGCCAAGTGCTTCAAGCAAGCCTTAAGTTCCCTCCGCACTGCTTGTGACAGCCTGAGCCCTTCCGCCACTGAAAAGTTGGGCATGGCCGCCCCAAGAACAGGTACAGTGCGCTTTGAACGACGACTCTCTGAGGACAACTGGAGCCACGCCTATCTGATCCATTCGGCAACGCCTGGATCTTACGAGAGCTACACGGTATGCAGCTCATTAATCATGTTCAATCTTGGTGTAGCGTTTCACTACTATGCCTACATTACAGATGCCAAGCCAGAGCAGTGCCTGCAAAAGGCAGGGATGTTGTACAGCCATTGCCTGCAACTCATGAGCGTCCTTCCAGACACCTACGAAGACGAAAAGCTACAGATATCATCTGCTTCCTTGAGCCATTTGGCGGATGTTTGCTTCACCCTCGGTGATGCGAACGGAGTCCGCTCTGCGCTTGACGGGCTACTCATGCTCAACCTGAGGAACTATCTGGTAAACCAAGACCCCGGCGAGCACCAATCGATTGCCCCCGCGGCATGATTGGTGGCATGCAACCCCATAGAGAAGAAGAGCCAAACGATAGCCTCCCCTCAGTCACTCTTGCCTGCAAGCTGTACTCCAAGTGCTGGAGAGTCGGTGGTAGCATGGCATGCAATTCAGTGATTCCTAGTGCGCGCCTTTGACGCCCAACGTCCAAAACAGTCCTTTCCGATCTCCTCCAAGCCGATCCTACAATCCCTTGCATTTGCATGCATGCATATAAAGTACACTTACATACTAGCAGTATTTCTTTGTCATTGTGAAATTGAGCTATCGGGTGGGTGCCACTTTCGTTCCAACAGTATCTAAGTCAAATCTGTGTAGCTAGCTGGTGTGCTAGTCTAACATGCACGGCAAGCGTTGGTGGTTGCGGGGTGGTGCTGCGTACCGCTTGCTGTGGACAGCAACAGTGCTGACGGGTATCGCCCGCCCATAGCCGAGATCTTGGTGGAGGCAGTCTTGCTATTCGTCTGGATGGTCACCAACAGCCACACGATGCTGGCTGGCTGCGTGACTGGAGCCCTCCTGAGCAATACAGTCGTATGATATTATGCCGTAGCCCTGGAGGGATCACGTCATTCCAACGGTGTGTACCTCAATCCGAAGAGCTTTTTATCATTGCGAAGGCCAATGTCAATCCCAGTAAAATATTTAGTATTCTCACTTTTTGCTGCAATTGATAAATCCATACTCAGATGCAACTCTAGATATTTGAATTGACGAATGAAACAGCGTGTTACCACAAACAACTCCCATGAAACATTCATGGCTACATCTACTATGCATACTGGAAAGCAAGCTAGCTACAACGCACCCAAACACTTCAACCGCCACGACCCGTCAAAAAGTAATCGTGCTTGTCCCGTGCAAGCAGGTGAGTGAAAGCAACTTCAACCAATGTGAACTTGTTGATGGGCAGCTGCATCAAGAAGTTGCCAGCTGGAGCTTTTCCAAGCCTTGAAATGAAAGCCTCCTTTC